GTACAGGGTGGCCCATAAGTGACTACCCACACGCAACCTCTTAATAACTCACGTAATTCGTCTCCAAATTGCACCAAAATTTCAGAGATTATAGATATGGGTCAAACTTAGATTTCCTGAAAGTTTCGTAAGCCACGCCCAATTACAGTGGGCGTGGCGTGACACTCCCTCTTTTTTCACTATTGTCTTCATAAAATGAGAACGCTTTAAGCTAAGAACTCAAAATTTTTTGCACACATTTGGCTTGATAATTGAAAACCTTTCCCAAAGTTTCAAGTTCATTGGTTAAAATATGGCTAAGTTATGACCATTTCAAAACTCATCGGATACGTGATCCGAGCACTCAGTCAGTGATCTCGTCACTTGGTTAATGGCCTGTTTGGCTCACATGCACCGCTTGGTTGGTTGCAGCCTGCTTATGGGCCGGCCTATACAGCTGACTGCACCTAAAACGCTATCACACGAATTTATGGTGGTGTCACCATTTCAGGCCCAGGGCTTGTTAGCCCTGCTAGTCACAGGTTCCTTACAATCAATAAAAAGGAATGAACCATCCATTGAATCATCGAACCGGGCCTACCTAATCACAAAGAAACACAAACATTTGGACCGTGATTTCCAATCGAGGATAGATTTCGCCAACACATTCCTGTCCAAGCAGAATGTGGATCCCTACTTTGAGGACGAAATCTGGTACAGCGACAAGGCCATATAAACGGATATGTCAACTCCCAGAATGCAATTCACTGGGGCTCTACTAGACCGGATGAAGTGGTGGAGAGAACGGCTTTTCCTGAAAAGTCACGATCTGGTTTTTATCCTAAAAATTTGTGTTTCCCTTTCTAGCAAAGTCATCATCGGTATCCAATCAAAGCCTAATGAACCTCATTAATACACGCTAACGCCTTACTCTTGATCAGATTGGGTGACGAGATCACTAATTGAGTGCAAATATCACTGACTGAGTGCTCGGATCACATATCCGATGGATTTTAAAATGGTCATAACTCAGCCATATTTTAACCAATGAACTTGAAACTTTTGGAAAAGTTTTCAATTATCGAGCCAAATGTGTGCAAAAAATTTTGAGTTCTTAGCTTAAAGCGTTCTCATTTTATGAAGACAATAGTGAAAAAAGAGGGAGTGTCACGCCACGCCCACTGTAATTGGGCGTGGCTTACGAAACTTTCAGGAAATCTAAGTTTGACCCATATCTATAATCTCTGAAATTTTGGTGCAATTTGGAGACGAATTACGTGAGTTATTAAGAGGTTGCGTGTGGGTAGTCACTTATGGGCCACCCTGTACAAAAGTAATAAGAAAAATTGATAATGCGTTTATTTTCCTTGCGCTACAACTCGTGTTACTAGATCAATCTGATAAAATAAGCGTATATATGCAATATGTCTCCTCAATGTTGTCATTGGTAGTCGCCCCCGCCCCCTCCCTTAATTTACCTGAGGTACTCTAACAGCCCTCAAGTAGCTCCCAAGAAGTCAGGAATGTCCAGTGACCATTTATAAATATTCTAGACTTCAGTCTTGAGAAGTTTACGATCTGGTCTGGAAAAGCCAGATTTTTTGAAATCTAAATGGGGACTAATGGAGACTAATGGGGACTAAAAATCATGGGGACTCGGGGTAAAATCGTTGACGTAATTCCCCAAGTCCCCAAAAGTAGTCCCCCCCCCCCCCCCCCTCTGCACACATGATATCTCTCTCTGCCATGAAACATGGCTAACCTTTTAAACTATGACTTAAAACTTAACTAAAACTCAACTGGGCTCTCCTATGTCACCAAACTAAACCAATAAGTAATTTTAGATTGTTATATTTTTCTATATAGTTTATATAACAAGTATATTGACGTAGTGGATGGTTTAGGAGGTTTCAAGCACAGGTCACTCTCAAATCCTAAAGATAAGCAGTGGCCTTCGGCACTTGAAACCTCTTCAAACCTCCCCTGATATATTTATTATTGATATTGTTTGATTGTGCCGTAAAAATAAATATTTGTTTTATTAATATTTGTTTTATTTGAAAGAAATTGTATCTAAATTTTACAATGACGTATGAGACGAAATTTACATTTCTTGACGCTATTTTGAAGAACCATACCTCGGTTAGAATTCAATGTTCTTCGGTCTTCCAGGAATTATTGGTTGGTTATTGTTCAGCAAATTAGAACTCAAGTTTAACAATGCTGAGTTTAATTTTACCAAGTTACTGAAATGTGACGAAATTTACTTTTCCTGCCCCATACCAACGGTATAATTTCAACGGTATAATTTCAATGTGATGACAAATTGGCATGGGTTTCTATATTTTCTGTATAAATCCATTCCAACTATAATAAGGACTGTTGATATGAAAGAAAATCTATCTAACTAAAGGAATGGCTGATGTGACGAAATTTATATTTCTTGCCCCTATTTTGAAGAATCATACCTCGATTAGGATATAATCTTATAATGTTACTTTATCACCATACTTATGTCGAATGTCGATAAACTAGTTATTTTGCCAACAAAGAGCTAATAAAGTCATAATATTTTTTTTGTGACGAAATTTACAAATTTTTACCATGTTCAGGTGTTGAAATTTTGCCAATGTTAACATAACACTGCCATATAATAATTTATATGACAGGTGTGTGGTTGAAATATTGTTAATTGATCCATAGTACGTAATATAGGGTGTTTAAGTTGGTATACTAATATTTACTCAATTTCACAGATGTTGAGATATCATACAATTGTATGTGACAAAGTTTACCTATTTCTGCCTTCTGTATTTGTATTTGCCTATAACAAAGAAATATGTGAACAATTCCAAACACATTCAGCTCACAAAATAATGCTAGACTATTCGGCATTTCTTGTCAAGATGTCATAAACATCCCTCATATAAATTTCTTTAGTGTGTGACGGAGTTTGCATGGTGCTACCAAAGATATCGTTATGCGACAAAGTTTATCTAGAGGATAAAACGATTATCCTAGGCATAGAGGGTTTATATAATTTCATAGTGTGACACATTTTACATATTCGTGCCATTCAGTCAGGGTCACTTATATTTACCAATATCCTCAAACTTCAATGAACGATTGAACGTGTCCTTAAAATCGCCCTTTTGAGGAGCCGGCTGCGCGTACGTACGTACGTACGTGCGTACCGCGCGCTCAGGACTGATAACAATAGTGTTAGGTGTCCAACAATCTCAGATTAGCGGCTTACATTCACGGTGTATTTAGGCGGGAAGACATTATCAAAACAGTGATGGCGGTAGAATGTAGGATCTTCACAGAATTTATTAAAATAATCGATGAAACGTAAAAAAGTCATATTTGTAAGCTAAATTTAACTTCTATTCAAATAATACAGTTTCATTAACTTAAATTAATAAAATTCAATAAAAATACTGCCATAAATAAGGTTTAGTAAGAATGTATAGCACTAAAGCAGGTGTCGTAATAAAACGTGAAAATTTACTGTTACCAATATTTCCAAAATCTGATATTCAAATCCGCCAGTGAAACCAATACTGGTCTTACTGCACAGTTCCACTATTACCTGTTTTGCTACTTGATAATATGGCCAGCCAATGAAATACTTATAGAAAATAAGGAGAGGGTGTTATTTTCAGCTATCTTAACCGCCAAATTTCACTGGTTACAATTAAGTGTTATGTTCAAACAATCCCATTTGTTCTCCTTTCAAATGAACAGCATTTAATATTGCACAAATTCTAACTTAGCCACTGTACGTCACAGATATAATTACATTAGTGCAATTCCAGGAAGTGCTAGATATCTGACCGCATGGACAATTCTTTTCTTTCTCACATTTCGTAACGTTTTATGGAAACAACTCTGAACAAAGTACTCTCGATCAACAGTACTCTATCACTCGAAATTTACAGAATGTCTAAATGTTAACTATTGAACATAGTTTCCAGATCCACTGGCTGATTGCCAATTGTCAATTACATAGTCCTCCCTCGGTCTCTTCACCTCCATGACTCTCATAGGACTGCCCATCATCTTGCGTTTTCCAGTTCCGTAGTACATGTACGGTTCTGACATACTACCGACAAGTGCTGTGCGGTATGTTCGGAGCGGTCCCCATTCTATCTCATCCTCTGGAATTTCTCCCTCCTTCATAAGCTGCTCCTCCAAGAATGCCAGCAATCCTTTAGGTCCCTTCTTGTCGATATCCATTAGTTTGAAGGTTGTTTCAGCTAGGATATCGAAGAAGACAATGTTGGACGGAGGACTGCCATCTGGTGGACCATTACGCAACAGACAGTAAATAATACCCTCTCTATGGAACGTGACCACTGCCTGTCTTGACTTGTAGTTATCCACACCAGCCATAAGGGCGAACCTATGAGCCAGATCCTTGATCTTGGTCCATTCCTCTGATGATCTGTCTATCCTGCCTTCGTTCTGATCTCTCAACTCCTCGAACAACTGCTCCAAACTCAGCAGCTGTGTCCTCATACATTTGGTTCGGTTCAGCTCTCGAGCCTTGGACATCATCTGTTTTACAATATCTCCGTAGTCTTGGTATGATTTTACGTATTGAGCAAAGATGGGGGCTGCGAGTCTCATTTCTATGATGTTGAAGGCGATGAGTTTTCCGAAGGAGGCTAATACACGACGTTTTTCGATCAATACTTCTGTCTTAGCTGAGGGAATTTTGACTTATTTATCAGATCTTTAAATTAAAAAAAAGGAATGAACAATTATTTCTGATTATAGCGCTATAGTCTAAAAATGGCATTAAGTTTTGACCTGGGAATGTAAGTTAGACTAGCAAGATAGATTCTTAGCTTTAGTATCTATCGTGTTCTGCTAACTCTTCATTTGTGGAGCTTGTATCATCTGAGTTGCATATAAAGCAAGGCAGACTTCTTTTCTACACTTTCATTCAGGCAAACTGATCAACCACAAAGTTGCATATAACCACCAATAAAATCTCACCTTCTTCATCCTCGTCGTCCTGGAACTGAGGGGGTTCTTCTTCAGCGAATACAGTTGTCATGACGTAATCCCTCAACCTGAACGAGAATACCTTAGTTTTTACATTCCTTAAAAACGTGACCTTCCTTTAAAACATTGCAACCAAAAACAGTTTCGATAGAAATGTAAGTTAGACTAGCAAGATATATTCGTAGCTTTAGTATACTTCTTGTTCTGTTAACTTTTAATCTGCGGAGTTTGTATCATCTGACTTGCATATAGAGCAGTCATACTTCTTTTCTCCAATTAATTTATAAAACCTGTAATCATAAAATCTTGTGGTTAAACTACGCCTCAAAACAAGGACACTATATTATTAGATTATGTTGAGAGTACATACCTGATTTGAACTGATTTATCGGGTACTACAATCAGAGAACTGTAGTTAGGGTTTTGTTTGAGTTGTGGAGCAAATATAATCAGCATATCACACACCTGAGGGAGACTTAAATTAGACTTTAATTGCAAATACCGGGAACGCTGGTTCATTAAGTGGTATGTAGATATTATTGATGTAAGCAATCATGGCATATCATGATGCAAATTATGGAAAATTAAACTAATTTAATGAACAGAAAAAACTAAAAAAGGAAAATAAGCTAATGCTGATTGCCGGGTAATATTACCGTGATAAAAGCCTCCTTCTGCACTCCAGCCACACCGAACTGAATCAGCTCATCACACTGCTGAATCAGCTGAACGACTGACTTCCTAAGTTTCTTCAGCTCCGCCTTGCTAGGCTCACTGGGGTTTGTCCTGTAGAGGGCCCAGGATAGGATGACTTGCATTAACATGACGGCTGTTGCTGTGATATCGTCGTTTATCTGCTGCTGGTTGGCTGAAGGGGTGGAAGTGGTGTTAGTGGTGGTAAGTGGTGTTAGTGGTTAGTGGTGGTAAGTGGTGGGAGTGGTGTTAGTATTTAGAATAAGAAATGTTTATTAAGGAGAAAAGTTGCTGGCTTGCTAGTGGTGACTGTTGAATTAATTAGCGTAGTGCAAATAGTGTTAAGGATCTTCGAAAAATGTATTCATTCTAATACTCGTAGCACATAAGTGCATAGTAAGTAGCACATTTCGTCAGAAGTTCCTGATCACATTTACTACACATAGGATTGCTAATTTATTTTGAACGAATGTTTAAAAATTTTCATCATATACATACAACGTAGTGTTTCGAAATATATGGCAGTCAACTATTATCCTCATCGAATCCAAACCATTTATTGCGAATTAGTTCAACATAATAGAAGTCATGTTATAATAGTCGTTGTTTCAATAGTAGGGCAGTTTCTCGCTGCAGTTCCTTTGTCTCGTCTCTAGTCGACAACATTCATGGAGAAATTTGCAGGTAGTCAATACGTAAAAGACCCTTGATAAATCATTAATCCAGGCACCTCGCTAGATTACCCATTCTTATCTGCTACGGATATAGTTGCAGTGCTGCAGAATTTGGCTAAGCTTTAATTTCTTGTGTTAAGTTTGTTGTTCAACCCATGTGATTTATGGACTGTAGTCATTGATCTTTGATTTTATATATTATTTACCTTTGCGGTGCACTAGAAATAGGGTCCAATGCAAACAAAGAGAGCTAATTTTTTAATGCCCGCCATTTTAAAGCAATTTCATCCGTCCCAAAGCTAAAGGGCTTACTTGTTAATTTAACGTTCAGTATTGATCAGCAATACAAAATGTATATTGTAAGCAAGATTTTCAATAAAATGACGACACATTGCTAGATCATCCAGGGCTAAGTTACTTAGTACCGTAATTAGTACCGTAATTAGCCTCAGTACGGTACGATTTCCAAATTGCAACAAAGGCAAATTCTGTTCCAACAATTCACTACGGCAATTATATAATGATAATGTTCAAGTTGAAATTATTGGACAATGAGAAAGCTCCTACGTTATTAGTCAGCGTGATTATAGTCATCTAGCACAGTAACAACATTCATTTATTTTTTAAAAGTTTATACGTAGAGAATATATAGAATTTCTTTTTAGTTTTTTAGTGCTTCTATAATGTTTCAATTTAGTTTTACAAAAAGACGGAAGACCTCTTGATCCTCGACTCATGGTCATGAAATGAAGACTTTTTTCACAGAGATAATGACAATTATGGTGGGCTTATTAAAGAAGCTGCTAGCAATAATCCTCGTTACAGTCGCTATGGGATCAGAGACCCAACTTTCAGCGCCAGGTTTGTGTCAAATACAATTTTTAAATTAGTTAAAAATTCCACGATTATTGTGATAAAAACAAATAAAGCGGGTAACATAAATAAGTAAAAATCCCCATCTTCAGATGTATCAGTAGATTGCCAAATAGTGGAGGTGAGGGAGTATCTAAAGATGCAGTGTAACATAAACGGGACAACTTACTACAAATGTACTCATTCCAATATCTACTACCAAGTACCAATCGAGATATGTGAATTCCAGGTAAAGTTTTGTGGTGTTATTTTAGGAGGGGGGGGGGGGGGGGCAACCTCATAAATAACCATAAACACCTATTATGAAATCGGAGACAGATTGGCCTCATCTCGTTCACAGAATGCTTCGACTGCGAAAAACGTTCAGTTTAAGCATCCAAAAATCAAAATACGTAGAGTCTTGAGAATTCCGACTACCCGGAGCCTTTAATATAAGGAAGAACTTCGAAGTTGTATTTTTAGCAAGTCTGACATGACATTTTCATACAGGAGCACACAGAAATATGTGAGAATGATCCAGCATTCTATCAAGTGTGTGGACACGCAACATGTTCACAGTATCAGTTTCAAGAAGATGCCCCTTTTCTCTGTGGTTCGTTTATGTGCCGTTTCTATAGTACGAACAATACGTGGATTCAAGGAAATGGAGGAGGAGAATTTGTGCAGACAAACAACACAAAATACGTTAATTATGGTATATAATTTTTCATAATCATTCGGACCAACTATCCTATTGAATTCAAATTATGAATAATATTTGAATCTTCGAATACAACACCCTTCAAGATGTAATAACCCTCAGGAGGATACGATATGCTGTACTATTACTCATGCGATGGTAAATATTCATGTTCCAATACAAAAATAGATGAGCAAAATTGTGCCAAGGAGATGTTTGTTTGTAACAAAGATGCCATGGACCAATATGTAAGTAACAGTTCGAAATATTGTAACTTTTTATACTATCTTTAAGATAATTTCTGCAAGTTCTCATGTTTGTTAAAAGTTGTACTGTCCGGTTTTGAGAACAAACTTTCAGATCAACGGAACCGAAAAATGCAACGAAAAATGTAGCTGTTATCTATGTGAAGACGAAATTGGTTGTAATAAGGAATTCGATAACTATGGAATATTTTGTGACAACACTTTTAACAAGAGAATAGGCTTCCTGAATTGGTACACTAGTTATGTACCACCCGCTGTCCTATGCGACGGTTATCAGGACTGTTTAGACAATACAGATGAAACTGATTGCATCGGACATGAAACCTGTACAAGCACCGAAAAACTCGGATCGAAAAACTTAACTCTCACTAAAAGAAACAGATGCGCAATTCCCATTGAACTTTATCTTGTTTGCCAGGATTACAGAGATCAACTCAATTGTTCTCATGTTTTAGATTCCCCGCTGCTCTGCGAAGTTGATGGATATATGACATATGTCACACGATACGCACTGTGTAAAGAAACCAGTTTATGTGACAATGGACTAGATAAGAATTGTGATGCTGCTGAGGATGGGTGTGTGATTCACAAACATCAGTTTTGTGACGGACACAAAGATTGTCCAGAAGGCAAAGACGAAGACAACTCCATTTGTGAATCCTTGACAAATCTGACTTGCGAACGAAAGTTCTCCAACAGTAGTCAACTAAGAACAGAACAGCCAATACCTCTTAGCTGGGTGGGAGATGGAGTGAAGGACTGTTTGAATAGCAAAGACGAAGATCTCGACTCCTGGAAGGTTTGTGGCGAAGGATGGACAAGAAGATATGTAGAAATTGGCACAGCCTGTTCAGATGTATTTCTGTGTTCCACCATTACAGAAGAATATGAAGAATATGACAATCTTTGTGACCGAACTGGCACTTGCGATAAAGGGACCCAAATTTGCGAAGTTTCAAGAAATCATCGGGGTTTACAAAATCAGGTAATTTTGAAACATAATGGTAACATTAATATAGGTTACTATATACCGGGATTAGAGAATTTGGAAAAGGACCCCACTCTTGAAAGACACTCAATCACTAACTACACATCACTTGATGAACCATTCGGGGTACCAACTCAGCCGATAACGATTGCGATGTTTAAATCTAACCATCACTCGTTGTGCAGTTTCGTCTATGGAGAAATCTATGTCCACTTAAGCTGCAGTGGATTTTGTAGCAACGTTTCCTGCATCCTGAAGCCAGTTAAATTTGATTCTTGTTATAACATTAAGCACAATCGGGTGTTCACTTTGAGCGGGAAGAACTACTTGACTGTTGCCTCTAAGAAGAAAGGGAATTATGTTAGCAACCTTTTCCCCTGTAACAATGGCTATTGTGTCACCTATGATAAGGTTTGTGATTTGGTGGATAACTGTGGGGATGATTCGGATGAAATTAACTGCATCAATCATTTCAAATGCAAAGAAAGTGGAAAAATGATCCCGCTTAACAGGGTTGAAGATGGCCATTATGACTGTGAAGATTTTTCAGATGAATGCTCACACTCTAAATCTATTATTGATAACCCGTTTCTGTCGGTATTTTCGTGGATTATTGGACTTCTGGCCACTTTATTTAACACGATAGTTTTCGCGAGAACGATTGTTGAGTTGAGAGATTTTGGTTGCTCATACAAACTCTTGAACAAATTGATGATCTCATGATATCACTTGGGGACTTCATGGTTGGACTATATCTGGTAGTTTTATCAGTAGTTAACGTTCTCCTCAAAGAGACATACTGCGAAAAAAGGTTGGTCTGGCTAACAAGTGGTTACTGTGCGGCTTTGGGCGTGGTAAGCTCCACTGGGTCTCAGATATCGCTGTTTGCTATGGTGGTTATCAGCTTGTGTAGACTCATCAAAATAAGAAGTGCGAGACCTGGCACAACTGGAAACAAATGGTATACATTCATCATTTTGGCTTTGGTGGCTATCGTGTTGCTAGCTTCATTCACAATATCGTACCTGCCATTACTGGACAGACTTGAGGACTTTTTTGTCAATGGTCTTCTCTATGACAAAAAAATCAAAATTTTCGTCGGTGCTCCATCAAAACAGAAACACGTCGCGATTTTGGAAAAGTACTATTCAAAATTAAGGGGAAATCCAAATCTACCCTGGTCAACGATTCGGCGTCTTGTGCAGAACATGTTTTCCCAGAGACATGGCGGCGTCAATGGTGTCAAGCTACACTTTTATGGCAACGATGGAGTCTGTTTGTTCAAGTATTTTGTTACCCCAGAAGATCCTCAAGCTTTCTACACCCTGTCCGTGCTCTCCTTAAACTTTGCCTGCTTTTTCATCATTGTCTCTTCATATGCTCTTATAAACATACATGTAGTAACATCGTCTTTCTCCAAATACGTGAGAAATTGTTCTGAAAGTGAAAGAGCTGGCCTTCAAGGGCGATTTACTTCATTACAAATTCAACGTAAAATAACAATTATAATTTTGACGGATTTCTTCTGTTGGGTGCCGTTTGTTGTTGTGTCAGGATTGCACTATTTACTTATTGTAGATGCTTCACCTTGGTATGCAACATTCTCGATAGTGATCCTTCCTATCAACTCTGTCATAAATCCATTACTTTATGATCCATACCTCGGTTTTTTGTTCAAGAGGAGCTTAAAAATCGCGAAGAGTATAACTAATCAGTCAATTTCGTTGATACGTGCAACTACTGAAGGAGACAAAATTTCTACTGAAGCAGAAATTAGAAACCCAACAAGACCAACTAGCCACTCTGATTCTCGGCCACACAAGACGAGAATGAGGACATTGATGGAAGAAGAGATAGTTACAGTTTCGTCACCACCAACACCTATTCTTCCTAGAGCTGAGCGTCATGCTCTCCGGATGATGAGAAGAAACATCGGATTGTCTAAAGCAGTAGATGATACTGAAACGTTGCAGTATGGTGGATTGTGCACGACAACTGACATTGAGGATCAAAATATAAAATTAAACGAAACTCTGTTGTCCAGTTTAAGAATTGAACAGCCGGTTGCGCCATTGTGCCCGACTAGTACGTTATTCAAGAGGTCCTTACAGATCGTACAGAGTATAACTGATCGATCGATTTCGTTGATACGTGCACCTACTGAAAGAGACAAAATTTCTACTGAAGCAGAAATTAGAAACCCAACAAGACCAACTAGCCACTCTGATTCTCGGCCACACAAGACGAGAATGAGGACATTGATGGAAGAAGAGAGAGTTTCACTTTCGTCACCACCAACACCTATTCTTCCTAGAGCTGAGCGTCATGCTCTCCGGATGACGAGAAGAAACAACGGATTGTCTAAAGCAGTAGATGATACTGAAACTTTGCAGTATGGTGGATTGTGCACGACAACTGACATTGAGGATGAAAATATAAAATTAAACGAAACTCTGTTGTCCAGTTTAAGAATTGAACAGCCGGTTGCGCCATTGCCCCCGACTGAATGATACTCATTACTTACTTGAACTCACAAACTGCCCTATTTATGTACGTTTGTTTACTTAAACCCCTTGTCAAAATTTCTCAAGAGAAAAATATATTTTCTAATGAATTTATTTTATTTGCTAAACTTAAAACACAAAAAAGTGCTGCGACCAGGATTCGAACCTGGGTTTCTGCGGCCACAACGCAGGGTCCTAACCACTAGACGATCGCAGCTTTAGCCACCGTAGCAGCGATAAAATAGGAAATTAAGATAGTACATTTCATTGAAGACTTGTCAGTTATGATTTATGAAATCTAGAACACAGAATCTTGCTCGGTTTTTGTTCAATATAACATAACATGTCATGTAAATTTCGAAACAAAACTCTGCAACTTAATCTGAACGTTTAACAGCTGTTATTACTTTATTATGATGTGGCAAGCAACTGGCAAGATATTTACTGATTTTAGACGACTGACTAGCCTAATAACATTCGATCAAAATGATAATGAGTAAGTTTTGAGCTCAGAGCAGCGAAGGCCACAATTATATAAGATGAAATTCTCATAACAGCGCGATGCTCATTACTGCGCATGTTGTCCTTGGAATAAAAGTGTCCGGCTGGCGGCTACAGTTTCTCCTAACGGAATCGAACCCGGGATGTGCTGAGCTATCTAACTGGCACGAACAGCTTCCGTCTCAATCTTTATTTTTTTGGATACATATTATATATATATAAATTCAATTACTTTTTTATCTAATGGTATAGAAGATAATGTAGTGAAATAACCACAATTTCTAATTACACTGCAGTTGTACACAATATGCTCCACGAATATTATGTGAGATAAAAGCAATCTGTAATATATCCACGTAAAATCCCTACACCAGTATTTGTGTAGAGTGTCGTATTTTTTATGTCGACATTTTCATCAAATACCACAAAAAGTGCTGCGACCAGGATTCGAACCTGGGTTTCTGCGGCCACAACGCAGGGTCCTAACCACTAGACGATCGCAGCTGACAGCTACCTTAGCAGCAATGAAAGAGGAAATAGAAATAATAGATATATATTATATATTCAAAAATAATAAACATGTCATGTAAATTTTGAAATGAAATTCTGCGATTAAATTTGAAATTTATTCAGCTTTAATTATGATAAAGATTTATTTCTTTCAAGCGATTATTTTTAAACGCTGAGATGAGCGCAAGCTTTACAGCCAACGTAAGTAGAGGGAATGATATTTTGGGTGGTAAGCAAACCATGATTGGTAATAATCTCTCTAAGACAGTTAATATAGACGAAAGGATGACAATATGTTAGTGGCCGGCTATATTTTCTCCCAGCCCGGATTCGAACCTGAAAACTTCTGCATGGCAGTCAGACCTTTAAAACACTGAGCTACGGCAGATTTTCCCACATTCCGTTGTAATTTTGAAAATATATTCAATAACTTTTTTATAGAAATAATCTTCCGGAAAAATAAAGTAAAATGACAACAATTTAGACTTCAGTTTAGTTCGTCGGAAGAATAATGCCCATGAATATTGAATACGAGGAGAATTTCATAACGTATTATATATTAATGTGAAGTGTTTCGTAATTTATGTAGAAAGTTCTATCCCAAAACTCAAAAAAGTGCTGTGACCAGGATTCGAACCTGGGTTTCTGCGGCCACAACGCAGGGTCCTAACCACTAGACGATCACAGCTGACAGCTACCTTAGCAGCAATGAAAGAGGAAATAGAGATAATGCATGTCGTTGAAGACTATGCAAAATGTTGAACACAAAATCTCGTTCGGTCAATGTTTAAAACAAACAATACAATAAGCATGTCATGTAAATTTTGAAACAAAGCTCTGCGATTAAATTTTTGAAAAGTTTTACAGAAATAATTATACATTTGATATTTCCTTCTTTCAAACGACTAACTTCCAATAACTGAGTCATTCTCCAAAAAATAAGGGCTTTAACCCGAAAACCCAAACTACCCAAGTAGGCATCATGTAGCCTCCAGGCTCGACAAACCCCGACAAACCCCGACAAACCCCGACAAACCCCGACAAACCCCGACATATCCCGACAAACGGGGTTTGTCGAGGGGTTTAGCCTCGGGCCCACCGGCTACACGAGGCCTTCTTGTATAGTGTTTTTCCACGTAAAGCTTGATGACTCCGTCTCGGCTTTTTGTTGGGAGACTCAAAAAAAATTTAAAAAAAAATAAAAAGAAAAAAAAAACCTCCAGGCTCGACAAACCGGAAACCCCGTCAAACCCCGTCAAACCCCGTCAAACCCTGACAAACCCCGACAAACCCCGACAAACCCTGACAAACCCCGACAAACCCCGACGTGTCAAGATATGTCGTATCATGTCGGGCCCACCGGCTACATGATGCCTCCAAGTAAGAAAGTTGCCGAAGAGACATTTTTTGGATGGTAAGCAAACTATACTCTACTGCTATAGTCATGGACCATGGTCGAATACTATAATTAATGATCATTACATTAAGAAACAATAATTTTGAAACCAAAATGATATGTAATGTACGAGTATTGTGTTCGGCTATTTTTTCTCCAACCCGGAATCGAACCCGATACCTTCTGCATGAAATGTAAGCGTATCAATGCACAGAGCTAACTGATCGAATTTGTCAGTTTATAACCCTAATTGATGATATCAATAAATTCAATAAACTGTTTAAACAATACGTGTGATAATAACATGATCTAATTAAGTAACCACAATTTATACTGTAACTCGTCGGAACAATATGCACCATGAATCTTGTAAGATATCTTTTAAAACAACATATCTACGAAAATTTGAGTAGCTACTCTCATTCTTATATGTTAAGAGTTCAAAGTGAAAACAATAAAAGTGCTGCGACCAGGATTCGAACCTGGGTTACTGCGGCCACAACGCAGGGTCCTAACCACTAGACGATCGCAGCTTTGAGCCACCGGGGCAGCGATAGAATAGGAAATTAAAATATTGAGGTACATAGAAGACTTGACAGATATATGAAAACTAGAAAACTGAATCTAAGCTGGTAATTGTTAAACATGTCATGTAAATTTTGAAACAAAACTCTGAATATTTTATGCACCTTTGTGCCACATCATGTTATCAGTACTTATACTTGTCATGCATGATTATGACATTATCTGACAAATTATGAAGCACTTTTGCCTTATCACTTTTCCTTATCTATCTGGGATAAAATGTACTCTTTACTCAATTTGCAGCTAATATAACATTATATATCATAAGAATGCGGAAGTTGATGCTATTTAAGTGCTTACCTTTGGTGATGATGGCGGATACGTCCTTCTCAATATCAGCTAGATCAGTGATGTCGTGAGCCTGGTAGAACGCGTACAATCTCTTCATTGCCACCAACAACTTGAACTCTCCTTGTTCGTTCTCTGATTCTAGCCCTGCAAACCGGATATTAGCATTTTGTCACGTGACATGGTGAACAAGCGGAGAATGAAAATTTTGCACGTTCGACTGATTGTCAAGCTCTAAGTCCTAAGAGTTGGACAAATCATTATATTTAAGCAATTTGTCAGGACTGTGCCTAAAATTAAATCTGTTTGGATAAGAACCGTACCATCAGTGATAAGGGAGTGGAAGCTGCTGACCAGCTCATCAATAAGCTGCCGGAAAGCAACTGCAGCGGTGGTTTGTATGGACAGCTCGTTGTTGATGAAGTAGCGGTATGTAAAGGCACAGTTGCGCAGCACGTCCGCGTCAGAGTGTTTACCCACAATGTCGTGCATGTACTTCAGGAGCAGCTCCAGGAATTTGTTCAGACGATGTTCTACATACACTCCAACTGAGAGGACACAGTTTTACATCTCAAAACGACTAAAAAAACAAAGCTCAACACTATTTAAATATGTGCATCTGGAGACATTGGAAACATGGAAAACAAGAAACACATCAATTAACTTACATGGAAGTATTGAGGGATCTCGACTAGACTGACAATCTTCTGTTCGTCAGTACTGAACTTGCTCAGCAGCTCAGGTAACTCCGCAATGAAATGTTTTGTCAGTGAGTTTCTGTCTGCTTCCAGCTGTCTCCTCTCTTTGGTGTTCAACTCTCTCTGGCGGGGTTTTCCTCGTCCCGGGGGCGGGTCTTCACCAGCTGCACGCTTTATCGCACATGTCATTATCTCTATCAGTGCTCCTTCTTCTTCGTCATTAAGTGCGAGCTCACCTGAAGTTAGGAGTCTCAATCACTGGCAATTATTGGAAATGTGAGGACTTAAATTGGGTGGGTAAAACTTAAGGAGTCAGAAAAGATCAATTTATGCGGAAATGTGCGACATTAATCGACTTTAATTCATACAAGCTACTAACCCAGTTCATCAGAGAGCAGTAGTTCTGTCATACTCTTCCAGTCTCTAAGTACCTCCACTGTCTCCCACAGACTATCTACCATGTACGCTCCGTGCTCACTCACCTGGAAATAGATAGTTAATATTGTGACATTGCCACGTTGACAGTAATCTGCAGTAATTAGCAGGTCAATCTGTGCCATTTAAATACCATTCAAATACATATCTTTATACACTAATATATTGAAGTATACAATACAAAATATCAAAAAGATATCTGGATTCTGGATAATTGTGTTCAACTATAAGTTGCAAAATGTACACAATATAGGCCAATTACCGGGTGTCGGATTACAAATTATTAAAATATCTGATATCTTACATAATGTAACTTGGTAATTCAAATAAATTTCCATTTGGGGTATGAAAAAATAATTCCATCCCAAATTCGACTTTTACAAAAGTGCTGCGACCAGGATTCGAACCTGGGTTACTGCGGCCACAACGCAGGGTCCTAACCACTAGACGATCGCAGCTACGCGCCACCTTCGCGGCGATAAAAGTGCAAATTGTTGCATTACATTTCATTGAAGACTTGACAAGCGCAGTCGAGAGAACATTTTATGCAACCGCTTGCTACTCTACACCACATTTAGGGACTTATTGCATTATCAACAAAAGATAATGTTTTCGATGCTCCCATATTAAATTACACAAAAAACTTATGTGCACCGAACCAAGTTCCATATCTCATACTCGAAGGGAACTTAAAATGTATTACTCTTGTGACTATGTTGCAGAAGAGACAAAATATGGTTGTGCTCGCAAGTTTTTCTTATCAGGCTGACACAAAAGCAGTTAATAATTAAACTCAATAATTATGAAATGGAAGGGAGGATCAAGTAATTCGTATTGAGCAGATCGATTTTCAGAGCCGGGGAAAACTCGCCTTACAGCAGGGAAGAATGAAATGTCTGTACTAACACAATAACTACTTTAACTATTATGATTTATTCTCACCTCGTTTTCTAAAAAGAATCTGAGAAGTTCCTTGAGAATGATATGAGGTTCCCTAATCTTCCTGGTGTGGCGCTGAGCTCTGTGTTCTTTTAGCACTTCCTCCAAATCCTCAGTGAGCAGCTTCTTGTGTAGGAACTCTCCGGCAGCGTGTGAAATGTTCCGGTTATTAGCAAATACCAGCTGATACACAACCTGAGACAGGTATAATATCAGTTCTTGTTGTTCATGTCCTCGTTTACAGTCTGTACCATGCCTGTTTACTCTGAGTATTAAAACCAGTACACTGTACATTTAGTGAAATGATAATGAACATGATTTAATGATTAACACCTTTAAAAAAAGCAGACAATATACACTACAAACCTCACAATCAGCGTTCTCCAGCACATCGAAACTGTTCAACATGAAGCTGATAAGTTTAACAGCTTGAACCGCCACGTTTTCCTCCTTATCGTGTACCATCTCAACTATCCTGTTCTTGAACCTTGCAGTGAAAAGTTCCAGCTGCTGAGCGAAGTCTTCTATCATGTAGAGTCCCTGGAGAGCCAGGACGGACTTCAGCCTGACTTCAGCGTGTCTGTCGTGAAGTGTCCAGCCCACGTATTTCAGGTACTGATCTTTCAGGAAGTGAGAAGGAAGGTGCTTCATCCAATGTCCTGAGCGTTTTAGAAGTTAGAAGATATAACGGGGAAAATGGGTCAAAAGATGTACAATTATCGGCTTGAACTTTCAATTTAGAGAGCATTTTAGGTAAACAATCGGACGTAACATTGAGCTTTTGATTACATACGAATAACAAATCCTTCTTACCGAGTTCCTGGATGCAAATAGACCTGATCTCTGCTCTGCAATCCCTGTATCTGTGAACAAACAAACCACTGAATATTTGACTCATGAAGTCCGTCAGGAACCCGTCAAGATGTGACCTCAGTTCTTTCTGTTTGCTTTGTAACCTCTCAACCTTAAAATAGAAATAATTTGTAGTCAGCAGACCTTGCTCATATTTGAAACACACGACAGGCTTTATTTTTGCAGAAACTCACAATCGTATTTCAAGAAAAAGCCCTGAATAGTGCTAACCAGCCAAGCTCTCTTACCTTTGCGAATGCCCGCTTAGCTTGACCTTTCTTCAGCTCTGTCTCTAACTGACGTTCTGTGTTCTCCAAGTCCATTTGAACCATTTTAGCTATGTCAATAAGTGAGGTGACCAGTGTCATGCCTATCAGGGTGCAGGTGTGCCTGAACGCTCGCACCTGAGATATATATACATTTTAGGTACAAGTACAAGTACATGTAATTAGTAACCGGAAACATTGAGATTTCTAGAATCTAAACGTGTAAATTTGATTGAATCTTCATTTTCAAACATAACATAACCCCAGTTTTAGGGATTTTATTTTTTTAAATTTCAGATCTTTCATACTATTTGTTACTAAAATGCTCATTGTATCCTATAATATTTAGATTTTCATCATCATAACCCCAGTTTTGTGAATGCTAAAAAACTCAACCAGGAACCTACCTGAGAGTCACTGAGGGCAAGGAGCCAGCTAATAACATTATCCATCATATACTCATCGTATATAATGTTGTGTTTACATCCTCTTATCAGTCGCTCTATGAACTCAAGCAGATTACTCTTAAACTTCTTAAACAGCGGACCACCCTAAAAAAGGAGATAAGAATTAGGTTTAAATCACGAAAATTGACCTGTAGATGTAAAAAGATTTCAAACGCGAACGGTAGGATTCGAACCTACGCGGGCAGAGCCCAATTGATTTCTAGTCAATCGCCTTAACCACTCGGCCACGTCCGCATGTAACATTTTGAAAGTTTATCGAGGAATATCCTAAACTGCTGGAGCGCATAAAATACGTGTTTCCTTTGTAGTAAATAAACTAAAATAAAAGTTGGCATGTCGATGTCAAAAGATTTCATCCGCGAACGGTAGGATTCGAACCTACGCGGGCAGAGCCCAATTGATTTCTAGTCAATCGCCTTAACCACTCGGCCACGTCCGCATGTTCAATTCTAAAAGTTAATGGACCAATATCGAACATTGCTGGACTGCACTGCACTCATATTCGAGCATTTCATTTCAATGTGAAACACATCGTTCATAGTATGGAGCCAGGGTGTGAACTGGTTACACCTGGTTAAAACACTTCCATCCCATTGCATAACACTCCATAAATGAGTTGTAATTAATTTAAATTTTGGAAAATAAACTGAAATTTGACCTCTCGGAGTCAAAAGATTTCATCCGCGAACGGTAGGATTCGAACCTACGCGGGCAGAGCCCAATTGATTTCTAGTCAATCGCCTTAACCACTCGGCCACGTCCGCATATGATAATATAAAAGTTTATGAATACAATATCGTACACAACGGGAACGCGCCGCATTGAATCACGGCAATATTATGATCTTTACTCTTTCGTAAACAAACTATAAGTTCGTAGACGGTAGGATTAGGACCTCTTTAATGTGGAAAGAGCCCAATTGAGTCATAGTTCCATGTAAGTCATGGTTGATGCTGAGAGCTGACTGACAAACAATAAATTTACATAAACAACTTGTTTTATGAGCGAGTCTCATTACAGAACGAAAAGTAAGTAAAATCATTTTACCTGAATAAGGGGGTATTCTCCTGACTCCTCGTCGAAAGATTCTGTTAACTTTCTGATACTCTTAACTTTATCTTGATTTGCAAACATGATCTGACTCAGTTTACCTGAGAAGATACGAGTGTTATACACACAACGTCAGTACAGAGGAAGAAGTTATAATTGTAACATGAGATTAATTTCTCACGGGCTGTACAAGATTGTATTGGACTACTAATATGATTATATATTAAACTTTGTACATGGTTGAATTATATTATGTGATACATTTAAGCACTACCGAATATAATATATTCATATTCCAGTACTGTAAAAATGAATCAAATCAATGAATTTTGAAAAAAGTAAACAGAGAAAGTAAACAGAGAAAGTAAACAGAGAAAGTAAACAGAGAAAGTAAACAGAGAAAGTAAACAGAGAAAGTAAACAGAGAAAGTAAACAGAGAAAGTAAACAAAGAAAGTAAACAGATAAAGTAAACAGAGAAAGAAAACAGAGAAAGTGAACAGAGAAAGTAAACAAAGAAAGTAAACAAAGAAAGTAAACAGAGAAAGTAAACAGAGAAAGAAAACAGAGAAAGTAAACAGAGAAACTAACCAGAGAAAGTAAACAGAGAAAGTAAACAGAGAAAGAAAACAGAGAAAGTAAACAGAGAAACTAACCAGAGAAAATAACCAGACAAAGTAAACAGACAAAGAAAACAGAGAAAGTAAACAGAGAAACTAACCAGAGAAAGTAAACAGAGAACATACCTTTACAACCGCAACATTGCACAAAGAACTGAATGAGATCCACTACAGCCTTCTCTCTGTCCTTCTTGTACTCATCAATCCACTCGTCCACTACAACTTGGAGAGCTGCTCTACCGCTCAGAACCTGTGTTGTAGCTTATGTTTGTGTTTATAAAGCTATAAATAGATTTAGCATTAAGTCTACAGTTTCTAATGATAATGTTTATCCACTATCCAACCCAATGATTGTTACTTGAATTTAGTTAGGATCTATTTGTAACTTATTGTTGAGACTAAAATGATAACAGACACAACCGAAATTTAGTTTAAATTTCGGTTGTGTTGATTTGCTCAAATTGATCATAGACCTAGTAACTCGATCATAGATATTAGATATGTATATTGTATAATAGTCTGAATAAATTCTACAGTATAAATGTCAAACTGAGACTTACATATCCGTACATAGAATCCTCAGCTAGTTCAGGAATAATGTTAGAAGCACGGCTGCGTTTACTGACGTTCATACCACCTCGACCTTTTATTGGCATTCTTTTCATATCCAAAGGTTTCTTCCTGAAATAATAGAAAATTGATCGACTGTGCCAAAATCTGTATTTAAACGGCTAAATCTTTAAATTTAGTAAGATTATCCTGCACAGTGAGATATATCGACCACGGTGATGTTTATAAAGCTTGAAGTCACTTGATGAAGAATATATATTATATATGAAGAATAAACTACACGAGCTACACAAACAGTCAACTAGATAGTGCAAGTGATACTATGATAAGAATGTTTCAACTTTAACAAAACAAATAAAAACATAGAATATTCTGGAAATTTCATACACTTTAAAGGACCAGTTAACTGAAAAATTTGTAGTCTCCAATTTGGCTAAGATTTAAATCAGCTGTGACAAACTGGTAAAGAATCGTATCGCCGAAAGAACCAATTCTCTAGCGTACGTGTAACGCGTGTTATTGCAATATAATAAGCTGTGGCGTCGTGACGTCATAAAGTCCCTCAGTGCGCGCTTGCATAGCGTAATACATTGCAAATGTTTATCATCGTCAATAAAACACGTGTAACTCACTCAAATTTTAGAATTATGACTATTACCCTAGTTCTCCAAAATCCTTATAGTTTTGGCTATCATCCTAACTAAAGGAATAGCTGATTGTATGTACAGTGCTCACGTCATGATTTTAAACAGTGACATAATTTCTTGAACAGTGGCGGGTGAATGTACGGTTAGAAAGTTTCTGCTATTACAACTTATGTCATATAATGTGATAATTTTGGATTGTTTTCATTGCTTAATTACACAAGCAGGGAGACTGTACCGATTATTTTTCCCCAGTCCATGAAACTCTAACGAATTTAGAAAGGATCTAGATAAGTAGGAGTTTGTTCAATTCCGAGAGCAATTATATTTATATCATAGCGGAATTTCTAACTTTAATCCACATGTGTCAGCCAGTACAGGAGACAAGAAGTCTGGCTACTTTACGGCCGTTCCTCTGGGATTATTAGTAGAAGTAGCTTCTATCAGAACAGTGCCGTGGGAACAGAATTCCCGCCAAAATACCCGGTCTACCAAATAGTTATACTGATTGGTGTGTACGGTGTGCGGTGTGTTTTGAATTAGACTTACGGCTTACCTAGTTGTTATCCTAATTGCATTATCATCGGTACATAACATAAATAAACTACTACTATACTGGTAAGTTTAAATACCAAGTGCAAACGTGTTCAGTCAATCGACCCACTGAACAACTATAGAATTTCCAAGACCCTATTATTCTCTGGCCATATATTACGGCACGATCGATTGTTAGATGGCTAAACGACCAACGTTACCTAATCTATACAATTCTAAAACTATGAGCTAGCACTTTAATCTAAAAATACACTTTTTATATTACTCCTGATTTTTACATTTCACGTTAAACATTGTCGCCACAGGTTGATCATGGACACTAACAGCTTAATTTGAGATAAATGACTTAAGAGTTTCTCTAAAGTTAACTCTAAAGTTGTGTAGTCCAGTCATTTATGGACATTTATGGAAATGAACCTGCAAATGTTCAAATACTCACGAAACTTTGCACAAACCTTCCCGAAGTTATAAATAAACGATTTTCGTTTGGAGACATTTTTTGACCGTGGAGAAAACCCAGGAGGGCCACGCCCTTATTGACCCAACAACGTAACCGACCCCTTGCTTCTCTTAGAGACTTCTAAATAGGCTTAAACCAAGCGGCATATGCATGTTTATATAGGAGTTACTGAGCAACACATGGCCTAAAATCCTTGCTTTTCGAGAAATTTGCCAAAAACCATTTTGGGCGTGGTACTGAGCCCATTTTCGATAGGATCGTGATAGAGTCTTTAGACAGGGTGCAAAAGAACCGTAATTAGCATATTAATATATGACTTACGAACAAACATATGCCTTAAAGTGCTTACTTTTTCAGTTATTGGCGAAAAACTGATTTTCGGTTCCAGAAATCATGCTAAAATATGGGCATCTCGTAAATTGGGCTATGAAGGCCCTACAGATTTTTGAATGAGTGCAAATTGTGCAGAATGGCCATGTTTATATACAACTTATGAAGCAACATGTACCCTAAAATACTTACTTTTCGAGTTATTTGGGGGAGAAACATTGTATTATGTCCATTTTCTACCTGTAAAATACAGTCTCACGAGCTACCTTGTGCGCGCAAGGGACTTTATGACGTCATCGCCAAAATAATACAAACGCTAATTACACGCGTTAGAGAGCAGCTAGAGATTTAGGAATTTCGACTCGTTGCTTAGTTTGCTATTTGTCACAATCTGTCAAAATATGAGGATAACTTTTTTTTCAGTTAACTGGTCCTTTAACTTTGCACTGCTTAAAGATTTAGTTTCCTACTTGTGGTTGATAGTCTACTTATTAACGAAGTTGCTTAACTAAAACACAGTTTTAAAATAAACCAAGACAAAAGCCCTTAAAAACTTGTCCTGCTCAAACCAATAAACTAATTTTATTGGTTTTATACTGAATTATCACAGCAAGTAAAGTTTCTATAACTCACAAATCTTGGCTATTAATACAAGATTGCTACTTTGACATTAAAAATATTGTAACTGCCACAATCCTTACCCTCCATAGTAGCCGATATCTTCACTAGTGGTACTGTTGATATCCCAGTTGTCATCAGCATCTCTCAGAGGTCCTGGAGACTGCATTGTCCCTCCTAAAGTAATCATTTATAACAGTGACAGAACATAAATACAGTATTTCAGTAATATATGTTTCTCATTACTTGCATGGGTTTATTTGATATTGGAGGCTTTTTTAGGAGCAAAAAGTAAGATTCCAAAAAGTTTAATTTTGGCTATGAATTTGGTGAAATTATCTTTTGAATAACTGCTACAAAGGATGTCAACATCAATACAACTATTATCAGTAATTGTAGCTGGCCCAGGAACTATGAAAGTGACCATCAAGCCAGAGGAGCAAAAGACTCGGAATCTTAAGATCACTATTGTGATCACTACCACGAATTTACAATAAGACAGTAGACACAAAAGAATAAGTGAACAAGTTAAAAGGATTAATATTATACGTATTTAAAGGAGTTGTTTTTTAGTTAAACCAAGTTTTTTAAAAGTTAAAATGACCCAGTTGCAGTTATGTATTTACTAGCGGATATCCCTGTATTTAAATGAATATGAAATGTTCAGTTTTCTTCTAAATCAAGATAATTAGCCAATGGAAAGTTCTTCAAAGGACTGTAAAAAACATCAGCAATTTGCCCGCACTGCACCATCATAGAATGTAGATTATAATAAAGCACTACTAGCCATAACATTTGAATGGGGAATATTAGAGATAACAAGTTATCAGGAACCCAAAACTTGGGTTCTGGTTTTTTAAATTTCTGCCGTTTGTACATTTATTCTATTGGTTTATTTATTTTCGAGGGTGTCTAACCTTAAGCTAGACAATCACCATTGTTGAAATTATCTGTATATTGTTCGAAACATTTTTAACTTAAACTAATTATTAATTAATTAAATCATCAACAACAAGATTACGTTCTAGGGTCATGCAAATTTCAAACTGAAACAATGCTGGTTTGCCTGGCACAGGGGTCACCCAAAACTCCACCCGCCACAGAGGTTTGAATGCAAGCTCACTCAGAATGCTCTTCAGAACAGTAGTACTCACAAAACTTATATATATATTTCATGGCTGGACTTCTACACAATAAAAGAAAGCGGTTGTGATTAGATCGTCGAAAGTCTTTGCATCATTTATTTACATCAATTCTGAGAAATTATATCATTAAAGTAACTACAACAAATACGAATCATATACAATTGAGAATAAATACAAACTAAAAGCAGTGGGAAAATCTGATGAACTGAAATTTAAAAAAGAAACTGAAAGCCGTTAAAAATGTACTCTTATCTTATCTCTTATCTAAATACTGATAACTGATTCTCGGAAAATCACTTAAAATCACAACAAAAAACCTGTAAAATTAATACTTAAGTAAAAAATGTAGTATGCACGTCTCTGGAATAATGGTATAACTAAATAAAATCTACAAAATATACTAAAACTAAAACTAAGCTCCGGCAGATTTAAAAAGTATATGGTTACTATCAAGGGTGTTCATACCCCCAAACCGTTCAAGGGTTTTCAATTGGGTCTGGTAGAACCCCTCTCTAGCTTCCATAGCCTTTTCTTTGTCTACTTTACTAATATTAGGCTAAAATACTAAAGCGTCTACTATAATGACAGAAAGGTGCTTACTAAGTGAGGAATTATAGGAGGCTATGGTACTAAAATTTAAATCATGATCAATATCTAAAAAATGGTTAACTAATTTACAACTTCTTATACCTTTCTTTATGTGACTCTTATGGTTAGAGAATCTCTTAGGGAGATTTGAGGTAGTATAACCGACATACGACTGTTTACAAGTCTTACACTCCATTAAATAAATGAGGTTATAACTCTGACAAGATATATACTTAGTTATAGGGAAAACTTGTTTAGAATGGTGACTACTAAAGTTGGAACAGGGGGACAGGAAATTTTGCTTACAAACATAGCATTTACCACAAGCATGGCACCCTGGGTCGACAGCCCCGGGAACCGCCCTTAGACTTTCGGAGTCTGGTTCCTGGATCTGACTTGCAGTTGTTTCTCTCTCATTATCACAGTTTAAAGTTCCACTGGCACGGTACTTATTGTGTACAAGCATGCCACCGATAGTTTGATTCTTTCGATGACTCACGAATACACTGTCCGCACGTACCAGCTTCTTCTATATGCTCCAGTGCTCCTATATCATATATGGCTAAAAGATAACCTCGATACTTTCAAAAACTTTTATGCCAGGGTCCTCTTGAAGATAAGCTACCACTCAACATTCTCCAAGATTTGACCTCTGTTGTGCTTGGGATTCCACCCCTTGAGATATCCTACAAGATGGTCACTATGAAATTCATAATAAAAGTGACCCACTTATGCAAGGGCTCATCTTGCAGCTAGAGGAGGCAAACCGCAAAGGCCCACCGATACCAGCACCTTATTGACAGGATACGGAAGTTTCTGACGTGGACAACTGGGTCCAACGAACTGAACAGAAGCAAAATAGACCTTCTGACTAGTGTCCAGAACGGTGTTGTCAGCTACTCAATAGAAGAAATAACCTGCTTCATGGACTTGACTTGGAATAAACATCTCAGGTACTGAACCCAAGAATAAATCAGAGTGAGGGTCAGATACTGGATAACATTGATGAAAGGACCAAAAAGTTCTTTCCTTGCTACTCAAGCAGAAGCACAGACACCAAGGTTATAAAATGCGCAATTTTAACAGGTGGTACTAGTAAAATAATTGTTTCTGATATTTCAAAACTAGTAAAATATTTGTTCCAAATATTCCAAAACTCGTCGACAAGTCCAACTCGGGCTAGTTCATTAACAATGGACAACATTGGTATGGCTACTCTCACGACATGTTCGATAATGTGTCAGGCGTGCAAACTGCAAGGCCGGGAAACACTAAAATGAGCACATCCCAGTTTAATTATTGTAAATAAAAGTAAGTAAAGATTATGACACAACATCATCACAAGTGTCTACAAAATAACATTGCACTAAATTTTTTTTTTTTTTTTTTTTTTTTTTTTTATATGAAAATGTGTGTCAAACAGTATATATATACATTCAATTAAATCAAGTGATGCAATTGGCAGAGCACAATCAAATTTTAAGTGTTGCAATTGGCAGAGCACAATTCATTGCTACCAATAATTTTTTCAAAAACATTTTAACAAAACACATGATCTACTCCATTATAGGGGCAGGGATGAGGTTGTATGAAACTTCTGATAGCTGAATCTCACGTTTGGTGTCCACCTTCTTTCCTCGGTACCCTCGTAGAGCAATAAGAGTTGTTCTCAACATTGCAAATCTTGTCCTAGTTCTCACGTGTCTTACTACATCGCAGTACCTTTCCTTCCTTTTTCTTGCAATGAGGTCTGCTACTCTGTTGACGAACTGCTTACACTCTTTAGACATTCCTCCAGATGTGAGGAATACAGCCGGGGTGAAGGTAGCCTTCTCCACATTCAACACTCTCTCCAAGTACTCGTCCTTCTTCTCCTTCTCGTTCTCTTCGTATACTTCTTGAAGAGTTTTTGTCCTGTTTGATAAGCAATTGGGGTGTGAAACCCTTATGTCAAGAAAGGTCTTATCAAATGGAGTCCAAACTCCTCTAGCAGATACATCAAGCCGAGCTTGGTCACCTGTTATAGTCTTGGGGTTGAGGCAGTCACCCTCATTTACCTTCTGTAGCTGGGGTTCAACTTTTACATCATGACATACCTCACGAAGTAGATTTGCCATTGTGTCTCTGATGTTGTTGTGGGTCATTATCACGTAGCCCCCTAGCTTACAGGTGAGAAGGTGGTCAAGATCACTTGTTTTCCCACATCCACAGGTGATGGGAGTGTTTGGTATCCACCAACTGTAGCGTAAGCAGACACTGTCTCGAAACTCCTCTTTGTTCAGAGTGTAGCCATACTGCTGAAGTGGCAATGTGTTAAGCCAACTGGACGCTCCCTTTTCTCTTGCTGTTAGTAGTGCTCTCTTAGAGGAGGTGCCACATCTTTCAGCTATAGCGTTAAACTTGGCTTGGAGCTCGGAATTCTTCAAATTTTTTATCATTTCTTTCCCTGATTTGGTGAGGTTACTGGATGCAGTGTAAACTTCCTGTTGGTCCACTATTGCCTTTGTAAGCTCGGTGGTGAGTAGCTTGGAAGCTGTGTACTCAGACTGGCATTCCTCGTGGGGTTTACCAATGCCCAATCCTCCCAATCTTATTGGTAGACTTAACACGTCCCTCTCTAAGTCTGAAATCTCCCTGCCCAGCATCTTTGGCAGAAGCTTTTGTCTTATTTCATGTTCTAGCGGCTCCATGGCTTCAGAGATATGAGGAACAGTCCTTTGAACAAACTTCCATCGGTGTTGTATGCCAGAGATGTAGGCTGAATAGGCTGCTTGAGGCTCAGATTCTGCAATATCAGCTAGCATCTTGATGTCTTCGCACCACCCTTGGACCTTATCGGCAATGTACTGATCTTTGACACCTGTATTGCCAAGTACTGCACCAAGATGCCTTGTGCCTGATGTTATTTGCATATTGAACTCTCCAAACAATGCCTTGGCCTGGTCGATCATCTGAGGGTCCTTCACTACTAGAATGCTTTTAGATGGGTTAGGAAAATAACCATACTTAGGTCCAACTTGGAGCAACTCCTTCCACCACTTATACACTGCCTCCAATTTCCCTCCAGCAGCACTATCATCGGCAAACCACACCTGTTTGATGATGTTTCTCAGGCGGTCAATAAGTGGCTTGGTGCTAAGAGCATATCCACCAGTGGCAATATTGTCTCCTTGAGTGAAACCTTCGCAGCTCTTGATGATCACTCCCTTGCTGTTTGCCACATAAAGGTCTGTTGGTTCTCTGTAGGTGTTCTCAAAATATTTAGCAAGTGGTGGGCAAACATACTGCATGTTGTTGGTAGCAGCAGTCCTATTGAGAGCGTTGCACTAAATAGAAAAATAATTTAAATAAATATATTTTCCATCAACATTTTAGTAATTTATCAAATTCAATTTTATTAATTAATAAAATCTAATACATTATCTATAAATAATTCATTAATACTTCCCGATCCCAGTGGAATAATAATAATAATAATTCTATACTGTTACATAATTTAAAAATTATGGCCCCTTATTGTGGGCAGAGTATGTGTCTTTATTTAAGTGTCCTGATTTTAAAATCATCTGAGTGACTGCATTATTAAAATAATTTAAGGACAGTACCATAATAACGTTAAAACAATATAAAGATTTATAAAACGCTTCTTTGCCACAAAAGGATGAAACCAAAGATATTCATTATGTCTCTCCTTATTGCTTAAATAACTGGGTCCTTCAATTTTCCCTAAAACTTCATTCGAAACATTCCAAAAATAAAAATCATTTGCACTGTTTCTAGAAATCATTTCTTTCTTAAATCCTTCCAATCTAACTTTAAAGCTTAAAACTGTCGAGCAGTTCTTGACATCTGAAGGGACAATGAGCCGCTCAAACTGACTGTAGGATGGGTTTTAGCGCTAATTTCACAGGCAGCAGAAAGGTGAATAGAATCAAATATTTTGTAAACTTTCCCTCAGTCCAACGATTATTAATGAAATTATCGGATATTTATAATTCAATATGTATTGATTCTTCTGTGGAAAATAAAAATTGTATTTAACTTAAATTGTATTTTACTTGACACTAAATTCTACCACTTGCCATAATAAAAATACTATATAACAACCAAATATGAAAGAGAAAATTTAAGAAAGAGAAAATTTTTATTTACCACAAAACAATCAATACATAATAATATATAATATATATATATATATATATATAATGTTATATTCATAAATAAATTCAAATTTGGATTTCAACCATCTATACAGCCCGCCGCGCACACAGACACACGTATTGGTGAGAAATCCTTAGGTGCGGCTGTATGAGCCGCGCGCAGGATATGTAAATTGTTATCTTACAATTGCATTTCACATTTAATAATTATTAGAGCCAACATTTTTTTCAGAAGCAGGATAATTTTTAAAGAATTTTCTGTCGTTCGCGCAGTACCGATGTCAATTATGAATTAGATTTTAGAAAAAATTTTTTTCCTAGATAATGGAGAGATTCCAAAAACCGCCCGCTCATTATTTGGGATTGAGCGCGCGCCTCTGCGAACATCGGTACCGCTCAAGTTATGTAGTATTGAGTAGTATGCAGTTGTGCATAGACATTTGTAGCACAATTTTCATTCAACTACAGCCAATTATTTGTAGCGCGATGCACTACTGGGTCGCGCGCGCGCATCCAATAATGCTTCTCGCAACCACAGTAGTGGAAATTCCAACATTCGAACTGCCAAAAAAGTGGCAGTTCAACTCGTTAGATCGCGTATTAATTTTACTTCAATTTGGAGTCGAGCGCTACGTCCTAGCCTTATATATAGCTCGTTTCCAAACGAAATTTTCATTTCCTCAATTTGTCCGTCGATTAAGTTGGTATTTGTATTGTGGATCGTGCATCTGTATTCTGTTTATTTATCTTCAATTTAATTAAATAGTTGCTTTCCGTAACTGGTAACAGTACACTAGTACGTTTTTCTTTAGGTTATTCTTACTCAAGAAAGAGTTTAAACTTCAATACTAAGTTTCATGGTAATATAATCAAATATTTATTAACACCGATCATCGGTATATACCCATTATTGGTATCAAAGCCGTATGTTGAGCTGGATATCAAAAAATGTAAACCTGAAAGGCTGTAATTTTGTATTCGTTTAATTGTAGAACTAGGAACAACAACTTGATTGTTAGCAAGAGATTTGAGTAATTATGACCCTTCAAAGAATTTTAAAGAACCTTCCTAGTTGAGTAGTTGCTAGTGCTTTGACAGAACAGTCGTGATCGCTTTATTAGAACTTGAACAATTTGATAAGTTTTGTAGTTTAGAACACGAGCTAAAATCTTTATTGAAAGGGCTGATTGATGACTTCAGTGAAAAGGCTGATGATTTCAGTGAAAAAGCTGGTGACCTAGTGAAAGTGCTGATGATAAACAGGGATTCCTTCGGGACAATCGGGAGCATGTAAGATTATATCCAAAGTTTGTTGAGCTGGGGTGTGCCAATGGGGTGTGTCTGGGTGTCAAAAATCTTCAAGGTGGGTGCTACTTGTGATGAACTCTAGAAGGATGGGATGGTAATACTCGGTCTGGCCGATCTTCGCCACTTCAATAGATATTGGGTCGGCAATTTTGTGAGTGAGTGATTTTATAAAGACATGGATACAAGGATACAAGGATACAAAGGATACAAAAGTGATAATTACTTTACTGAGTACACAATAGTTGTAATTCTGAAATAATTTAGGTTACACAATTCTAATTATTTACAAGTGTGTAGGGATAATTTAGAAATGTTATATAATGCTAGTTTTAGAAAAATAGATAAATCGAGTTTGTATGGTTCAATTTTATTTTAAGGTCCTATAGCATTATGCACTTGCCAGTATTTGAGTGGAAGTCTGGGCTCTTATAATAGGCTGTATAATGTTCGTTCACAGAGAGAAATGAATGGATTGCTCTTGCTGTGGCAGTGAGTGTGGTAGGATCTAAAGTTTTGTTGGAGAGCAAACCGACTAGGTCAACAATGTTTTGGGGATGGAAATTGAATTTTTCCCTAACTGAGGAGTAGAGCAAACAGTCAATCAATACGTGACTTTCGTCCTCAATAGGCTTGAGCCCTTTGCTGAAAAAGCAGTAGGTGCACCAACGTTCTTCACTTGGTACAAGGGGGGTTTCGTATCTGCAACTTTCAATGTAGAGGTTGTGGCAGCTGATACGAAACCTTGTCAGACTTTTTCGAACATCAGGTATTTTGATAATTCGTAGATATGCCTCTTTTTGACGTAGTCTAATACAGAGGGTGTCAAGAGCAGAGAAGGTCTTAGCAGTACAGTCTGGATATTTCTTGACATAGGACGAATATGCAGGGCTAATATAATAACATACTAAAAATAGATCAAAATAAAGCTAACAAAAGTTTTTGTCAAGTTTAACAACAATAATATCGTCAGATTCACTACAAGGCACACAGGAAACACCTTTTCTTAAATCATTTTCAGCAAGAATGCAGACCCCTCCTGAGCGAGAGTTTTTGCGGTTGCTATTAAAGGAAAGGTATCCTTCGATTTTAACCTGCTTCTTAGTTTCTTGGAGACACAGAATGTTTGCTTGTTTGAGGATTGTCAGAAATTCGTTATTTTCAAATTTGTTAGATCCGTCTCCTGTACTGTCCTGAATGTTCCAGGACATTACAGCGACTTGATCTCGTGAGGCTTGTTTGTTTTTGAATTTTAGGGTTATTCTAGCGCTCTGTAGAGGGCTGCATTCTATGGGATCTCATACCAAAGGCACGATAAAGGCCAAGTTTTATGTTAACACAAAGATTTTAGACCGTACTCTGAGACATGACGTTGGTCTTCCTTCAGTGGGTTAGGAGAGTCTTGGGATGACCCGGCAGCAGAGATGGCACGGGAAAAGTTTCCAGTGTTGTTTACAGTGAAGAGGCGCCGGTATAAGTCACTTAGTTCTCTTTTAGTGAACTTTTATTAACGTTTCCTTCGTGTCTTACGTAATTACCAAGAATATTGATTCACGATGTCAGGCCCAGTGGTGCATCTCGCTACAACCAAGAATGTGGCTTGGAGATTGGTTAATTTGTCTTATGGTTATTTTTAGATTAACTAACTATACTAGCATGGATTAACCTGAATTTGTGTGCTCGTTTACATTTTGTTGTGATTTGTACTTCCATTTTTATTGACACTGCAGCATATGATTAGTGCTATAGTTTATAGTGTGTGTAATTTACGATGTTGCCCACGTAAAACAACATACTGAAATAATATCCAAGGTTGATAGGACTTAATAACTACCACATTTACAGGAAGTATGGTAATACATTCTTGTCAGCTGTCTGGGCAAATCTTCTCTCGCAGAATTGGATTACAATTGAATGTCTTTTATCTCTCACTTCTAACGATGTCGCAATCAGGCTAGACTGCACAGGTAAGATTTGAAGTGATAATGAGATTCAATTAATAAATTTTAGATTGCAGCTTGATATCACTAAGTATTTACATTGTGCACTGTAGCAAGGGTAGAACTTATGAGAATGCTATCCTTGCACTATATTATTATGGGTTCATCAAAGTTCGTATCATGATTTTTCACAAAAACCTACCACTCCCTCTTCCTTGATGAGAAGTAGATCCATCTGGAACAGTGAGCTACTTCTTCCCTACTATCCCGTACTAGCCTACTCAGCTCTCTAAAAACTGTTAACAGATTCCAGGTGCTAAAACTTTAAACGCAAAATTATAACAGCACCATTCTTGCGCTTTAATCTCAGTCTGCTGTAAGACTGCTGTACAGGTAGAGTTTTTACTCGTATGATTCAGCAATCTGTTTTTTAGATGGTACCGTTACCTCCCGCCATAAGACTGTGCCGTCTTGGTGACCTTGAGAATATTATAAGGCCCGATATATGACAACACTATCCAATATCGAGACCCACTCAGGATCCCAAACCACGACTCCTTTCGGTCGTCTGTACCTGCTTTTTCCCTCCCAGCCTAGCAGTCAATGAACTGTCTTCCATCGCTGGCCTTGTTTTTATAAGTGTTTTTATTTAAGTGTTCACTCGGCGCTCACAAGATAACATGTTCAGAGATCTGTTGCAGAACCTTGTCGTGCCGTCATTTATATACTCCTCGACTAAGAGCTACTTTACACCTACAGCTTAAATGTACTAAATGGTACCCATCCTCTCCTCACATTACTTGTACTTACCATCCTCATCTTCACCATAGAGGGGGTTAAAAGGGTGCCTAGCATGAACGTGTGTCGAACTACATTGCGTGTACCCTTAATTGAGACAGAATTTTAATAAATCAACAAATTCTTAGAATTTAAAAAAGTAGATTTCAATAAATTCCATTCTATGGCATTTAATGCAATCTACTTTTTAAAAGATGAGAATTGGTTTCAATTTCAAGAATATCACGAAAATGTTGACTCAAAACTGTTTCAGGAAGCTATCAATAGTCTCAAGATATGACATAATTTGGCAGAATGATAGTACTTTGAAGTCGAGTTCTCGATACAGGTATTATAATTAGTTTCTATTGACCGTTTTTGTAGTCTTAACTTATTTTTATTTGTTATTATACGATCAATTAAAACCTAGCAAACCAGACTTCTTTATGTGCTAAAAGTTACTTCAACCTTAATAAAAGCAGCACTGTGGCAGATATCCAGTTACATTTTTTCCAGCCGTTAATCAATCCTTCTTTAAACACGGAGTCCTGTGTCGTAAAAGAGATATTTCATGATTTACTTTATTCCATGATATCGTAAAGTCTGTTATTACAGAGATAATAATCTGCCAATATAATTTGGTTCTAAGTCTATAACTGCTATGATCTTAAGCTCACAATTGGTTTTAAATCTTGAATCTTCTCGTGGTAGCTTGATCTAGGTTAGGCGGAACTGTCCAGCAGCCGACTAAGTCTATAGTTATATAACTGTGTTAACAGAAATATGTTTGACTAAATTTATCAGATTTAATATTAAAACCCTGTTCGGCCCTTGTAAAATCTGAAGTTGGTTATTTAAATTTAGCCGGTTTATGACCGTTTTAAAATGTGTTGGATGGAAACGTGATGCATCACTCAATGTATAGCAAACGTTTGCGGTGTTATCGTTTCAGGCTGGTTAGCCTTGATTGTCATATATAACAGGAACCATCGATCAAACCATCGGAAATGGTTTGAAGGAAGAGATTGGCGAAATCTATTATCTACCCTCAACCTCAACACCAGTTTAAAGCGCCTTGCTTCTTCTTGCAGATCAAGCTATTAAGAACAAATACAGCTGATGTTCTGTGCACAATCAGGCTTTTCTAACTGGGCCCATCAGATCACAATTGAGACTGTCTTGCAATCCACTCAGGGGGCTGTCCTCTTAGGTCGATAAGCCCAGTAAGCCTTTACTGGGCCGGATATTGATACTCAATTTATCTTAGTTATAGTTGCAAGTAATATAACTCATTTTCTAAACGTTTCGTAAACTTTAATCAATTACAGTGTGGCCTCTTTTTCACTGAAAAGACATCATCAGATTTCATTGCATTAATCTGGGAACAATTTTGGTGTGATTTAAAGTATCCTACAAATTGGTGTTTATATTATATATATTACTGTTTCGACTTTTGTAAAATTATTGTAATCTATACTAGTTTCAACTATAATAGTGAAATAGAGGGGGTGGCCAGTGTCCACACCCTCTGTAATTGATTAAAGTCTACGAGACTTTCAGAAAATCTTAGTTCGGCACAGATCTATCATTTCTGAAATTTGTGTGTAATTCGGAGATAAATTGAACAACTTGTTAATGCAATGAGCAGTTATTATCGGCCTATTTACTATCTTACCATGTGTAAACGGAATGTTCTAGCAGACTGTATAATACATTTTCTTACACACACACACACGCACATAAGCTAATCAGAATCTCTGGAATGTTGCTATGATATGTTTTGATACTGTAGGTATATTATGCGTTACTAGCCGATCTCCCGATGGAGTTTTGGTTGCCATGGCAATACATCATTATGATACAGAATTTCTTGACGCAGTCATAACTCAGTCGTGTACGGTACGGGCGGTGATTTTATGATAGGTAAGATCTACTTTTTTCAGCATTTGCGGTATGACCAGTTCACACGTATATTTCCGCAGACGCAAGTACAACTTAGCATAAAATTATGTCCAATTATTCTACGTATAACCAATTATCTACACCGACTTATGTCTAAATATGAATGAAATCGAGAAAACCAAATATTATGTGTTAAATCCCGGAGTGCTTAGTTCTCACGGCAGTATAATCATGATCCTGATAGATATCGAAGTCTCCTTAAATGATCGTCTCTGCTACTTAATAGATCTGGATTGTCGTAGAGAGGCGATTTGTTTACTTTTAAGGGGAAGGTTCTGCTCAGTAGGAGAAAGATCTTAGTATTATGGAACACTTGCAACGCTTGTTACTCCTTGTTACCCCCATTTGAAGGTTTTATTTATTTTCTGAACGAAAGCTTTCAAATAACCTCAGATTGCCTTAGATTTAGAACCGAAGGATCAAAATATATGTTGCTTGTTGCTCGTCATAATGTAAAACATCAATTTTGAGTAAGAAGGAAGTGTTAGTGAGTTCTGAGACCATTTGATCGACATTTTGTCCCGGCCGGTACCGGGCCGGGATTACCTCCATCCCGGCTGGGACCGGGATGAAAATGAAAACCTGGCCGGGATCAGCGTCATACCGGCCGGTTCCGGGAGCGGTACCGGGATTTTTCCAATATTTCTCCGTTACTTCTTTAGAATGACAAACTGAATTATGTTTATATAAGTCAAAACTGACACAGAACTCATATTTGTGATCTGGTATTGGTTACTTAAGGACACGTTCATATGAGTTTGAGGATATTGGTAAACAAAAATGATAGCGTTTTCGACGATAGTGGCTTAATTTTGACATCTATTAACCTAGCACGTTCAGAAGTTCTGAACATTAGCGAGGTAACCCATACTCCCATATGCACTGCTCAGAAAGAAAATCTATTGTTGTTAGGCACTATAATGGTTCAAATGTCACATTTTGTGTGACTTAGTTAACTGCAGTTGTCTAATTATCATTCCTTGGTCTGAAATATAGTAGATTAGGTTAATCTAACAATTATGACACAACATTGGTTAAAGGGCACGGATCGAACGGTTACAAGGCAATATTAGGGTAACTTTGTCACACTCAGAATACCATACCTCTATTCTATTGTGAGGTGTCCTCAAAAACCTTTTAACTCATTATTTGATAGTTGATCTACCAATCATAGCCCTAAAATATGTTGTGTCGAATAGTTAGCTAATACAGGCACTTGGTTATTGGGAAATGAGGTTAATTCTGTCACAATATATGGAATTTTAAATTTTGGGCGAATTATTTATATCTGATTTTGGTTTGAAAGGCGGGAAAACTTTACATGATGACAATGTAGTTGATGCAAGTTAAGATCAGTTGATGTTTACATTGTCACAAAAATAGGTAAATAGGTTAAAAACAATGATTATAGAATGAAATAGTCTGTCATAATAACTGCACTTGGTTATTTGGAAATGAGGTCAATTCTGTCACAATATATGGAATTTTAAATTTTGGGCGAATTATCTATAACTGATTTTGGTTTGAAAGGCGGGAAAACTTTACATGATGACAATGTAGTTGATCAGTTAAGATCAGTTGATGTTTACATTGTCACAAAAAATGATACGAAATCGTAAATAGGTTAAAAACAATGATTATAGAATGAAATAGTCTGTTATAATAACTCTCATAATAACTGATGTGACAAAGTAAACATGTCTTGTCCCTATTTTGAAGATCTATATATTCTTTGACTCTATTAGAATTCAACATTCTTTCAGAAATCAATCGGTAGAATATTGTCCAGAACATCAGAGCTCAAGTTTAACAATTTTAGGTTACATTTTTCAAAGTCACTAAAAATGTGACAAAATTAACTTTTCCTGCCACAACAAACAAAGTAAACATGTCTTGCCTCTGTTTTGAAGATCTATAACTCTATTAGAATTCAACATTCTTTCAGAAACGATTGGTAGAATATTGTCCAGAACATCAGAGCTCAAGTTTAACAATTTTAGATTAATTTGTCAAAGACGCTGAAAATGTGACAAAATTAACTGTCCCTGCCCCAACAATATCAAGATAGTGTGTTAAAATTGGCGTAGTATGCTTTAATGCCTATATCAATCGATCCAAACTACGAAAAAGATCGGTTAATCTGATGATTATTACTCTTATAATAATTACTGATGTAACAAAGTAAACATGTACATGTCTTGCCCCTATTTTGAAGAGCTATACCTCTATTAGAATACTATGTAACTTTATCATCAATCAACTAGTTATTTTGCCAGCAAGGAGCTAACAGAATTATAATAATTTTGTTGTGACGAAATTACCCTATTTTTGACCATGTTGCGGTAGTTTAATTGTGACACTGTTAACATATTATGGGACTGTTAACATATGGGACCCCATCCTTCCTAAAATTGCCAAATCCTTAAAGTCCAGACCAGCTGGCATTTCCTTCTCAACCTCAACAGAAGACTAAATTTTTATTGACATTGTAATGTAATTTTCACTTTCCCACCCACACCTTCCCCACCCTCCATCCCTGACACCACTCAATCACATATAAGCATTGTCCACCTCATCACATTCAGCTGACGACGATTAACACATGTTCATTGAAAGCTTCTACAAGTTAAATCATCGTATCTCTTATATGTTTCTAACCCAACTCCACTCAGTTTCACTGTTAACATATTACCACCGGATAATGATTTATGTGACTTGTGCGTGGTACTAGCAGTGTTGTTTGATCCATAGTACATAATATAAGGGGTTTAAGCTGGTATATCATTATTTGTTCAATTTCACACATGTTCAGATATCATCAAGGTTATGTGACAAAGTAAACTTGTTTGTGCCTTCTGTGTTTTAATTCCTTACGACTATATGATATAATAACAATTCCTAGCACTTCCAGGGCATCAAATAAACCTACACTACTCAGCATTGCTTATCAGGGTGCCCTAAACATTGTTCAAATGTTTTCTTAAATGTGTGACAGAGTAAACCTGAGTGCACCATCTAACGAAAAAAGTCTTCAAATATGTAGGTAATGGTTATATGTACCCATCCAATCAATTGGACACTCAAAAATTTGGTCAAAAACGGCAGCAAGGGGTCCATATTTACTCCGTCACATGTTTATAATGTGACAATGTAACCATTTCCGTGCCGGCCGTATTTAAGCGATATCTTATCACCTGATTAAGATATGGTTAAGTGACAAAGCTAGCCTAGAGGATGAGACGATTATCCTAACCATCAAGGGTTTGTGTTATTTCATAGTGTGACAAAGTCAACTACACTGTGCCTTTTAATAGGGTCACTCATATTTACCAATATTCTCAAACTCAAATGAACGTGTCCTTAAACTAATTTAATTGAACATGGAGTTTGACGTTGGAGCTTTATACTTTACAATTTAAATAACCTTACCTGAATAATTAAATAGGGTGAATACCAGGGACAAAAGGAAATCGCGGCATGTACGGAATCGCGATTTTTCCCATTATTATTATTATTAATCAACTATATACAGCAAACACAAGATAATAGGAAATAAATCATAAAATCGAGTGGCCGAGTAGTCTCGACTCACCCATAGCTTCTCCATAAGCGTCTATCATGAGCTTTGTACACTAAATCGTTGAAATTACTTAAACTAAATCTTTTATTTACAATCACAATAATATTCTTCGTCATAATGTCTTTTAATAATAAGTCAAATAAATTTGAACGAGGTCTGCCCCTCCTTCCTTTGTAGTCAAAACATCCTAAACATGCAAATCTAAAAGATAAGAAAGCGGGAGTGTCATCACCGCTTCTGAGAACGTGCCCAAGCATCTTCCATCGTGATTTCTTGATCCTTTCAGTAAGGGGACTGACATTACATCTCTTATATAAGTTCTCGTTACTGATAACCGTAGGCCAATAGGTGTTGATTATCTGTCTCAGATGCTTCCTTTGAAGAACGTCGACAGATGCCATTACGGTTTCAGGAGCAGCCCAGCTGCTACAGTTATACAACAACACTGAAGTGACAAGAGCTTCGTACAACTTCAGCTTTCTACTCTCACTGATCTGAACAGAACTATTCAACCAGGCTTTCTTGTAGGTGTAGAAGGCAACATTGGCTTTTTCCCATTATTTGCGACAAATTTGATGTATAGTTTAACCCATTAGGGACGATAGGGTCGTTTACGACCCACCTTTTCTAGAGGCTATAGAGGACAAACCATAATACTAAACGCAACGAATCTTTCGCACATATGCTCAAAATTTATTGGGCTACATTATTGACTTTCCAGTCGAGACCCAATTAATTACTAACAACTAAATAATTAGGCTAATTAGTCATAATTGGAAAATATTTCACTTTACTTCTTGCCTTGATTGGGACATTAAAACTTTATGTAGGCTTATTTTGTTGAGGACAAAATAGTTGCGGGCAACGATTTCCTTGAGACATATGAAAAGCCCGTGATAATCAGATGTTCACAAACAGAGCTAGACGCTGTTTACTAACTGCGGTCGCATACGACCCACTCGTCCGGGTCGCAAACGACCCATCACGGTTTTTCGGCTTTAACTTCTGAAACAAAGACGTTAGGATAAAATAAAAACTGTAGCATAAGTTAAAAACATATGGTCAATACTGTGTAACTCTAACCTTTTAAAAATAAAGAATTTGGGTCATTAACGACCCACTCGGCTCACTTGCTTATTACTACATATGTCCATGTAACTTCTTGAATTCAGCCTAAAGTATGACATCATAAGTTCAAAATCGCCTCTCAGCAAGTGATAATCATCATAAACTGCGAAAAATCAGTTAAATGGGTCATTAGCGACCCACTAGGACCACAAAATTGATTAATTAAATATAATGTTGTCAAACTTTTACAAATATTAGTATAAAAACATGTTATATCTTGGTCATTACTCCTGTACTTTGATTTAACTTTTAAAATCGATCAACTGGGTCAATAACGACCCACTCGGAAGTTGAACCACCTCATCAATTATTATCAGTATCATGCTGTTCCACCATCAAGAAAGACACTCGTAGGTCTTAATTCCACGCAAACCACGGGTGGCTGACTACTAGCCCTTCTGAGATCCAGCGCCAACTGAAGGGCCGTCATCACTCATCAAAGAGCTGCGAGAATAACACTACTGCATATGCCTGGAGTTGCGTCCTGACTATAATACTATGGTGCGTGGAAATCTGTACCGAAAGGACCGTGGCCGTGCCGCAAAAGAAAAGGAATCGGCCCTCGTTCCTAACTTGCTAGGTAATAGCCATGCTGTTGTTGTTGCTTATTAGATTCTGTTACCTTTTTCGTCAATTTCGAATCTTGGTAAACGACCTGCTACAACCCACCGCTTGAGACCCAGGGTCCCACGGTGATCAGATCATGTCACTCAAGAAAAATCCCCTGAACGAAGTATACGAGATATCATGTAACCTTGGGTAATACTGAAAGACGAGTGGTCAAATTGCATATTCTAATCCAACATGCCAATATGTTTTTTTCATTCCTAGAAAGTACGAGAATAACTAAACAACTGCTGCATTCAGATGGCTACATCTACAGCTCTGTGAAGAAGGACAAGGAAAAAGCCCCTCCCCCCCCCCCCCCCCCCATTTGGCTGGCGGTGCTGCAACCTGCAATCTCTCAGACAACTACCTCGTTTTGGGTAACAAACCCCGCAACAACGAGGCAGCTTTCAAAACGAAAACAAGTATTACGTAATCGGCCGAGAGGGAGGGGAGTTTCCAAATGATTAAGCTTGTGTAATTTTGACATAATAGCTATGTGGTGGGGGGGGGGGCGTAAAAATTGTCCAATAAGTGATTACGTAATATATGAACGGCCCCTAAGAAGTAAAGAAAGGGAGCTGCGAAGAGAGTAGATGCAGCCATCTGAAATCTGAATCCAGCAGTTGTATAGTTCTTCTTGGACGTTCTAGGAATCGGGAAAAGATAGGCATGTTGTTTGCTGTCTCACGACATTACGGTCGTGTACTAACAGCTGATAAACTCACCTACCTATCAATCCAATTCTGCCCATTATTCGTCAGTCATTGGGTGACGTGATCTGCAGATTACCGTGAGACTCCAGATCTCAGAAGGGCTAGTAGTCAGCCACCCTACCCGTGGTTTGCGTGGAATTAAGACCTACGAGTGTCTTTCTTGATGGTAGAACAACATGATACTGATAATTAATGTCGTGGTTCAACTTCCGAGTGGGTCGTTATTGACCCAGTTGATCGATTTTAAAATTTAAATCAACGTACAGGAGTAATGACCAAGATATAACATGTTTTTATACTAATATTTGTAAAAGTTTGACAACATTATATTTAGTTAATCAATTTTGTGGTCTTAGTGGGTCGCTAATGACCCATTTAACCGATTTTTCGCAGTTTATGATGATTATCACTTGCTGAGAGGCGATTTTGAACTTATGATGTCATGCTTTAGGCTGAATTCAAGAAGTTACATGGACATATGTAGTAATAAGCAAGTGAGCCGAGTGGGTCGTTAATGACCCAAATTCTTTATTTTTAAAAAGTTAGAGTCACACAGTATTGACCATATGTTTTTAACTTATGCTTTTTATTTTATTTTATCCTAACGTCTTTGTTTCAGAAGTTAAAGCCGAAAAACCGTGATGGGTCGTTAGCGACCCGGACGAGTGGGTCGTATGCGACCATAGCTGTATCTTTTAAAGTAAACGAGATACAGATTAGCTTTTTTGGATATCTCATTTTTGCTGTAAAGTGACCTAGTGTGTTAAACGGCATCAAAATCGGCAAACTTTAAAACTCGTCGTCCCTAATGGGTTAATATACCGCGAAATGTAATTCGCGGTATCGCGATTTTTGGCCAAAATCGCCGCGAAATCCTTTTGTCCCTGGTGAATACTGAATAGCATTTATTAATGCTTTATTTACCCGGAGAACTCTGTTTTACTTGTCCCTCGGTAACACAAGACCGTGAGCCGTGACACTTAGTCACAATAATTAAGTCATGAGTCATATTTCTAGCATTTTCCATTATTCGTAAACGAAAATATAAAATCGACGTCATGAAACCCATGATTATTTTAAATCTAGATTGACTCCAGTCTCCATTGTTCGATGATTTCATCAAAATTTTTTAGGAAAATGTTAACAGATTTGCGAATTTTGGACTCAAATTTACGTTGAAAAAAAAACTGAATTTATTTTGGAAAAATCCCGGCTAAAATCCCGGCTAAAACCAAAATCCCGGCCGGTACCGGTACAAAATTGCCGAATACCGGCCTTAGTGGCTCAGTTGGTTAATCCGGGCCTGGTATTGCTTGAGGTACCAGGTTCGATTCCCGACTCTGTCACTAGCCGTGGGGTGAGCGTCGTCGACGCTCAGCTAAGGATCCTGAGTGGTCTATGCAGCCCCCCGGTCCACTCAGCCAAATACTCGAGAAATCGGGTGTGAGGGTTAAATGAGGAGCTGCCCATTGCAGCAAAGTCTCGGGCGAAGAAAGTACGGTACACACTACCTTAACCGTCACTGGCCTAACGTATAATTGAATCCTTCGGCTTCCTGCAATTGGCTGGTTACACACTTGTGTAACAATGTGGCTGTTGGAATGTCCGAAGTAAAATAAGTGTTGAGATTCTTTTTAAAAATTCCGGCTGCGCCGGTATCCTGGTCGAGCCCTGTCTGACGCATAATTTTATCTATTTCTCGTGCAATTTTAGGTCAGACACAGTCATCAAAATGAGTTAATAAGAAGGTTTAAATTATAAGCAATTACAAACAATTGGGACTATCATTGTTTATGAGTACATATTATACGTCTATTAGGTGTTAATATAAGACACGTTAGTGTATTCCTGCATTGTACTCAATAATTTAACAAGTAGTATTATATAACAACCATATTTCTGTTTGTACAGGGAGCTGCTGGTAAACTACCGTCGCTATACATGGACTATGACTACAGTCTACAATCCTACTCTTTTAACAAATTACATACATATATTGAGAGGACTACTTCATCACAAGCAAAAAAATTGCCATCGGTAAATAAGGTAGGTTCATTTAACTGACTTCGTTAAATGAGTTACATATTTCCACACAAATTACGTGCAGTTGCTCGTGTGCGGTTACTTCTGAAAACTCTGTTTGGAGTTTTCACATAAGTAAATTTGCCGATAATACAATTTTACTCATTCTGGGCATATTACCTATATTATCATAATACAAGTATTTTTCAGGTCTGTCTTCTATAACCACGATGAAAAGAAAAGCTGGGCGAAAACATTTGAGACTGCAGAACTGGAACATTCTTTATTTGAAGACAGTGACTGCTGAGCTGTATCAAATCTATTAGCATCATTGCAGCTTCGATCAGAAACATAATTTAAAAACTATGGCAATGGAAGTCAGCCGATGTCAGAGTAAAAGCCAGCCGAAGTCCCGGGGTTGTGAAATTTGCATAAAGGGTAGGCAGCGGTACTTAATTTACCCGCAGACAAGTTTAACTCCCCTCTGCCCGTCTCTATTTTCAGGCCGTTACATTCCATTTTACGGGGAATGTCTGATGACTGCTGCCTAGTACCCTGATTGCCATCCTGATCATTTGGTGTAACTTTGTCCATTGATGCAAGCTAACCCAACCCCACTTCTACCTACCTTCATCACTGAATTTCTTCTCAGTGCCTTTCAAGAGCAGAAAAAATCACATTCTCTCCCTCATTAATGACAATGAAGAAGACTTCAAAGATGCCATTGAAATCCTTCTGGAAGATCATCCGACAGAACCCCTTACCACTCCCTCTACAGAGTCCTTTCTCACTCCCAAACCTATATCACCGTCAACTTCTCCTGAGCCTAAGCATTTTTCGGATCTTGTGAAACACGTCTAGCTTGACCTTCCAGAGCCCCTGGTTGATGGGGTAATGAAAGAACTTATAACGATGAAGACCGCACAACAGTAAAGAAAGTAAAGACCTTGTGGCTGAGTCCCCGCAATGATTCGTATAAGTATGGAAGGGTGGTCAACTAGCCCGAGCCGATCAACGAGTTCCCCAAAATTGTCGAGCTGATGAACCTTGTTAACAGCAATAAGGCCACCTTTGGAAACATGACAGCCTGTCTTGTCAGATGTATGTCCTGTAAAGGAGCTAACCTGAACTACCATGACGACAACGAACCATTGATTGATCAGGACAGTGACATTTGTACGGTGTCGTTCGGTGCAGCAAGAACACTGGACTTTATAAGGAACGACAACAACCCTACAGGCAGGAAAGGTACCCCTTCTTCCCCAGAATTATCTGTGCCAGCGACAGACCAGTCTCTCAATATCATGAAGTCTGGTTGTCAATCCAGACTACTGCATAGAATTCCTCCGGGTGGTGTTAGATACAGTCTTTCCTTTAGGAACCTAACTGACCCACACCACTCCTACCTCTTCTCGTCCTTCTCCTCATCATCCTTCTACCCGTCCTCATCATCCTCCCCCTCCTAACACTGGCCTCCCGTTAGCCCCCCTAAGAAGAAGATCATACTCCTCGCTGGAGATACTTCGAGCGACTGGAAATATAAAAACCCACCAAGGGTGAACAGACAGTTTTCAAAGTCGCTATAAGTATAATATATAAGGGTGGTCGCAAGATTGATGCTGTATTACACAGTACACTTAATCGAGCAATTTGTGAGACCACCTGCACCCTGATTTAGAGATTAAGAAACTGTTTGTGTGTGTAGGAACTAACGACATACGATACTGTCAGACTGGCATTATACACCTTAAAAGCCCTCTGCAGAACTTTATGTCCAAAATTAAATCCTTAGCTCCCTCAGCAAATATCTTTGTCCAGTCCCTTCTCCCTATACCTGCTAACGGTAACCCCCAAAGGCTCAAAGGAGAACAAAATGTGGTCTCTATGAACAAATTACTCTTTAGTCTTTGTTCCAAATTTAAATTATTTTACCTTGATGTCTTTAGTAGTTTCCTTAATTCATGGGGCGACAGGAACTACCAGTTATTTCCTAAGTATAGTCTAGAATCGAAGAAGTGGGATATTCACGCCAATGCTAGTGGTATGGGTGTGTTAGCAAGACACTATATCTTTCTCATTCACTCAACATGGTTTAATCCGTTGGGTTACTAAGATCGGTATAAGTATGATTCACATTTTCTTAGATAAGTTATTTAGATGTAATAAAAAGTAAATTCTGAGTGATAGATACACCTGGGTAAAACACGACCGTGAAATTGCTACACATGGGAATAAAATTAAATGACCAGCAACACTGCATATGAACCGGGAAGTTAAATTCTGTTGCTCGAAAAGTTTGTGGTAAAAGAAAAGTTTGCTACGTGTCTGTGTTGTCCAAGTTATGTTCACCCATTGGATTATTTGTCAGTTCACTAATTGTATATCTGTATATTTTGTTATTTCGTTGGATCTATCAACACGTGTGGATGCAGAAATTTCAACTCTAGATATCATACTAACCTACATAAGTTTAATTGTCTCGCAGTCTCGTGTGTAAACGACGATTTGATTAGGAAAACTTATACGGAGGAGATATAGGTCATGATTTAATATGATAATGAATAATTCACACGCCATTTCAATTTAGGTAACAGGACATCTGTCTGACAGCACTATTTCCTTGTGTTTGAAGTGATATCTCAAATTTGGCACATAGAAACTCGCTCAAACTTACACAGATTATCCGTCCTCAAACCATCATACTTAATGGAAAGTTTCAAGAAAATCGTACAGTAGGATACGAATAAACTATTGTCCGAATAACCTATTTTCTGAGTCGGACAGATGTCGCCCAATCAGTTTAATGTGGTTTAATGTGGTTACCGTCTCTAAAGTTGGCACGAGAGTTATTAATCTCCTATCTAACATCTATTCGAAGTCAATCCTGTAAACTGATACTCCTTTTTTAGTAATTTATACATGTGTTGTCTCCTTCTGATTTCCAGACTATTACCGGTCACGCTAAATTATAATGACATCAATGTGTCTAAAGAAATCGGTGGCATCACTCAGTAAACTGCGCGTCTTTGGCGCGTATCTTGTTGGAATGCATCAATCCGTATGCAGATCGGCGAGATGCGAAGGATTGACATCGTGAATCGAGCCAATTATGTGACATGTACATGACAGTGTAATTGTATTATTAAACAAAAATGAAAAAGTAAATAAATTTTAGTAATAATTGACGTAAACACAAAACATGTGCTTAAGTAACATTTACAATTTAGCGACTTACTATTTGTTTGTATTATTATCTAAAATATGAATTTTATAATTATTTCAATCTTCAACTGCTAAAAACAAATACTTACCAGCCCATCAATGAAGCAGTCACCCAAACAAAGCTCAGAGTTAATTTACCTTCGTATTGGAGGACTTCGCCGCAATTCGACGCACCGCACAGACTAGTAACTATGAACTAGCATTCTTTGTCATACGTTGTATGACCCGCCGCGCACGAGTGCGCGGCTCCCCTGTATCGTAAGATTACTGGGCCGCGCTCAGCTTGTCATTCCGTTAATGAACATAATAGCCTGGGGTCCTCAGGTAATCGTAAGAACGATAAAGTGAATCGACCTTGGGTATCATGACGTGATACAAAGTATTCTCGCTTCGTCGATCGCTGCTCTGCTTCGCAATTGTGTTTTCGATGGGCAAGCACTCGCCAAGCGAGGTTGACCATTGTTAATGATTTGGCCCGGCGCGCGCTACTTCGTAGCACTTGCCATCGAGAAGAAAGCGGCGCGCGCTACTTCGAAGAAATTTAGACGAGTAACATCCGTCAACAAGCGAGGCCGAAACAAACGGTGCAGGCTCCGCCTCGCAACTACGAAATAATGGGTGGTGTTTGCCGTTTATACAGTCCACAGTACGAGACATTTTGAGGTGCGAGACTCAAGTACAATAAATGGTAAGTTCAGGCTGTCAAGGCTGATGATGGTGGCAAAATATAGTGACATGACACGTCACAACAAATATAACCACTATAACACACTACACACTATAACTATTGACCATTGTACACAGTAAAACTAAAATATAAAATATAAACAAGAGACAAAAGAGTTTTACACTGCTTTTTTACAGAATTTTTATATAGGGTCATTGCTATATTATGTGTATATTTTTATCTGTTTTACACTGCTTCCATTGTATGACAGGTCATTTTTCCAGTGGTGTCCCTGAGGGTACGCCCATTTGTATTTTACTTAAAATCGTATTTTACTTAAGAATTTTCAGTTGGTTATTAATAACCATGTCAAGAAAGTGGGGTTCAGATATAGTCAGGTCAGAGTTAAAGTTGTTTCTGGGTTCTTCAATGTCATGTTCAAGTCCAACATCATTGTTAATGTCATGCATGGCAGGTGCATTACAGGAGAGGATATAGTCTGGGAGTTTTCCAGTTCTTGCATTGGCATCGCCACACATGATAACTTTTCCCTTTTGACGTAGTCTGATACAGAGGGTGTCAAGAGCAGAGAAGGTCTCAGCAGTATAGTCTGGATTTTTCTTGACATAGGACGAGTATGCAGGGCTGATATAGTAACATACTAAAAATCAAAATCAAGTTCAAAAAAGGTTTTGTTAAGTTTAACAACAATAATATCCTCAGATTCACTACAAGGCACACAGGAAACACCTTTTCTTAGGAAAACAAATTTTAGGAAAACAAATTTAAATTTTGGTATTTATTAATAACAATCAAAACATATCATATCATGAAAATAAAGCCGCGCGTTGGTTGACTGCCTCAGTAAGGTGAATAATTTAAGCTTGAAGGTGCCCTGCACATTTACAGAACCTTATGCGGCGATCACATATTCATGAGGACCTGCGAGCGCCAAATTTAATTTAAAGTTTCTAGAAATCATACATCACTACGAATTACTCATGCTTTTGGATTATAAGAGTGCGGATTGTCAGGTATTTCATTCATTCATACTTAATCAGTTTAAAGCTGTATATTTAGAACTCACTATTGTTTAAACTACGAAAGCAGAACGTAGATAATGGACAATATACCGACGACAATACCAAGGACCCGAGTGCCGCATTGACTTTTCCGGATCCGTTTTTACCGAAGGCTTATCCACCAGTTACTCATGCTGCATGTATAGTCTGATAATATTTTGCCTTATCTCTAGCAAGCATTCTGTAAATTGAAGTGTCGTATTTATTATAGAAGAGCCAGCCAACCTCCGCATTATAATCTTTTGTGTGCCAAGTTCGTTTATAAAATCTAATCATATAATAAAATTAACCAATAATCTAAGATGAACGGTATATCATAGCTCATCGTTATTAAAATCCGAATGGATGAATTAATCTTAAATCATTCTCAGCAAGAATGCTGACCCCTCCTGAGCGAGAATTTTTACGGTTGCTATTAAAGGAAAGGTATCCTTCGATTTTAACTTAATCTTAGTTTATTGGAGACACATTCATGTTAATTGAAACTAAACATGAATGTTTAGTTTCAATTTCTTTGAAATGATCGACGTTGCTCTCTTACATAGACCTTAATCAGTTAAAATGAAACACTAATTATAACATAAAGTATGGTATTAACATGTAGCATGGAAACTCTTAGATGAATTAAAACGTTTCTGATTAGTTTAGAGATTACCTATTATAAACTTTACAACATTATGTACCCAATTCAGAAGCTGAGATGTTTGTCCTTTATTAATAAATTAGAATTTACTTTTATCCATTAAATATATCAAATACTAAAAGTCTACTAAGTTGATCCTAACCAAAGTCTTATTAAACTTAGATTAAATCGAAATAAAACATGGCAAAGCAACAATACATAAGTATTGACGAGAATCTGCAAATAGATCCAGAGTTGCAGCGGTTGTCAGTGCAAACTTTTATCTTGCAATCCTTCTCGTTGTCTCCAAGGCAAGTTACATCTGAAGATTAAAAGTTTGTTAACTTAATGACAAGGCTGTTATATATACTGGGTTTCAATTTACTGTTCAATCGAATTTCCCCAAGAGGCCTGGTAAACAATATCTAGAACTCATTTGTTTCTGGGATGTGGTTGTATTTTTGGATTGTTCTGTTATTTTTTGCAAGGAATATTTTACTTACACGATTCAGCAAGCTTCTTTGGCTTATTGCAATCTCTAATGATTACATGTGCTCCTTTGTTTGTATAAAAGCTTGTTGTTGTACAATTAGAGCAACCATTCTCCAAAGACTGAAATAAATAAGAGTGACAAGATTGTGACCTCATATCAGTATGAGTATCAGTATAGATACTAATTTGGTACAATTACAAACAGCTTTTTAGCAGACCTAATAATTGTCATGTAAATAGTTGTGTTATCTTACTATGCATGTTTTGTAATCATTTTCTTTATTCCTTGAACATGTAAAGCAAGATATTCCCTTTGGATCATTTGCAGTAGAACTTTTCTCTGCAGTTGGTGTTTCAATCCTGTAACAAAATATCTAGTAAGTGATAGTTTTTATTGCAGTGCACAATCGTGCATCACTTATAACAGTCATGAAGTATGTATACATTACTCAAGCAAATTTACCATCATATCTTTAAAAGTACAGCCAAAACCGATTTTCTTCACTCAGAAACTCATAAAATAGACTTACTATTCTATATCGTCTGTAAACATATCTGAGGACTTAGATATCTCAAGTTAAACAAAACCAGCAACACAAAGCCAGCAACACAAAGCCAGCAACACAAAGCTTTTCTTTGCTTATTTTACAACTTCTTACCGTTGTGTGGTTTGATCGATTGTTACTGTTGGGCCTGCCCTAGATTGTTAAGAAGTTTACTATAGATAATAACCACTGCACTTGTGGTTATCATATTGTTTAGCTGCTGGATCCATGGCTCTGTTTTAGTGCAAAATAAGAGTTTTACATGCGTTTTTGAAACTGATCTATCTTACGTGGTTAAGAAACTCGGCTTTGAAGCAGTACGCAAATTTTCTGCAGTTGCTTTGCATATTATCACAAAGAGGATTGTGAAGAGAAGATGAAACCTTTTATTTCCACCGGACATCTTGTTATTTACTCTATACACAGCACTTGGAGACCTACATGGATAGGAATTAGGATATCACCACGAGATAATATCACGTTTGGCTGTGATAAGTAAGACATAATCAAATTATCATTTGTTTTCAATATAATGTGGTTTTTTATCTGGAAACATGACAAGTTTCAAATTATAAAATTTGCAATAGCACTGCAATGAAAGCTGTATGGACTATTACAAGAATCTGACTCACCCTCGCTATTGTTTGACTGACAGAAGTCCGTATATTTATTAAAATAATTCCTTTAACCACAAAACATTCTTTGTGGGTTCAACGAAACCAGCAAACAAACATGAAGAAGATAGTTGGTCACAGCATCGCTCCCAACAAGTTTCCCTAAAATAGATCAGTATTGAGATACTTTTAAGTTTAGATGACTGTGTAATTGTTTTCTGTTGGTTTACGGTGTGATTAAAAGATTTACTTTGTCCATGACCTCAAATGATCGTTATATCAAGATATCTCGGTATGGTAGATATCGGTTGCAAGCAATATATCAGTATGATGCAACGTCTAAAAGCAATTTTTAAGTAAAAGATGATTTCACAAGCAAATGTAGACAAGTCTCAGTTCAAAATAGATACATGTATACGTTGTATGCTCAGGAAATGTTGGTTAATTAATTACAGGATCAATCAATCAATTTGCAATGCTGAAATTGCTGATTAAACTATGCTTGGTCTGAACGATGCACTACTTTCATGATTTATGCATCTAGAACATCCGCCTAATCAGTATTCATTATAATTGGGTGTCAATGTGCGGTAATTGTCGGTAATATATACAGGAAATTAAACAGTTGTATCCTCTTCAGTAGACTAAATGTCATGGTAATGCAATGTCAAGTGAAGTACTGAATTATCATCTCTCTCAAAAGTTACACCACCTCCCGGCTTCCCAGCAAAAACAGGTAACATGTTAGGGTTTGAAAATATCAAGTATTTTTAGAAACAGAAGGTTCTAAATAAATCGACTGACAAGTCTTGTTCGGAGAAGAAGAGCAATTCTAAGACTAAGAGAATATCACAATGTCATGAACTCATATCATTTTGAGTTGACCCTATAACCTTCTTCCAGAATCAGAGCTGTCCAGCTACTATTTCTATTTGATCTGGATATCCTTATTCTTACAATTATTTTCAGTTTAACTCGTCGTGTTTGTGGACAGCGAAAAGTAACAATGGCTCATCAAAACCGCTGGTTAATTCCCTCAACCGGTACCATGACCGTAGCAGACAGGTAAAATTAGTTAATTAGTAAACAGGTGGCTACTAAATTGAGAAATCTCTTCAGATTGTGTGTAACTAAAAATCACGTACACATTACCCGATGACGCCATCAGAACTTTCCAGATAATTATTTCCGGTTCTGTCACGTGCTAATACAGTGTTCAATAGTCTCCAGGACCTCCCACAAACACCTCAACCCCTCCCAAGAAAGCCCCAAATTCCAGTCCACGCAACACCAAGACATCACCCCGCACTATAAAATCTAAACTTACTCCACAAACGAGCCCTAAAAATGGACGGTACAACAGAGTGGATCAGGGGAGGGGTGGACCAGGGGTGTCACCGCCTAATGGCTCCGTCAAGAAACAGCTCTACAAGCCTGCATCTCAGCTCATTCAAGGTTCTTAATAAATTTACTTCTCTTTCATGTTTTTCTAGTTATTATAATTTTTGTAATTTCAATTTTTGTGATTCCACTTATTCTATGCCCATGGACAATCAATCTATCTCATTAAGCCAACTAAGAAATTTAAATTGGTTGTGAAATGTAAATCATTAATCAATAAATATTTAATCAAACAAATCATTTAAAAACAAGAGTACGATGAAAAAAATTTTATGACCATACAAATTATTAAATTAATTGAAAGCCATAAAAAGGCCACCATATTGCAAAAGAATAAATTTTCAAATGCATGCAGTTGGCTAAATAATTAACACTACACTTTTGACTAATTATTTTCATAATTGCACCGGTTTTTTCAAGGGAGTGCGATTACAAAACTAATTGCACTGTTTTGAGAGCAACCGAAAACATATTCGGTGCGATTACAAAACTAATCGCACTGATTTTCTGAAAGATACTGTGATATATTAATAGCTTTCAGAGGTGATTTAACGGGTGATACTTGGGTGGTCTGAATATCCACAGCAGGCAAGCAAAACGTTCAAACAATCATCACAACTGCAGATAATAGGGACTGACCGATTCTTGGTCCATACCATCCTAGCAGCCAATAGCAATCGATAAGTTATGTCACGTGACTCAGATCCGACCAATCACATAATTAGCATCGAAGGTTATCCTATATTTAGTTACTTGATTGAACAAATCAACCGAGGGAGAGTCGGTGGATGACGTCACTTCGTTTCTCGGAGCACTGTTTTGATCTCAAAACCGTTCGATTAGTTTATATAATCTCACTGTTTTTAGACCAACTAACAACACAGTCCGTGCGATTATAAACATATCGCACCGATTATATAACACCAGAAGCGTGTAGTTATACGCGAATCTAACTGCATGTATATTGTATAATACCATTGCAGAATGCACCAGTTATTGCACTCGGCTGCGCCTCATGAAATAACTGCAATAATCGAACTCGGCTTCGCCTCGTGCGATTATTGTATCAATTTACACTCGGCTGCGCCTCGTGCAATTAATAGTGTAATCGCATTAAACGCAGTTAGATTAGCATATATAATCAAGTTTTCCTTTTAAACAGTTTCCGGACTAGTTACAAAGCCATATCATTAAAATTAAAATTTGCTTCCGTTAGTTCATCTTCATTGTTTATTTTAATATATCACAAAATACAGAAACGCACAAAGTCTATTAGAAGTGACATATCTCGTGTTATTTAGCTAGCTCGAAGAGGTCTTCGTTGCTGTAGATTTCATTAGATCTACTATCTGTACTACTATCTCTCCTACTATATGTACTACTAGCTCACTAACTGTCCTACTATATGTCCTACTAGCTACTAAGTGTCCTTCTATCTGCGGGGCTAGAAACTGTCAGACATCTCTGTTATGATGTTATCTGCGTAGTAATCCTCTTCTTCGTCCTGGACACGACCTCTCCCCCATGCAATATCTCCTACGTGTGGTATAGTGTTGTCCGTATAGTAGTCCTCATCATCTACTATGACGTCATCTGCCCCATTTAGTATGACGTCATCTGCCCCTCCCACTTTCTTCATGGGCATATCTGTCCTGCCTCCGTCTGGTAGTATAATGTCCGCATAGAATTCCTCATCATCTACTTTGACGTCATCTACCTCTACCACGACCTCGTTATCTGTTCTGCCGCCATTGGACTGCTTTCCGTCAGTGAAGCCATTGTTTTTGAACACATCATCAACTATCACTGGTCCTTTTTGTGGTTTCTTTCCACGTCCCAAGCATTTCCGGCAAGTAGCAATGGACAGGATTACAGTGGTAATAAAGAAGATGATGGCTAGGGTTGAAGTTATTGCTGTTATCAGGATTATACTCTTATCTTTCTTAACGCCTGAAATTATAACATTATGGTGAATAAATATTAAATGGTTTTTTAACCGACGGTGTTTGGTACAAATCCTCTACAAATCCTCTACAAATCCTCTACAAATCCTCTACAAATCAGTTCAAGTAATCGGTTTAATCCTTATGTCTAACAGAATTGTCATGAATTGGCTTGAAAAATAAAAGTTTGTTCAGATAACTTGTAACCCAGGTTATACTGATTTTCGGTGTTCTGTATTTCTGCTCACTAACCTGATGTTCTGGTAATTTGGTGAGTTTCAAGAACCTTCTCCCCATCCTTCACAGTACAAGTCACATTATCTTCATTCTGCAGAGTCAGAGTCAGCTTAACCCGAGGTGGTATATCAGTGGTTTTGTTTCCGTTTGAAATATCCCCCGCGCCTCCACAGTCCAATTTAACACCATCTAGTGAGGACCCCTGGATTACCCAGACAAATAGTGAGGAGACGTTTGGCATGCTGACGTAGGAGCAACCAGGACAGCTGAGGATGACAGTTTTGTTTGTGGGTTCTGTTGGCTGCGCAGTTGTTACTGCGGAGACTTTACCATGGTGAAGTACCAGAAGTATCTGGAGAACGATTACAAAAGAAAACATCGCTAGTAGAGAAAAGATTTTGTAATCTACGCGTCTGCAGGAAGTCGAATAAGGATACGAAATATGATCGTTATAATACTTCTTTACCTCGTCGGGTCGTAAACTTTCCTCTACTCAAGTAAATGTTTCAATTTACTCACAACTGTAATATGTGTTGCCCCCGTGACCGTCCGGCTGTAGTGACGCAATGTGTTTCCTGTTATTTGATACCTATTAGTAATACAAAATCACTGACTTAAAGAGTAACTATCAAACATCATGAAGAAACGAAAATAATAGAGCGAGCCTTATTTTATGCATGATATTGTAGCACTTCTAATTTTGTCTTTTAAACATGAATGTAACACTCGTCTTAAACTTGTTGCCTTCGGGAATTTTCTCTGTGACAAAATTTGGAACTGGTTAACGTAGGTTTATTGCGTTGTTCTCGAAAGCAATTTTCTGTGGAATATATAAAATTGCTCATTTCTCATCATACTATAATAGGTACATCATCACTTTTTTTATCAATAAACTTTCAAATTGTTACACAAATACATCATTTTATTTCAAAGAAAATATCGCCGAATGACCTTACATGCCTTGACAAGTGACCGAGTGTAAACAAAATAAGGGACACCGAAACACCAGTTGACCAGTAAACTGATCATAGCAATTACATCGGGCCCTAAATGCACCTATAAGTGAAGCGATGCTGCAACCAAGGCATGCTAGGTTTATTCCATTGAACTAATAAGGTTACAGCCTAAAATATAAATATAATAAATAACAATGTACCATAAATCATAATTATAAACACACTTTATTTAACATATTTTATTAATTATACTTTTTATCAATTTATATTTAAACAATATAGTTACATTAAGGTAAATTGTTTAACTGTCAGAGGATGTTATATGGTCGTTTAGAACTGTCCAGAGGTACTTAATGAAATGGGTTTTAAACACGGATGGTCTTGAGATTTCCCTTAATTCATAAGGGAGTTTATTCCAAAGAATGTGTGCTCTGTAAAAGTAAGACTTAGATATGCCTGAACATCTGGAGCAGCAAATGATAAAAGATAAATAAGATATCACCATAATATTTAGATTTCTTGATCATCAACAAGGCCATCTTTCAGCACCAATCCGAAGAAACTCCTCTTCTGAATTTCCCCCACAACCCATCCGGCGCAACTCCTCCGAGCTGATAGTCTTAACACCACGTGGCGCAACTAACGCACTTCCTCGACCTCCTTCTAGAGCTCCAACACAAGCAGAAATCGTTGGCACTCAAATCAGAACAAAAAACAGACCTTACTCACCAAAGGCTGGTTAGTGAAATTAGTTCTTGAGTTACTCATTACTGAAAGTGGGGAGTTGACGGGAGGTGGCACATATTTGGGATATTCGAGCGCTTGATCAAGTGATGAGACGCAGCTTATGTTTTGTAGCCAGGTTATCTTCGCTGCAAAAACTAAAATTGATATAGTAACTAAATAAAACGATGAAAACGATTAACACATGCATTTTGAGAACTACTCTTATCAGGCGTTTATAAATTGTCTAGATGACTAATAAACAGATTGTCTAATTATCTAATTATCTTGTGACTAATTATAATCAGGCGGTAATCTACCAGATCAGTACCGAGGGTACATGACCCCCGCTCCGTGTCCTACACCACCTCCCTCCTATAAGTCTAGCAATATCAACCATCACAGAGTCAACAGTGCTAAATATAGCGAACAGAGGTGAGCTTCTTGGTGGAAGATATTGCTTTGCTGAAGTGTTTTAATGCCTTTTTTCTAGGTTGGAATGCAAATCCTTTAAAATATAGTTGGTTTTCTGAATCATAGATCACAGAATCAGAAAAAACTGTTTATTGGGCCGGATTCATATCATACACTGAACTCTAGCTCTTTTCCAAACAGCAAGTACAATTTTCTCAGCAGATTTCTCAACTAACCTCCTCTTCAACAGCAGGTTCTCCTCCCTGTCCTACACGATTTCAGAAGGTAGAGTCAGCACCCCCGGTGTAATCCCCCAAGTAACAGGACGTGAAACTCCGGGGGTTATGTCAGGGAGACCTGATAGTGTGGATTATGGGTATGTGTCCGGGATCAGCTCCTCCGTTAACACTCCGCACAGTCCTAACAAACATTCAGGTTAGTGCTTGTAAACAGCTTGTAGTGTTTTAGCTGGTAGTTTAAGACTGGAAACAATATGCGCCATTTAGATCTGATGGGTGCGGTATCTCACAATTTGCTGTATATTTTCTGCGCTTTTATCTGTTTATATGTAATCATGAGCAAGTTCAGGATTCTTGGGAATCGAATAGGATTCGTTAGAATTCGGTGTCAATCATAAATTCTGTAATCTGTATACCGTATGATAAATTTAAATATCTACAACAAAATGTTAGAAAGGTATAGAACATGAAGAAGTAACACGTGATAGAAAGTTGTTTTGTTCACTGCTAGATAAACATGTCACGTGATAGTGTAAACCAGGTCACTACCACTACCACAACCACAACTAATGACCGTACCTTTACCGTTACTTTCACCATTCACTCAGAACTATTAGTGGGCTACATTTTAACAATTCTCCCATTGTTATATTAAATATTTCCATTATCTACGTGGATTTAATGACATAAGGCATTATGTCTATCTAAGTTTTTTCTTAAAACGGATCACTTTCTAAGCGTTTCCAGTATTTAAAACCGTTGGAATATTATTTACAACAAATAAATACAAGGGATATCTATTATCTGGGCACAATATTCCATTTACACACAAAGTGCTTACGTGTCTTGGCGCAATTGAGATTTTAAATTTGGTCGTTTTCGTTTGTTGCTCGTTAAATCGGTTGGTAATTTGTCTCAAAACGTCGAGGATGATTGGGTCCATTGTTCGCCGTTCGAGATTTGATCGAAGTTGCAAAATATGGGGTCTGGCCTGAGAAGTCCCTGATGTACTGATACAGAGACCTGTAATGATTTTAGCAATTTAGTTGTGTGTTTAGTCGTTTCTTTAACATCACCTCACTCAATAGAAACGTCATCAGCCCCGCTCCAGAACCCCGCTCTGGTGCACACAATCAGCAGTTAGTGGACAGGATCTTGATTTAACATCCTGGTCGATACAAATTAACTTTCCATCATGTTCCCGAATTCCTAGCATACAGATAATATTTCCACACAACGATTATAAAATGGCCATTGGTCATCTAGAACCTTACACTTTCGCTGTATAAATTTGTAACCATGGTAACGGTAATTTACTGCAATCCATGAAGTTTGGGAGACGCCTCTCGAGTCTCGGGAGGACAAGTAGTGAGGTGTCATTGTTTAAAAGATATTAACTGATAAGTGCGATCGAACAAGTTGTAAGCACCACTTTGGTCCAACCATTGATAGCCACTTGTTATTGGAGTATTGTTATTATCGGGTCAAGACCCCGATGTCGAGTCTTGGAGGTGATAAAAATTAAAATGATAAGTATTATAATCTCATTCACCACCAATTTGGCACTCCTCAGTATATCCTTCTTTTAAATGCCTTTATTATTATCATAAACTTATCAAACAATATAATTATATAAGTTAAATAAATATCATTCACGTTCGCGCTGAAACTTGTTAAGCTTCAGGCATGAAATAGTCGTTATAATCCCGCAACTATGGCTAGCTAGCTGAGCGTGTGTAAGCGAGTGATAAATAATCACCGTGACACGTGCTCGGTACGTGACCAATAAGATATCTGCCAATATGTCACGTGGTGATCTTGATGACGTCACGTGTCACTGGATGCACTCGAAATTTTGATTTTCACATGCAGGACTATCGAAAATTTTAGTAAAAATTATGGCCACGTGATCTGTATTCAACACGGAGAATCGATGATAATTTGCAATCGTGCACACGGATAGTCAACCGAGCTGTTTAAAATGATGTTTTTGAAAAGAGAATCGATTTAGTTTGTCAGGTTATTATTATTGATAAGAAAAGGAGGAATTTAAAATTCACACTAATTAATAGATAATTACAGCGACATGATTTGATCATTTGATCAGTCTTTTAGGGCATTAATCCGGAATTTTCAATCCTTAAAACGGTACGGGGGAGGACACATATTTCTAGACAGTAAAAACCAAATCTACATCCGTTTCATCCAGACTTCATGGTCGTGGTAAGGACCTCTTAAATTCCACTTTCTACTGATAATATATCGTCCCTTTAAAGCATTATTTCAAGTCATGACTCATTTTCCAAAAATAGATGTACCTAAACAGTTTGTGGAAATCTGAGATCACCTCCCCCACAGATTAAAGAATATGATATATCTTAATATCTTGGCGCAGCTTTCAGTCTGCTGCAGAACAATAACAGAACAGTTAAAAGTCCTGAAAAGTCGCGGTTTTTTACACGCTGAAAAACTTTAACACCCTAGTAGTAGTCTCACTGTCTGCTAGATAAATTGAATTCATTAACATTTCCAATTGTCATCTAACCATATTGTACAGTCCACAAGTTAAAATACATACTGTTTCTACCACACGAAGAACAATCATATTCTTAAAGGTTTTGTACCTGATTAGATACAAGCCAATTAGGATGGAGCCTTGAGACATAGATTTCGGAACACCTTCGCTCAACGTAAAGAGACTCATTTAAAAAACACTTTCTGAAATCGTCTTTAATTGTTTAGTGAGAAAGAAGAATTGTGACGTATAAAATTTGCTGTCTGAGAACGCATTCTTTTCTGATTCCTTAACAAGGAAGTTACATCGGGTTCGGAATAGGCTGCCACTGTTTCAGCAGACGTTGAAAGTTTTAAAGATTAATGGCGATAATCAGGGTTACAATCCTCCTATGAGAATTTACCGATTATTTGCTTCTTCCCAAAGTGGCCTCTAAAAATAGATCTTTAAAATTTCTCAGAATACCGCGGTGATACGCCTCAAATCAAAGAGGAGCCAGGTTACTATGGTTACTATGATAACGGTTACTCTCAACCTAGATACGGATCTTGCCAAACTCCTTATCAGTACCAGGTTTGTTTTATATCTGGTGTATGTTTTTCTTGGTTGTGTTTTTGTAAAAGATGAGGCTTCTCTCTGCACAGGGAATCCTAGAATTTGATAAATAAGTTCGCACATTTCACCTTGTTAGACTTACAACGTAGCGACGGTAAATAAGATCTGGAAGGTAACACTGTAGCACTGGTTAATGACGAGTTCTCGGAACACCGTTTAGGGAGCACCTAACCTTGCTGCTGAGTAAAATATCAGATTACAATCTCTCACCTTCCTCAGTATCAGACTCCAGACCGACTCAACTCGGTGCCAAGTCTGACCATGACAGCGCAGAGCCTGACCCAGACGCTGACGGCGCATAGTCTGACGACAGCGGCGACTGTGGCGTCAAGTGCGATTGGCAATGCTAACACGAGTTTATCTCAACTGTTGAGTACACTGCCGAGTGATAACACCCTACATTCTCTTCCTTGCTTACCTAATGGTCAGTGTCAAAACTAAAAACTAAAAAGTTTAACTTTTACTTCCCACATATTGTACAACAATTTACCGGGGTAATCACAGGGCTTCAATGATCCATCCTACAGTGGTCATCTCGACCATGGCCACAGCTTCCTACTAAGAAGAAGAATGATCAGTGTCATTATTACAACATTTTGGTAGTTTTTCCAAATTTTTGTATAGTTTCCTAATTTTGGGACTGCCCTTTTATGGATATGATTCCAGAATAATCTTTTTGTACATTATTTCTGGAAAACACTGAATATTAAAATGTAATATCCAAATTATTATTAATTCTTTGAAATTACAGATGAAGATCGATCCAAAGATCTCCACTCAACCTTTTACCAGACAGTTAACAACAATAACAATGAAGAATACAACAAACAGAGTAAGTCTGATCTTTCTTATTTCACCTTTTTCCAAACTTATAACTATTGATTATTTTAGCCGATAAAGCTCATAAAACAATTGATAACATCATATCTTCTTTTTCAGTTCAACCTCCAGTACATTATCAACCGGATAACCTATCTGCAAATCCTCCCTCCAACCACGCTGGACAGAACTATCCCATGCACCACCAAATGTCACCGAATCAGGTGATGACGACACAAAACCAGGTGATGACATCACCGAACCAGGTTATGACGTCACAGAATCAGATAATGACAACACAGCATCAAATAATGACGTCACTCACTCAGCATATACCGCAAGGAGTTTATAACAACTATAATGGTGGTTCAGCTGTTCTTCAAACGAACTCCGATCATTCAGGTTAGAATCAGGATTAAAGATTTTCCCGCGGAAACAATTCCTTATATAGGTTCTGGATGTGCCACAATCGTAATTTAATTTTAGAATTTGTAGATGTGTTAATCGCGAAACAATTAGGGTTATCGAATATTAAATATTCGGTTGAACCGAATACCGAACCTTCAAACCACTGAATTGCACCAGTGCTCAAACGAAAATCTAACAGTTCTGTTAAAATTTCTGCGGAATAACTTCTAAAATAACCTCAAAAACAATCTTAAATTTCAGAGTTTAGCGCATTGACTCAGGAGGCATCGCAGTCAACACCTTACAAAGACTACAAGAATTATGAAATCAGTGAAAACCCCAGCTGCATGGAACAATCTCCTCCAGCAGCTTTCATGATGACGTCATCAAATGGCCACTTGACGTCATCAAATGATCACATGACAAACAATCACATGATGTCACAGCAAGCTGCTCCCCCGCTATCTCACATGAACGCCGAACAAGTCAACTCTGATCAGAACAACGTTTATCAGAACATGCTGATGAATTCACCTGAACACTTAATGAATTCACCCCAAAACACCTTATCACCGGGTCACACACTATCACCTTGTCACACACTATCACCAAATGGAAGCATGGTTTCAAATGGTCAAATGGTGTCACCAAATCAAAGTATGGTTTCAAATGGTCAGAATATGGGATCATCGGGTCAAAACATGGTGTCTCCAGGCCAACAAAACATGGTATCACCGGGACAATATCACCTATCACCCGGTAACCAGATCACCTCACCGGGAGGAGTGTCCGTCACCAGGCATGAGATGGATAACCTAAACATCAACCAACCATCTCCAGACATTCCTGATAAAAAGGTTAGTTATTGAGTTTCTCACAGTATTTAAAAGTATTAATGATAACTTACTAAAACTACTCATTGTATTAAAAGTGGGGAGGCGGATAATCCTTGTATAGGTCTGCATTATTAACTCATGTTCTTTTCACTCACAAATCTACAAGTTCAGCTCCCAAAAGTGGATGCATTGTGAAATATTGTCGATTAGTGTGGCTGTAATTGTATCAACCATGTATATTGTATAGTGTACAAGCAGATATTCCAATGGACTCGATTTCAACTGGTAAATAAAGTTCGTGGAATCTTTCAATAAAACTGACATGTAGCCAAGCACCAAAATCAAAAATAAGTTAAAGATATATAATATTATAGAAAAATTAAAGCTCGTACATCACTAATTTGTGTAATCAAGGTGCCCTCTGTTTTTTCGGCCTACCGTACGCCCTGAAGTTTATTGTACATGTCAGTGTCACGTCTATAATAATAATGCACACTTACTTAATGAAATGTGTTGACAAAACTTCTGCACTCCTTGACAGAAGTTCGTCGTGCAATACTTGTGTCCTCTCTGTTTTTATTTGCTTTTATGATAAATATATTAATTTTGAATTCTGATTTGAAAATGTTTTGATATATGTGACACGACGGACTTGTTTGACGAAGGTTTGAAGTTTGGCTCTAATGTTTAAACGTATAAGGAAATGTTTATTTTCCTTCTGGGTAAAGCATGATAATGAGCAGCTAGCTAAGGCTAGTAAAATGGCATTGTTAGATATTGAGCAGCTAGGTTGAGCTATGAGGATGTTTTAGTACAGTACAGTAATCCTCCTCTCCTCAGGTTATCAAGGTGGAGCAGCAAGAATGTGAGCTTGAGTTAACTAGGTGAGTTTCGATTGGTAAAATATTTACAGCACAATCATAGTGGTATAATTACTTTGTTGGCAATTGGTAGATAATAACTATTGTTTCAAACCTCTCAAATTCGAGTGCATCTAAAAACTGTTGGCCAAAATAACATCATCTTATTTTTTAAACACCTCCCATTTTCTAAGATAGCCCCGATAAAAGTATCTCACTTCACTGCTCATTTCAGAGAGAAACCCTCGACCGAAGAGACGAATCTCCTCCACATGCTGGAAACAGAAGCTAACGAATCTAACTCCCGTAAAACTGACACTGAACAGGCCCTGAACGAGTTTATATTCGACTACGAGGACAAGCTCTCTGATCTGAGTAGCATCAAGCTAGATGTGGGGTCGGAATACTCTTTTACGCCAGGTTAGCTGATAGATTTTTGAATTTTAGTTTCATTATCAATATTCTGATATTTGATACTCAGTTATTCGAGCTTTTCATTTAGAATTAAAACTTGAGTCCTTCATATTATTATGGAGCCAGGGTGTGGACTGGCTACTCCTGGTTAACTAAATTATGTTTAGTTGATATTTCATGACTATCATGAACGTAATGAAATTCAGACGATAATCGCATGTTTCCATTAAATTGTTCATTTTCTGGGTGGGATCATTCCTCTATTTCGTAATCACCACTCCTCTCGGGTAATCACCACCTTAAAAATAATAAATATCAAATAAGTGTACAAATTGATATTCTTCAGATGGAGGAGAGGGTTTCTTCCCGGAGGATATGTTAGCGGACTCTCCCAAGCCTCTTCTCAACATGAACCACAGTGCTACCAGGCATAAATACAAGCTTATCAACTCCATGGCAGGTATTGACATTCTACTGATCATCATACTTATCATACTCTTCATGTTAACAATCATTTTAAAATGAGCATTAATTTTTAAGAGTGAGCCTGTCGCTGGTAGGCGGATGCGACAGAGGGTGCGTCATCATGTGTTAGGTGAAGCGTGTGTCCCCCTTCAAACTTGAAGTTGATTGCATTTCTAGTGATGCAGTGTAAATAATGGGAGTTTAAAACAACTCCCACACGGGGGAAACCGAAAACATCACGTGACTTTAATCTCTGAAATCGTAAGAAACGGATAAGACTATCCCATTGGTTGTTGAAGAAATATCATGGATTGCGATTGGGTGTTTTCTCTCATGCAGTCGTTCGAGCCACCTGGGGAACGATATAAGTAAGCTAAACTATAATGTGTACTCAATGTCAGATCATCTCGTCCGATCACAGCTCTGTGACCCTCCCACGTGACTGTGTGTGGACCAATTAGGGACCAGAACTCGGTGAGCTGGTTCTGTGACATTGGGTGATCTAATAAACAAATGAACTGGAGACGCGGAGCGGGATACTGGGATGGAAATAGAAAAGATAATGATGTGTAGAAATAGTGAGAGGTGAAGGCTATTTTTGGTATAAGTTCTGATTTGTTAATGTGGTCGGGTTTCCATTTTCCCGGACAGACGGAACCGCGTAGGTTGCAATATTATGACGTCACAAATTAGGAGGGGCGTGAGCCATTGGTCATAAAATTTAGTCCAAGGCCCTAAAAATTAAAATGGCTATCGTCACGAGACAGCTATTCTTAAACCGTGCGTATGGAGACGCTATTTTAATGAAATGAACTCCTTACAAAAACTGGAAGATTTCCATGTGCAATTAAATTTACTGTGGCCCGATATACCGGAAACCGGATTTCCATCAAGATAGTGTTAATCAAATCCCCGATTGACCGGGATGTTCGATTGAACGGATGTTTCGACGAGAAGTAACCATCCTACAAGTATCCCGGTCAACCTGGGACTATCCCGGGGTTTCTTCCTTTTTTGTTGTTAATTGTCAGTAGAAAAATCAGAGCTAGCCTACTCGGGTGTCACGCCGGAGGTCCTGGTCTATTAATCAAGTGATCATATAACCTGCTCATCACTTTGTTATCCATTACTATGGCCCGGAGGCCACAGGTAAGGATTACTCTACTGATAGACTGTTTTGTAGAATCAGTAAGTTTAGATATGTTCAAACAAAACTCTTGGTTGTGTTTGAAATTTGACAATAAAAGTGTGTTTCATTGTGTTGTTTGTGATACCTTATAATTGACTTACTCCAGGTTGGCTCGTTTCTGATGAGGATTTACCGATGCCAAATTTACAGAATGCGTCATCATGCGCTCAACGCTCAGCACTTGTGCACAAAGAGGAATATTCATGGCGCTCTGTATATAATGTATGTATTTTCTCGGAAACATATATTTTCCAGTTGGTTTTGAATATTAAATCTTACCTAAAGATGACCATGGTCGTGATGATCGTTTATTTGCAACCACACTTTCTGAACATCATAGAGATTTGCTGATTAGCTTAAACGAAATGGACACATTCTTCATTTACAAATGTGTCTTGAAATTAATATACTTATAGCTTAAGCTTTATACTTTTCAATCAAGTGGCTCAAAATATTCTTTCAGCTTGTGCAAATAACCACAAAGAGTGAAACCAGCTTTTTTTTGCCGGTACCCTTAAGGGATTTCAAGTCAACTTATAAAATCAAAAAATTCACACACCAAACAATATCTCACTCCCATCGGGCAGAAATTAACCTTTAATAAATCATAGTAAGTAAATGTATAGTCTATAGAATATGCGTATGAAAACTTAGCCTAGTTAAATAAAACCTACTGGTGAGACTTCCTTCACGATTGCTATTCAGCAATGTATGGTCCAAAAATCATCACGGGAAATTATATGAGTAACAATCCCGTTGGCCATACTTCATCAGATCTCAAAAAGTCTGCACTTCGAGTTGCTATACCAAATTTGAAATTCAGCGAAATCACGCACTTTATTCTAAACTCTTAAACTCAGCCCAATTGCACACAAATCAACAAAGAAGATAACAGATTAATCTGAGTTAATTATCTCTTATATGCATTCACTACACTCAAAACTTTTCCGTCGTTAATATAGTGATACTTCGATGGTTCAGCAGATATTTTCTCCTTTAATTGAGCTACGAGTTTTTTATGTGTTGCTTGTTCCTCTCGGTTTCTATCTGGAGCAACGAACCAGCTGTGGTAGGTTGTACAGAGGGACTTTTTCAAATGATTTGCTCTCGAGAGAGCCTCTTTCACTGATTCGTTACTATTCATAGTCACTTTGATTGGCCTCGGCCTACCATCCTCCCGTTTCTTCACACCGATACGATTAGCAGCTACAATATCAGAGTGGTTATTGTGTTGCAAAATCTTGTCCAGTACTTCATCTGCTAAATCAGCGGGGCACGTGGAGTAATCCTCCGGAACTCCGTGGACGATGAAGTTCCTGCTCCGAGCGTCGTCTTGAACAGCAGACTGTACTGCTTTCTTCACTGTCTTCAAAGTTGGAGCTTTATTGTCGCAGTTTTTCCTGGCAATTTCGCTCCATGTCTTCATCTCCGTTTTAATCTCAGTTTGAACAGTCTCCTGCACAGATTTTAGCTGCTCTCTCTGCACTTTTATCAGTTCTGACTTAACATAATCGATGGTACCGGCTGCAGATTTGCATAAAACAATGTTACTGATCAGTGATTTGGTTAAGTTCTCAATGAGTTTTGCCATCGTGTCCTTGTTACATTTCATGAGTGCTGCATGATTCAGTTCCTCAAATTTTTCAATATTGACAGCGTTCTTCGCAGTATTTGCAGTATTGACAGCTTTTAAAACTTTTTCCACTGATGAATGCAAAGCTTCCTCTTGTGTGTGTAGATCTGCTACGTTGAATTCCATTGTCAATTGTACAACAAACGGGCTGTACAGCACGGTGCTGTGTTAAAATTGATAAAACAGCTGATAAGAGACGATTTAAACCGTTGCATAAGCTAGATAAAATGATTGCTACTGATAAAATGATTGCTACTGCTATTTAGTATTTACGTATCTCACTAGTGAACAACAATATCGATTAAAAGTTAAAACCTACCATCTACGACCATTGAACGACCATGTTCACGAAAATTATAATCCCTGATCTTTACAAATAGGCAACGGGATTCTCGTTGTTTATATATTTACTAAACCTTATTACCTGTTTAGAATAATGATTATTTGGACCCTATAATTTAGTAACAATGAATATCCCAACAGGGTAACATGTCAATGGTCGGTGTTGAGTTGGGCTGTATTCCACATTGCATGGTGGAAACAATTCTCAGCTCTGCAGTCGCTCCTGTCCTGAATGGAATCAAAAGCAGTGGTTTGTCCTCTTTAAAATTTCTCATAAATTTCTAGACAAAACGATTTCATGAATCAAAGATATGTTACTAATTTCTTTGATTCAATTTTTCTTATCTTGGAAATGAGCAGAGTTCTCAAAATTGAATATTTAATTTTTGGCCCAAGGACAAAAATTGAGGTTAGATCTAGTAAATAAATCTTTGGTGTGCACACTTTTTCAAAGTCAGAAACGTATGTAAATATAGTTGGATACGATCAACAGTTCTTAAGTTTTCTAAATTTATCTCAAATTCAGGTTTGATGCATGTTCCTGAAAGCTCATACACGAAGTTTATGTCTACAATTGAAACCCCTAGGGAGCCTTCTCAATGGGAACTGAACGGAACTGCTGGTAAAATCAATAACTTTTTCTTTCCCTGCCCTCTCACTTACACTATTGTTTGACATACGTTGCTACGTAGCGCATACGAAATACTGTATCTGACCTGGTGTGTTCTAGAAAATGTAACCAGGATTTGTTTTCAGCCGTAAAAACTGGTCTGAAGTTGGCAGGACTGGGAGGACTGGAACATTTAGAAGAGGATGAAGACAAGAAACCATTTTCTTGTGATTACAATGGTTGCAACAAAAGATATGTAAAACAAAGTCATCTTGAGGTAAGTTTACTGCACCGTGCAGCGAGAAGTTCTACTAGAGCTGATCACAGTGACGCGCGATCAAAATATATGTGATACTTTTTCATTGCAAACGCTGTCTGTAGCAAAAACTTCCCACGCCGCGCGCACGTGTCTTCTTCCTTTTATGGACAGACGTGACAGAAACAAACAGTTTGACTGATATGATCAGTCAAGCATAGCCTTTTGATAACTTTAAGTCCAAGGTTCTAGTAAATCAAGTAAATTATAACATGGACATTGTATTGTTAAATTATCCTCTTAGTATAAAGTTTAAATTCATGCATATTATTCAACGCAATAGAAAATCACATGAGAGATTTACAGTTTATAAATAATATAGATATTTAATAATATTTGTTGTGGTATGAAGTTCTAATAATATAACTAGGATTGATATTTGTAGATGCACAAACGGAAACACACTGGAGAGAGACCATACCCCTGCGAAGTGTGTGAGAAACGGTTTTCGAGATCTGATCAATTGAAGAGGCACATGAGGCAACATACAGGTACATACTACATGAAGATATTCAATCTACACTGAAATATTCACGAAATCCTTCGCTTTTCATTAACATAACCTATCGACGTCATTTCATGTTAACGTCATTCGACCTGAATCCCTGCAAAGCTCAGTTACTGAATTACAAGTCAGTGAGCTCAACAATTGCTGAATTAGTATGAAGATTGTTCCTTGCAGTCGACTCACTAATTTTGTTCAAATCAAATCAAGTCACTTTATTTACCGATCTTTTCAGGTGACAAACCATTCAAGTGTTCGACCTGCGAGAAACAATTCTCAAGATCAGACCACTTGAAAACTCACATGAGGACACACACGGGCGAAAAACCTTTCATATGCATGTGGGGCGACTGCACCAAGAGGTAATTATTATTTTTATATCACAGTTATACGCGTTTGACACTTTTTATCTATCTGATTCCCCAGTAGTATGTCGTTCAGTGGTAGTTACATGTATGTTTCAATTTGGAGATCTCACGATACCCAAACCGCAGGTTCGCAAGATCGGACGAGTTATCACGACACACGGCGATGCACGAGAAACATCTAAAGAAACTGATGATAACACCCGACATATACCAGACCTGAGATAAGAACGTATTAATTCATGTTGCTATGCAGTGACTTGTAATATTACCGACTCCGACCAAACATACCAGGATGTTTGATTAAGATATTCTTTATGATATGAAACGCCGTAAAAAACTACCAGCTGCGACAAGATACCAGGCACCAGCTGCCAAAGGAAGAAATAGTCTGAAAAAAGAGGCTGAACTTTACGGTGGAGGACCTAATATCGAGGTGGCAGCTCTTGATGAGAAATCTACTCCGTTTTGGAACTGCTGAACATCTCTCGTCGGATAAGCTCAGTGTAAACGTTCACTAGATTTTTTCTTGACGAAAATATTCTTGTGTTTAGTTCTCTTTATTAAGCCATTGCTCTATACAGTCACTTAAAAGTCTTGTCAGTGATCTGAAACATTATGAACAATTTTCCTGGAAACTATAGCGATTTGTACGATTTGAATTTATACTTTGTAAATAGTTATGTTTTTATAAATTGTGATTAGATTTAGATTAAGATCCGCATAGCTTTGAAACAAAATAAAAACCTGTAAGTGGTGAGAAGCAGCCGACAATCCGACTTGGAGGCTCGAGAGCGTGTTGTTTACTTCTCAAAACTTGTAACTGTTAATAATGATTTAAATTACAGACTTTAGCTCATTTGGCGTGTAATTTCAGTTTTCGAGAGCTTGGCACACATCCAATTCCATTTTCAGATTTCAGCAAGAGGTATATTTGAAGTTGTGGAAAGTTGTATTTTTAGATAGTGTTTATATCACCAAGTTATATTATACTCTACCGCGAGAGAGAAAAACTAAAAGCGGGTATTTCCCATAATATTAATTAGCTTATGAACAATAGTGCAAATAAAGATACATTATGACAAGGTACAATATGTGTTAGAGGTTTTATGTTTAAAAAGTTTTTTCCACAGACAAGGTGATATTGGTCACCAGGATGTGATTTAATGTTAAATTCAAAATTGGCAAATTTTTCTTTTTCGTGTTCAATTCCTGCCTACCTGCCTAGGTCGATCCAGATGTTCAATTATGTTCATACATATATGTGTGCAAAGTTTTTTACTGTGAAAGGTTTGAGAAGGTTTTTATGAAAATAGATGTACACAGAGTATGATTGTTTATATAATTAATACTTCATTGTTTTATCTTTTTACAGCATGTTAGAAAAGGAACATCCGATTATTTTACTTGTATTTACTATCGATAGATAATTTTTGCAACCAAAAAGAAATTATATCAATATGAATTACCGTTCTACTTCTCAAATACGAAATGATACTGACAATGAAATCGGTTGCTCGTTTCCACATTCGATTCATTGACGGACTGCATTAAATTGTGACTAGTTTAGGTTAATTACATCAATCTGAATCACACTCTGTAGAAATATTTTTGGATTGCTTTCGGGCCGATACCTAGCGTACAGTAAATAGTGTGTCCAACGAGCTGCAGTTTATTGCATCAATAGTGCCGGCTATTGCTAGTCGGTCGACATGAACGATATATCGTCACGTGTTACGTGATCCAGAGAATAGTACACCGTATGTCGATTCGACATTGTCGAAATATACTGTATAATCAGAATGAGGTTTAAATCACTTTACATCTTTAGATCTATCGAGTAGTGGCAACATTTTGCAGCTCATTGGCGTTTTGTGGGCGACTTAGAGGTGGCGGCATGTTGCCAGCATTGTGATATCCTTTGTAAAAGTTTTACACTATCACTATGTTCGTAGAAATATTTCCTTTACCCTCATGAGCTGTAGTCCATATTGAGTTCGCTAAGGTCTGTAGCTAGGTCTAAAGCGAAGGTCTGTACTTGTAGCTACGTCTGCTAGCTAAGGGATCGTTCACGTATTACGTAATCACTTTTTGGACAATTTTTAACCCCCCCCCTGGCCCTCCCCTCCCCGTAATAATTTTACACATCGCTATTGTGTCATAATTACACTAGTATAATCATTTGGAAAGCCCCTCCACCTCTACTCGAATGATTACGTAATATGTGAACGACCCCCCTCCTCCCCCATCGGCTGATTACGTATTATGCAAACGACCCCCCTCCCCCCTCGGCTGATAACGTAATATGTGAACGACCCCTAACTCTAAGGTCTGTATTGCTAAAAAACTCCTCCGGGTTAGAATAATCAGCCAGGCGGGCGGGATAGATTTTAGATAATCCCGGCTCCCGCTGTTAGTTTTTCCCCGCCTAATAAATAACCCCGGTACGTACAGCTTCTATAATCCCGCCCGGCCCCGCTAATTTGGCTTAACAAAATTTGTTTTGTTTTGATATCCCATGAGAATTTCATCCGCGCAATGTCACGTGTTTTGATGACGTGTATTACATGACTAACTACTACGACGCACATTTAAATGTGGTAGAAGAAGCAAAGGAGTACTGTTTCCCAGATCATGAAATGTAAGTGATCCATCTCGATTGAAATTAGTACCATGGAATAGTTGGGAAGTTTTGACTAAATGTGAGAAAATATATTTAAAGTCACTATTGTGACGGTACATTAGAACTAGACAGTGTTTTAGTTAAAATTAAATGGAGAAGAGTCATATTTCTGCTTCCCTCAAGGGCGGCAGGAAAAGCATTCATTGAGGAAATGCCTAAAGTGGCCAACAATTTTACATCAGGCAGTGCTATGGAATCAGTGACCATGACCCTTTTGATGATAATGCCATCACTACTGTTGCAGAAACCCTCAAAGAGGTCCAAAGCAAAGGAACACACTGAAATGTTGAAGAGAAGACTTGTTTTGTGGCAGGCAGGTAAGTCAAAAGGGGGGGGGGGGGGGGGGTCTAGCCATTATTACGTAATATTGCTGTCAGGAGGTTGGGGTTGGGTCTTGATTACGGTTGATTACGGATGGGGGGGGGGGGGGGGAAGGGGGGCCGGGGTAAAAATTGCTAAAATATTGATTACGTAATATGTGGTACGACACCTTCTTTGAATGTAAATAAAACCCGAATTTAATTCGTTGTTTGACAAAATTCTTTGTTTTACTAAATATACGTTAATGATAGCAAAAAATATTTGTATATTGATAAATGTTTTCACAAAAAGATAAAATTAAAAAAGAAACTATAACAGTGAACTAAAATTATTTTTTGGAAAAAAATGTTTCCTTCGAAATGTCCATTCACTCATCTTCTGCTGGTGTTGGTGGTAGTGTTGGTGGCGCCAGTGTTGGTGGTAGTGTTGGTGGCGCCAGTGTTGGTGCCAGTGTTGGTTCTTTGAAAATTTGTGGTTCTGGTTCACATTCGTGTCCACACATTTTTACCATTTGCTTTTCTACTTTTTTGCACTGCTTATCTGTACTACGGCACAAACCAAAACTTCCTTTGCCTTGGGCTATGCATTTATTGTTCCATTTTCTTTCGATCTTCTTACACTTTTCCAGCAAACTATTTGGTTCGCTCCTACCAGTAACAACTGCAAGTACACCAATCAAGATAAAGACAGTCAGTAGCAGTCTTCCCATTGCAATTTACCTACAAAAATGTAACCATTTTTTATTGAAATCTTTTAAATCAATCAATCACATACAAATTACACAATGGAATAAACTACAAAAATACCTTGAGAGAAAGTGTGCATTTGCAAGCTAGTTTATAATATGGTAACTATCCTATCATAAGTTGTTCACGAACAGCTGTTCGCGAACTACTGTTCACGAACAGGGGTCGGGCTATCTGGGTACTGTACAAAACACAAAACACAAATATCGAGTGCAGAGTGTCAGGGTCAGGGTAAGGGTCAGGGTCAGGGTCAGGGTCAGAGTCAGGGTCAGGGTCAGGGTCAGGGTCAGGGTCAGGGTCAGGGTCAGGGTCAGGGTCAGGGTCAGGGTCAGGGTCAGGGTCAGGGTCAGGGTCAGGGTCAGGGTCAGGGTCAGGGTCAGGGTCAGGGTCAGGGTCAGGGTCAGGGTCAGGGTCAGGGTCAGGGTCAGGGTCAGGGTCAGGGTCAGGGTCAGGGTCAGGGTCAGGGTCAGGGTCAGGGTCAGGGTCAGGGTCAGGGTCAGGGTCAGGGTCAGGGTCAGGGTCAGGGTCAGGGTCAGGGTCAGGGTCAGGGTCAGGGTCAGGGTCAGGGTCAGGGTCAGGGTCAGGGTCAGGGTCAGGGTCAGGGTCAGGGTCAGGGTCAGGGTCAGGGTCAGGGTCAGGGTCAGGGTCAGGGTCAGGGTCAGGGTCAGGGTCAGGGTCAGGGTCAGGGTCAGGGTCAGGGTCAGGGTCAGGGTCAGGGTCAGGGTCAGGGTCAGGGTCAGGGTCAGGGTCAGGGTCAGGGTCAGGGTCAGGGTCAGGGTCAGGGTCAGGGTCAGGGTCAGGGTCAGGGTCAGGGTCAGGGTCAGGGTCAGGGTCAGGGTCAGGGTCAGGGTCAGGGTCAGGGTCAGGGTCAGGGTCAGGGTCAGGGTCAGGGTCAGGGTCAGGGTCAGGGTCAGGGTCAGGGTCAGGGTCAGGGTCAGGGTCAGGGTCAGGGTCAGGGTCAGGGTCAGGGTCAAGGTCAGGGTCTAATTATAGTTAAGACTAGTAGTACAATTTGTGTAAAGGAATTACTCATGGTCAGTCTATAAAACACATGAAAAGCAGTGTGCACCATATACCTTAGTCTCTAGCTTTGTTATCAAAACACGTGATTCGATCACGTGATATTATCTCATTGTAAACAGGGTTTATTTGTTTAATTACGTGTAGTATGGTAATTGTAAAGTATTAAGACAAGTTAACTAATAATATTATGTATATGATCTGAGTACAGAAGTCTGGCGTGGTCTGGGAAGCTGGGAGGAACTTTCGAGATCGTCTGATCTCGAAAGTTCGGAAAGATCGGAAGGGCTGATCTAAAAGAAAGCTCTGCTCAGTATTTATAGCTAATCTAACTACTAGACTAACAAGCTAGTTAATGCGGAATATATAATTATATGACATCTAACTTTGTTCTGCAAATACATTACATGTTTATAAACATAATTCGGCGAAATGACAGGCTGAGCGCCGCCCAGTAAAGGTTGGCATGTCGCGGCGATTTTTGGCCTAAATAATTGCGATTTTCTTTTGTCCTTGATATCATGTGTGGAATCTCGATTATCCCCATTTTCTGTAACAAATCGCGATTTTCTCAGATCCTCGCGACAAATTGCGCATTTTCTTTTATATTAAATATTAAATCTGAACATCAAATTCGCGTATTTTCCTTCAAATCGGCAGGCCAAATATCACGTTTCCTGTAAGTATAAGAAACCAATCACATCCAAAGCCTTCCAAATGAAAGTACGGACTTAAGAAAACCGAAAAATATTCTCGGCTTATAATGATCAGAGTAGCATGAAATATGAACAAAAGTACTAGTAGTTTCCAGAAAAACTTTGAAAATTGTTAGAACATTTTCGGTCCAAGTCATTTTCGATACGTACCTTTTACGAAGGCAGCGCTCCCGCTTCCGAGCTCGTATTGCGAAGGAGAGCTGGAGAGGCCTGCCTTCCGATTGGAGGACTTCGCCGCTTTGACGCACCGCGCAAACTAGCATTCTTGCTTTGCAGAGCAACGATCTCAATGGGTTGACATCGTCAGTCAACCTCCGATCCGAGATCATCGCATTACAAAGCCAAAGGGCCGGAACCCTCGAGTCCAAAATCGTATATCGAAGGGTACGGTAGGTGCGGATTTCGAAAACCGAAAAAACATTTTCGGCTCATAATGATCAGGGTAACATAAAATATGAACAAATGTAGTTTCAGAAAAACTTTGAATTTACAAAATTTTTGGGAAAAAAACCGAAAATATATTTAAAATTTTTTTTCCCAAAAATGTTTAGAAACCTAAATAAAAAAGTTGGCCCTTTTTGGCCCCCCCCCCCCCGCTTCCTGCACCCCTGAACACTGATATACCATACAATTTAGAGAAGGGTAAATAGAATAGTAAATTGTGGTGATATGAATGGCAAACCAGGGTTTGAAACTTGAATCCTAACCAAATGTATTCCTTCCTTCCTAGTAGTAGTAACGGCAGTCAATTAAGGTTTATGGTTAACAAACACTCAAATACCTATAATTATATCAATATGGGGATCGAGGACCAAGGTACATAATCTGATACTGATAGTGATAGTAATGTATTGTAGGTTAATAAGTATAACCTACCAGTACCAAGACGCGCGCCGAGTTGTATACTCGTCGACGGTCTTGCAACAAATATTTTACGACTATCATAATTCATATCATATCAAGTAATGAACAACTCTTCGCCTTTTGTAAAACTGAATGTAAGCCCTAGCCCTACTAGTACTATAATTGAGGCAAGTAAAGAAGGGGAACAGAAATTTTTAACGTTTTGACAGACAACAGAGATGCTGGAGACATGAAAGTAGGAAAAAAGGCCTCTCTGGCCGGCCGACCGGAGAGCACGCTTCGCGTATACTGCAATTACAACGTGTAGCAATTAAGTTGTGTTTGAGATGATTGAATGGGTACTGGGTAGTGTTGCTCTAAGCAGACTCTTCTCCATGATGCCACATTATCAATTATCCACATATTCTCATATAGTCATGATGGCGATGCTTGTTAGCTTAATTATTGATTGTGTTACTCGTTATTGTGTAACAGCTGCTGAACTACTGAACTACCTACAGTAGTTCGACAAACCCGGCCTAAGGTTCGACTCTGTCGAACTAAAGTGCGCGCTACCAGGACTCAAGTTCGACACGTACTAAAATTCGACAAGAGAACTTCTACTGTCGAACTAGAGTTTTTAAATCTCGGATCTCAAGTGACGATCCTTTACGATCAGCTTAAAATCTGTTCGTAAATTTGTTTTCCACTTGTTTCATGATGTTCAGCCATGTGTACTGTAAATGTAATCTCAATTGTTAGTTAGCAGAATTTTAGACTTAGCGGAGAAATAAAAGACTATCGTGGTAACCGTAACTTGTACTCCGTTTTATAGATTTTGTAGAGTACGCTGTATATTTATAAATATCTACCAGATAGACTAGACTATATTAATTCATGAAGGAGTAACCAGCTATATTTAATTATGCGCTGAAGAGGCCGCCAGCAGCTACAAGTAAAATACCCGAAAACTATGTTTTTGGGTAAGTTAAATGTTAAAGGTACTTTTTGGTGACAAACGGATTTGAGTCATTCTCAAAGTAGGCTTTGACAATAGCATGTTTGAAGAGCCTTACTGAAAGTAATAGTAAACTTATACTATACATTATACTATACTAGAAAACCCGTAGTCACAGGGAGGAAACTAAAAGCGTTCTTTGAAAGTAAGTTTTTATCGCATGAAAAAACATCTATCCCAACCGAAAATACAGTCGATCTAAATTTAAAACACTTTCAAAGTTTCAATACAACGTTATTACCACAAAACCGATCAAAATTTCGTAACAAGAATCATTGCAAGTGCACGTGCGCGTAAGTTGTAAGTGTAACGACCGCGTTACTATGCAACTTCTATTTATTTACATAATTTGCACGTGGGTGGTCGTACAAAAAGAATTTTCTGAATTATAGTAGAGATAGTAATAACTTTATTTAACTTGAAACACTTTACAACAGTACTGTCCGTTGTAGTAGACGTTGTATTGGGGAAAGACATAGGACGAACAGAAAGAATTTAAAGCATTACATGAAACATGCAATATGGCCCGCAAAACAGGAGCCATACTAAATTAATCTAAATCTATCGTACCCTGCAACGTAGCCAGTTTTATAAATGGTTACGTTCCTTGCAACGCGTGATCCTTTAATTGAAAAACAGGATTTTATTTCTGGTGGTAGTTGACTTAAGACTGGCATCGCGCTGCAATTAGATTTTGCGTGGCACCGTGCACCGGAAAGGTTTCTGCAACAACTTGATTACTGGGCCGCGCTCAGCATTTCATTCCGCCGAATCTCTATTTATGAACATAAAAGCCTGAGGTACCCAGGTAACAACTTGATTGGTGAGGTGCCGTGCAAGGCTGCAAGCTAATCCACTTGGTATGATTTTCCAACGTACAGAAGGGTCTGATAATAACGTACCGGCTAATCCCGGTCAAAGTAAAATAAAATGAAGAACTAGAAGCTGTTAATAAAAAAACGGTTTTACATAAACCCTTACCCCAATCCAAACCATAACCAAAAACCCGAAGAATCGGAGATAACTTAACGGGTGATACTCGTAAAATATCTGTTCCATATATACAGGACCGTCGACGAGTCCAACTCGGCGCGCGAGTCCAACTCGGCGCGAGTCCAACTCGGCGCGCGTCCTGGTAGGTTGTAAACCTACAAGAGATAACCGAAGAGGTCACGTCAGGATGCCTCAGGAGGTACCTGACGTTTATTAAAGTTTAAGTTACTATTTTAAGTTTAAAGTTACTATGAGTTCAAGGAGGAAAGTAACAGTTCCTGCTTGAACCTAGCAGGACCGGTGCTTTAATCAGCACTGTCAGTAAGACTTTTCGTTTCACTAATTTTTTCGGGGAAGGAGTATTGAGAAGCCAAGAGTGTTCCGCAGAAGCAATATTACGACTACGAGGCAATTGGATCTCATCCGACCTTTTGATTGTGTAATTCAATTAAAATTCCCTACCAGTCTGCAGGAGTGCAGGAGTAGGACTATATGAATATCAGTATATCTGTATATCTTTCGATGAGTCTTAATGCCTGGAAAAACAGTAAAGGCAAAGCTAAGGGGTTAGACTTAGGGGGTATAATAGTATTTTAGGCCATAGGGGGTAAATAGTATAGCGACTGCGAGTACAAATACAAATACAATGGCGGCGGTCGTTGTCATACGTTGTATGACCCGCCGCGCACGAAGTGCGCGGCTCCCCCTGTAGCGTCGAAGACGCTACTATAGTGAAGCGACCGTGGGGGTCACCGCGTGATACAAGGCGGTCGTGCTTGCCAGCACTGTGAGTGTGATAAGTGCATATATTGATTCTGAACACATTGCAAAAGATATGATCTCGATTCATGAAGTTTGAAAGAAGTTACTGCAATGCACGCAATTTGGGCCTTGGGGAGTGTGCTTTCTGTTATTGGTTATGTGGAGATATAACCTGCACCTTTAGAAAAGTACCGGGGCGCCATCTTAGTAGGGGGGCCGGGGGCGCCAAATCGTCGTTTGAATATGGGACAATTTGGAAAGACTTAACGATCTCGGGATAGGCTGTAAATGTAATTTTAATAACCAAGTTTGATGGAAACATTTTAAGAATGTTATACAGACACAGTAACATTCTTACATTTTTGTGTATTGTGCTATATGCAATGTGGTACAACTAACAGGGATACCTATAACATAATTAGACGATCGCAATTAGAAAGTAAACTTACAGGGGGTCAAGTTCAACTGGCTGAACAACTGAGGAGGAAGTGGCGGGGTTAGGATTGGAGAAAGGAGGTGGGGATACGAAATCATCTTCAGAGTCGTTCATTTACTTTCAGTTTTATAAAAGGAGTCTAAATGAATCTGATAAGGGCGTAACTGAAATACCGAATATTTAATATGGCGCAGAGCTTAGAACTATAAGTATAAGAACTATAGACGCATAGCAACGGATGATGCGCAACGATCCAATGCGAAATATTTAAAACCACATTTCAATCGATGCGCGTGAGTGCCTACAAATTTGCTTTTGGCGGAGATATAAACTGCGCCTTCAGCGAATTATTTATGTAGAATGAACGACCGCCCTGACCCCACGTGCAAATAGATTAGAAATAAGAAGTTGCGTAGTTACCATGGTAACGAGGATTGTAACATGCACGTGCACGTGCAATAATTGTTTTGATACATGTTACGTATCCCAAATATCAGAGATATATATTTTTCCGCCTTCGGCGGCGCGCGCCTCGCGCGCGAAAAGTGGCATGCAACGTATGTCAATGATTGTTTTAACGTCATTTTGATCGGTTTTGTTGATACTACGCTGTGTTTAGTACGAGCAACATTTTAATCGGCTGTATCTTTGGTTGTTACGGATATTTTTGACGCGATTTAAACTTACTAACAAAAAATACTATTACTATTAATCTATTAGCTTCCTCCCTATGACCACGGGTTTTCTAGTATAATTATAAACGCACTCTAGAATCCAAATCTATAAAGTGCAATACGCAGCGAGTAACTGGAGCGCCATGGGTAGTTAGCAGTAGCAAATGGGCGAATTAAACACGTACTGTTTTATCTTGAATAGTACTAGTACGAACCGTACCTTAGTACGGACCGTAGCACGTACCGTTTAATTTTATGTTGTGCAACTATGAGTATGACGCAACAAGTGGATTTTACCCTTTTATGTAATTGCCTTTCTATGTCTATTATATGGCCTTTCAATTTTAATACGTATTGAACTTTAAGAAATAGTTTTCATTACCACCCACAATCTTAATTGACGATGTTAATTCATCTCAGCTCGGCGCGGCACAGTAACCGAGTAACGCATATCGCGCTACAACCCACAATCCAGACCGCCACGACTGATGACGTCATACAATTTAGCAGATTGGTTCGTTATTGTGAAAATATAGCCGTGTTAAAATTAAATACTTGGGGTTTGTAGTTGTACCAACACATGTTCGTTCAGTAAGTTGCTTTTTACTGTTTAGCTATTTATAAGCTTGGTTTTTCTGAAATGAATCAATGCATTATGGGTAAGTTTTCGAATGGAAGTAAGTTAATTATAAATACTTTCAGGATGTCATCAGTGACTCATCACTCTCTTTTGAACAAAATTTATTCACAACAGGGTATTTGTGTTGATAAAGTCGTGATTGTGGAACATTTGACTTTGTAGTTTGTTTTCTAGCACACTATACCTTTTAAAGCCACAGCCGATAGATTTAAAATAGTGATATGTGACAAGAGAGACAATTGAATTACATTCGCATTGAAATCAAATCAATTTTTATCATTTTAAAGTTTTTATACCAAAAAAACGCAAGAACGTTTGTACTTTGTAATCTGGTTAAAATTACGCGTAAATGGCAATCTTATTATTTTTCCAAGTCTCAAACAGTATATGATTACAGCTGCTTTAAGCTTTATCATCCAGTAATCAAATTTTTAATTTAAACTTGAAAGGCTTATTTTATCAACATTGAAGTTGAACAGGACCCATTTTTACTCGTATCACATATTTCAGCATTGCTTAATAACTATACAGCTATTTTTAGCTAGGGATATCAATGTAGTTTAATTTATAACTGTGCTTGGTACATAACATTAACAATAACATTATGAAACTGGAAACAATCTTTTAAAATTCCTCAAAACATGCAACAAAACATATAGAAGTATTACTGACTAAGGGCGATTAAGATTCTGCTTCTAAAAGAAAATCTATCTTATTTACAATGGTTTAGATTACACGAGGCACTGTTACAAAAATCAGAGGTTATATATAACAAATGTTCGGATGCGCTTCTTCAATCATTCCGATGAAATTATTCACCCATTATTTCAGTACAAAAATATTAGCATGAAACCCCCAACATATCTAAAAGATCTGTTTTAGCCCATATTACCAGTATTTTACCATCACCAGGATGGTCTTTAAGTTTTAGCGTTAACGTAAAGTAGAAAATACTGAATAGTCAGATTGTCTGTTCTCGCTATCAAGCTCTTTTATAGCACATTTTACGGAAACTAAAGGTTGAAAAGGCGGGTAACACGTTAAATCGAGCTCCCATTGCACTCAAAGGTCACTCGTCTGCAAAGAACTCATCCACAATCAGACAAATCTCTAGTTTATCAGGCCCAGCAATTCGCTCCAAGTTTTTCCTGAAAATGTGAGTTTTATAATTCTATTAATTATAAATAATATGAATATTATAGTAACATGGCGTTTTTGTTTCAATCCAGCGTTATGACTTATGAATATCATTATCTTGACTAAAACGAAATTAAAGAAATTTCGTTTTTATTTGCGTAACGTATTCAGTATTGAATATTGATCTGACACGCACGGATTAAACAGGTAAGTGTATTTTTGATAACATTTCACGTATTTCATGTCAGATTTAGGAAAAAGGCGTGCCGTGATGCATGCGGGACAATTCATTTTTTCATTCAATCTAATATCGACCTTTCATTACTTTTATCAACATTATTTTCTTTCTATCTAAATATCACTATATACTTATATTAACAGAATGGAGTACTGAGGGTCAATATTCCCGTCGGCGATCTCAGATTGTTTTATTTTCTGATCTATCATTATTTATATCTAAAATCGGTTGATTAAAACTAATCCTTTTCTAAGGACTGGTTTAGGTTACGCACTATATTCAAGAAAATTCCCCTTTCTTAGAACAATTCATAGATAAGAGCACTTTTCTGGCCACTACACCAAAAGCCTGCAACACTCCCAATTTGGTCTAAATACGAACCACTAAAGTGAAATTAAAATATAAAAGTGGAAATACTAAAGTGAAATGAAAATGTGAAAGTGGAACTACTAAAGTGAAATGAAAATGTGAAATGAAAGGTTCACATACACAAAAGTGTCGTGACTGTCGTAGTTGTCTTCGAATTCTTGGCATACCACTTGCACATCCCTGAACAGTGCTGGTCCTGTAGGAAAATTAATATTGATAAACAGCAAGAAACTCGACTTTTACTTATTTAAACTTGCATTTAATTGTAATTCTAACAGTATATTTCCATTGAAATAGATATTATCTAATCCCAAAACTTGACCATTTATTTTAATTTTATATTTTTTGTAAAATGAACTGTCAAAAAATGTTTCTAAGCCACTCCCAAAAATTGCTAAATTCTTTAATATTTAAAAACTTAACCGTTGAACTTGAATATCCACCGTCGTCAGAAAATGAACTGTCAAAGGGTCTTTTAAAAGTTCACAAATTGATTTAATCAGCTGATCTTTAAAGATTGTAATAATAGGAAGTTGCTGTCCTCTTTGAAAATTCAACAAAATCTGTTTGACACAGCCTACACACATGGAAAAAGTTAAAGTTGAAAGGATCTTCAAATAGTTGGAGTGTAAAGGGTCTTCAAATATTTGCTGCTCCCTATCATCATAGGCTATAGTTCATATGTTCGCCGACAATGATCCAGATTCGCAGCTATCGTTCAAGCCCTAGCTGGTACTGGTGGTGGTACAGCAGTGACTTGGCTTATATCTTGTTCAAGCCAGACATATTTGCAAAATATCAAACTTTAACGGCCTCAATTCAATTGAAGCATTAGAAAAATACTGCTAGGCTGCCAGTATAAGTCTCTATGAAGTGTTCTATTAAGCTATAGGAATGTTCTTGAATTTAGTGCTCACACATTATAAAACCTTATATCTGACAGGTATATTTAACTTGAAGTTGTGATTGGTAAAGATGGTGCTCCGATCAAATACCCCACTTTGCAATGACTTTGTGACCGAATTAATCATATTTGTCATGGGGGCATGTACCACGATCGGGGAACCTAATCAGTCATTACCTTGAAGCCGAGCTGTTGAGAGAAAAATGTCATTTGCATGATACAGTATAGACATCGCGAATTGTGATATAATTATCCAAGCTTGGCCTTCGTCTTCGATACGAACCGAAAGCACGTACTATAGGTATAGTACGTGCTATTATAGTACCTGACACGTGTTATAGCTTCTTACCTACCTCGTATTAAAAGGTTCGTACTGTTAAAAGGTTCGTACTGTTAAAAGATTCGTACTATTAAAAGGGTTGCGGGTGAGTATAGCTTGATTGGCCATTCAGCATCTTAAACCGTCATCGTGAAATTTCATTATCCATAGTATATTTTGTAATAATTGTGCGACTACTTTGGAGTTGTTTTATTTAAACAAACATTAAACAATTCACATAAAATCTTCGAGAAATATTGCCTAGCGACGAGTTTATCGCTTGAACTTTACCTTCATGTTTAATCATACAATTATTAATTAATTTAGAACTTACCGAGGGTATTAACACAGAACTGCCGTAAAGCTGCAATGTTACCCGCGCTCGTTGGAATAACGTAGTCCTCAACAAACTCTTCATCCTCCTCTGATAGGGCATTTAATGTTACATGAGCTGGTTTACGAAGCACCCAAATTTGACATAAAGTCACGCCAAACTTTATTAAATACGACAGGGTTGGTTAAACAGTCTTGTCTGGGGAGTGCTACTGTCACTGCTGTAACAATTTACTTGTCCAGTTAAGGATTAATTGATGCCAACCTTCTTCGATGTTGTCAAGGGCCACTTTTGCGCTCTTCATGGCCATCTCGAATATTGCCGCGTCCTCCTCGTCTGAATCAGCATCGTTTTCTTCCTGCATCGACTAATTGGTCAGGTCATTAGATGATTGATAGTCATACGATCTGCTGTCTCAGCAATAAATGAAAATAAACCCTATAAATCCAAAACAGTTTGTCCAGGGCCAAATGAACATGAGCCGGGGTGTCAAGCCAACCAACACCTCTCCCACTGAAGTCTCGCTACTTTAATGAAATGAATGAATGGTGTGACCCTGGCAAGCTAGTGGCCGAAGTCCCGATCTTAGTTTCATTTGCAGCCACAGTCCTATCGATATAAATTTAACTGCAGCACAGTCGGGACGCAACTCCAGTCGTATGTAGTTTCCTACCCTTCAGTTTTGAAATATAGTTTTAGTTTAATTGCAGGGGTAAAGGCACGGTTAAGTCTTTAAAACTGGAGGTGAAATGTCGGGAGGATGTAATGAGAGCCACTATCAATCTATCATTTGGTGGCTGACAGCTACCCGTCTGCAGTTTGGAAATATGTACTTGCCCGAGCGGAGTTCAAACTCGTTGTATATTGTGATAAGATTATGTAGTGTCGGAGGATGATTTAACGTAGGAGCTGGTAAAAATATGTCGAACAGCAACCCCGATGATTGGTCGAAAATAATCGTTGTAGCCTCCATATATTTGTAACTGATTCGTAACCCAGCTACGAAAGGAATCATTAAATGTCAGTTAGTTTTAGTACTCACGCCTGGGGCAGTGATGTCCGGTATATCCTCAACATTTTCAAAGTCAGGGATTTCATCGTAATCTTCGAAATCATCCGAATATTGGAATTCATCATCTTCCTGTAATGAAAGGATGATATTTTCTTGGATACGAATTTGAGCATATATATTATATAAGTTATATATCGTGACTGGATCATTTGAGATGTTATAGGAAAAAACAAATGTCAGAAAGAAAGAAAGGAGACCAATTTATTACAGCCGAACCGAACTTTACTGAACCCATGAAATTTCGGTCGTTCATTCATATAAGAATATGCTATTTCCCTATATGAGATAGAGACCCCTTCAATTAGTAACGTAATTTTAGTATAAATGATAAATGTATTTTTCAGCTTCATCTGAAATTAGGCGTAAGATATCAAAGCGTTCGAAGATTGTCCAATCAATAAAAACGTGATATTGCTCTGTACGACGTACGTGTTCAATTAATTTGACATTTCTTTAATTTATTTGTCAGAAAGGTAATGAACTTCATTCAAGCTCAATCTTTAAATGGGTCATCTCATTCACAAATTAAAACCATTCTCATACATCACGAACATGAAATTCTCAGATAAGCATGAAAAGTTTGAAAAAAAAGTTCACAAAAGAAAAATAATTCAATAACCTCATCATACTGATCCTCCTCTGTATCGTTGTCTGTTTTCTCTGAAATTATTTCATTTCAAATAACCAACTGATCGAATATTAATAATTATATAAGTAAATTATCACCAAGAAAAGTTTTCGATCAAGAATATATCAGAATAATGATACATAATTTAAAGTTCAGTACCAGGTACGTTGGGGAACTGGTTGTCAGGAACATCGTCTAGATTCAGGTCCAGATTATCTTCTATCGTAGCATTTTGATCTACGATAAACCCGATTGTGCCTACAAAAAATTCAACAAATAAATTCTATCAGGAATCTTCAGACAAATCTTAAGTTGTCTAATATTAACTGTTTGGGACCTAATTTGAACTGAACTTCTCGGTCTCCCCATATGACACATCAATAAGACATTTTGATAATAGGCGATTTCGTGAAACGATCTTGGTAATCAAGGACAATATCAGGATTCAGGTATTTTTGAGCTATAAAGCGATATGGTATTGGTCAAAACTGTCAGCGAAGATTGGAGACAAAGATTATGAATTTTGCGACACGAAGCAGTCGATTATATCCGAAAATGACAGGCACTCGATCTCAGGTGCACTTTCATACACTGCTGAGATGATTGATTGGTTAATTTTCAGACAGTTTATATCTAATTTTGGTGGCAATTTTGGTGGCTTGTTATTTTTAGATTATTGTTCGCCCATGATCATATTGTCTAGAGCAATTATTCCTTTAGTTAGAACGGGTAATACTAATAGTGAGTGTGCGTCATTATAATGGGTTCGAACAGGAATAATGACATGTTATAGTTATTTCGCGACCACTAAGTGCCACAAGACTATAAATAAAGTGGTGCCTCTTAACATTCTCCGGCACTGCTCACCAGGAGTGGTGGTGATAAGTTTATTTTCTTCTTCGTTAAAAGCACCCTCGATCTCCTCCGGGATGAAGCCGTGTGTTTCCCCTGGACCAGCAACTGACCATCCAACTGCCACCTGCAATTTCTAAAGAATAATGTTTGTTTATTTGTTTTGGGACCAGTTTTTGGTACACCGGCCAATGTTTACAAAATCATATGATACATAACAATATAATTTTGTGAATATGAGATTTGAAAATTATGATGTAACCTTTTATGTTTATTCATTTTTTAAAAACCAATTAATTCCCGATTAAAATCTTCGGGTATGATGACTACTACTACTACTACTATGTCGGAGCTAAGTCCGATCTACGCCAGAAAACCCCCTCCATATATCCCTGTCCCGCATCAGGGTTCGCAGTTCCTCTTTAGAGTTTGTCCCAACTTCCTTCAGTAACATAGACAAGTAGCTTTGTCTTGGTCGGCCTTGCTGTGCTCTACCGTGCGTAGGTTCCCATAAGACTAAATCACTGGCAAGTAGCTCAGGATGTCGGATGCAGTGTCCCGCCATTTTTAATCTCCTGCTTCGTAACTTGTTTGACAGCCTTGGGAGGCTACCATACAGAGTTATATTGCTGACCTTGTCCTTCCATGAGATACCCAGCACCATACGCAACATCTTTGTGTATGTCCCGTCCAAACTTTTCTCTTGAGCCTTTGTCAGTGTCCAGGTTTCTGATCCGTAGAGCAGTACTGATTCACAAGCCGCTATGAACAATCTAATCTTTAGGCTCTTTGAGAGTTTGGATTTCCAGATATCCTTCAGTCTATGTAGGGCACCCCACGCTTTTCCCTTTCTAACCCTTATCTCCCTATCTGTGCTCTCAATCCAGGAGCCTAAGTAGATGAAATCATCTACATTTTCTATGGCTTCCCCGGATCGACTTTGTAGGTCGCTAGATCGATCCTCCATATTCAGTGTCATGACCTTGGTCTTGCCTTCGTTTATGTGTAGTCCCACGCTTGCTGCCGCCGATTCTACTCTGAGCAGGAACTCGTTAGACTTGTCCATGTCCTCAGATATAAGTGCTATATCATCTGCAAAGTCCACATCGGTGATGATCTTGGGCCCCACTCTTCTGCTTTTTCTACGTTCGAGGGTGAGTCCAAGTCGCTCCGCATCATCGCCTATGGCTTGCCTCATACAGTAGTCGATGACTATTGCAAAGAGGTAAGGTGCTAAGGTATCACCCTGTAACACACCTGCAAGTATCTCGAACAATTCAGTTTCTCCGTCTGGAGTTAGGACTTTGGCCATTGTCTTCTCGTACATGAGCCGTATAAGCTGCACGATTTTGACTGGAATGCCGTAAGCTTCTAGAATCTTTAGCATTAGGTAGCATTAGGTATGATGAGGTACACGACAAAAGGGACAAATCATGGGGCGTGGGCCTTCATCAGAATCTAGATATAACATTCTTAGATTTGGACATTGTAAGATGGGTTTCCGATTCCAGCTAAAATATTTCATTAATTGAAGTAAGATTTAACCAATTTCTGGCTATTGCATGTTTTGAACATCTTTATATTTATGGTTATGTTTATCAGTACACCTACGATTTTAGCGGCAGCATTTGTCCGTAAGCGCATTAAAAATCAGTGATAGGTATTACAGCTAACAGATAACATATTCATGATATTGAGTTATAGTTAGCAAACTAGTTCAAATCCCTTTCTTAGAAAATCCTTAATCGCACCACGTTATTATCAAGTAATTGCGTCACGAGGAGGGATCACAAGACTAAGTCTGTTATAAATATATCCGGCAGAAAATGGAAAAGAGAATATCCGGTAGAAAGAATAATTAAAATAAAATATAGTTGTTCGTACTTGTCCTGGAAGAAGTTCCTGTTGATCTTGTATCGCTTGAAAGGGAGCTTTCAGTGTTCCAGTTTCTGCAGGGGCATTTCTTGATTAGCGTTTAAATTTCCCTTTGATATTTTTTTGACAAGGAATTAGGAGGACAACTGTTTTTAGAAGTAGAGATGATGTAAATGCCATTATTCTTGATTTGATTCGATTTAATTTGACAATTTCTCTGATACCCACGCTCCACATTATTTCTGCCAAAATCAAAATGGTCTCACTTTTCAATCAGTTTCCACATGTCAAAACTATCAAATTTTGACCGGTGTTATGTAGGTCAATTTCAAAGCCAATTTTAAGAAACCTCTCTCAACGATAGTAGAACAAACAATTGTTTAATGAAATAGAAGACAAGGATTCTAACCTGATAGCCCGATATCAATGGTATTTCCCACTTGTGGCATACCAGCGCCCCAACTTTCAAGTACCTCCGGAAGCTTGCCTGAGAGCTCATTTTCCTGAGAATCAGAGAGGGGATCTTGAGGAACAGGTACTTGGCAGGTCAGGTCCGGAAGAGGTGTTATGTTACCTTCACCACCCTCTCTGTGGGACATTGTTCTTTATCAAAGAGTTTTAAAAGAGTTTTAAAAGATTTACAAAGAGTTTACAAAGAGTTTACAAAGAGTTTACAAAGATTTTACAAAGAGTTTAAAGAGAGTTTATAAGGAGTTTGCAGATTACACAAATTGCAGCAATGGTCATGTCATCATAGAATCTATAAGTATCAAATCGTGTTGAATATACCACTAAAGCACCTCACAAATATCAACGCAGTTATTGATAAGAGCGATTTAAAGTTTAAACCATTTCACAGATTTTTTGTCTGATTAATTATCTAGCGACTGTAACTCAAACATATGCAATAAAAATGGTTAGTTACCTTTTCAGAATACTGTCAGCGTTCATAGGAGAAGTAATGTGGATTGGGACCTCCACCGTTTTGATCAGAGATCCATCTACCTCAACACTTTCTTCTGATATACTGCCTTTAGAAACTTCTAGCAGCTTAATGGAATTTTTGGTATTTGTGGTTCGTGATTTGTTGCCGTTGGCTTTGGGAATGCGAAATAGGGGTGTTGAAGGTGGTTTAGCGTAAGTCCTACTGTCAACATTACTGTTTGAAAATGTGGGAGAAGAAGATTTGGGAGCAAATGGTGCTGGCTCGCGTTTAGGTAATTCAATAGTCCCCATGCTATGCTGGGTTGATGGTGACGACACTTTACTGTTAGGAACAGCAACAACTTCGTGAGTTACTGGAGGGGCAGGTAGAGGGATTGGAACGACTTCCCGTGGTGGTGTGAAGACACGTGGGGGTGTGAAGACACGTGGGGGTGTGAAGACACGTGGAACTGGAGCGGGGGGAGGTTGGTAATGAGAGGCAGGTGGTCCTGGAGAGGAACCTCTGTTGTCAGACGTTTGGTATTCGGTCATAAACACCTTCTTGTCTTGATTCAGGAAACTGAAAGGCAACAGCATCACAAATTTTGCCATATTTTACCCATGAGTAATTGGTCTATCAGTTCTGCAAGCAATACGTAAGAATTATAAATAGTAAAACGTCTGGTAGGGCCGGAGTTCCACGGTAAACGGTTCCTATCACAGATAGATCCAAACTTCGTTAGCTTTTACCCCTCTTTTTAATCTAACCATTGCCAGGACAGACATTAAGTCATCTTTAAGTGGAAATAGTTAATCGGCCACATTGCCAATATGTACATTATAAGCAACAGTTTCTGATATTAGTTACCAGATTTTAACGGTACGTCATTTATTTCTCAGGTTTCATTATATTTAGATGTATAACGATTATATTTTCAAACCATGTAAAAAGTGTATTCAAGATCTCGCGCTACATACCTTCTTGGCGAAGCCTGTGCAGGAGGAGGTGGTTCTTCTCTCCGGATAGTCGGGGGACTGTATCCTATCAGAGCATTGTGTTTTAAGATGGGCGGCAGATCATCTGCAGGTCTGAAGGGGTCCTGCAGTCTACCAGGGGCTACTGATGTGCTATCTTGGTTAAGAGACAAATATCAATTCGTGTTGAGTTTGGGGTGATACTAAGCGCATTTCAGTTCACAATGAACATTGCGGCTTGCGCAGGTTCAACGTGTGTAACCGTGATGATTAAACAATATTGTTTCAATAACAAAGAAAACATTTTTCTGTTTTAGGACACGATACACCTAACGAACAGAGCTAGTTATTAAAATAATAGAATTATATACCTTTATTATATTTTTATAGCTCATGTGAACTGTTCAACTTCATGTCAGCCACAAACCTGGTCTATAATTAGAAGGAACAATCTCGTCGGGTAGTTTCTTAACATCTTCAGCTTCTTGAGATTCTGCTGTGCTCTTTTTCTTCTTTTTCTTCTTGGTAACCTTCGAATCTGGGACAAGAAAATTGTTTAATTTCAAAATGGTGGGACGTCACCCGCCCAGGCATTCCCCCAGCAAATCCACACATGCATGCTAATGTCATCAATAATTTGGGTTTGTAAACATTATCGTCATGTCAATAACCGCGATTGGATGAACTTTTAAAATTAATTTCCTGACGAACATATTCTTTGATTTGATTTTGTGAACACTGTAATTACTCATGAGATCGTGCACGTACATCTCAGCTGCGCACGTGCACATCTTAGCTCCGCCAGTGGCCGGCTCTACTGTTAATTCTTAATTATTCGTCAGTTGTAATCAAACCAAAAAAGGTGCACTTAAACATGCACTGGTCCATCAATTTAACGTGAACCCACTATATCCCAAAACGATATAGTTACAATAAAACATCACGATTCAGCCTGGCACGAGATACCGAGCTTTTTTAATCATTAATCACCCCACGAAATACCAAGTGTTTTTGTTCATTACTTTCATCCCTATCTTAGACGGGTTTTCTGGGGCTTTGCTGTATTAATTCGTACGAGACTTCATTTTACCGACTTATTATACAACCTTCGAGCAGATTTAAGTGCAAATATTGGTCATCCGATGTTGAATTTGGCGAGAAGGTTAAATCCCGGGTTTACGAGAATCTGACAGTTCGTCGGAAATTATACGCTGAGGAGAGGCCTGACAAGCTGTTCATATTGACATTAGTTTAATTTGAATCGAATTTTTCTTGAAGCAGCAGGAGTAGCACATTGCAATTTTAACACCACTGTCATTATTAAGTCTACCAGTGGTATCTAATAGAATATTTTATCGTTCATGTCGAATAAAGTCGATAAAATCACGCCAACGCGTTAACGCTTGACTGCCAGTGCCTTTAACCTCCAAATTCGGGAAACGGTTTAAGTCGATTTTTCCATCAACTGTTCACTTTGATTTTTAACAATTTATACAGTTGATCATCAAAGCTGTTAGATTTGTTTTCTGAGGCTGTATTACATTAATTCTTTCATCTATGGAAATAAGAGGTCTGACTTTCATCTTTTAGTGGTGTATGATATTCACCGTTTTCAAAAGATTTCGCAGGGCAGTATCCAAATACTTTCTGCTGGAAATTGGAATCGGTTCAAAAGAAAAAACCGGTAACAAAACGAAATTCCCTAAATTTATCAAGAACTTCCCGTTCGAAATATTTTCCCGTTTTCTTTTTGCTTTCTGTGATTCATAGCTAAACAATAAACATATGTTTCTATCCTATATAACACAATGTTTAATCAAACAAAACCCATTATGCTTAAAACCTTAAATATTTTCTTAAAATGTTTACTTGAATTTCCAGTGGACTTCTTGGGCTTCTTCACGGCTCCCCTTAAGTTGTTAGCACCAAAGTTAACCACACTGGGTCGGGCCGTTACTCGTCGGTTCTTGTTGTTGATACCCGGCTTTCCTCTTTTAGCTGGGTGAGCCGACCTGAACGACCATAAGTTAGATCAGATTATACCATAACGTTAGACCATAAGTTAGAGTGTTAGACCAAGAATCGAGCTCGATTTGAAAATTGCGTGCAAGCTATACACAAATAAAAGCCAATATTGAGCTTTATTCGTATGTGCTTTATTCGTATGAGCTTTATCCGTATGTGAGATTCGGAGTATAAAACATTTCCCCATATCGAAAAATTATCTGTAATTGAGTTTCTAAATCTTTCGAGTCTAGTGACAAGACTTGTTTCCCTTGAAGATCCTTCAACTAAGAAGGTAAACAAAACATGACCATGAAAAGTAAACGGAAAGATAGGAATCTGTACCTGATAGTGATCGATGAGTAGCTTCATTAGTCAAGTTTATACTGGATAACCAGGTTTATTCAATAATAACCCATTAGGGAACAATTTAGAACCGAGCAGTAAATTACAATCAAATCAGCATTCCACGACCTAGGATCACCCCATCGTCCGATTCAGCAAATAGCTACTAGTCAGTACTATCGCTATATCTATATGGGGTATGTTTATCGTAGGGAATCCAATCATTATGTCTATGCCAGAAGATTTGTTCCGTGGGTCAGTTAGAGTGTTAGACCAAGAATCGAGCTCGATTTGAAAATTGCGTGCAAGCTATACACAAATAAAGCCAATATTGAGTTTTATTCGTATGTGCTTTATTCGTATGAGCTTTATCCGTATGTGAGATTCGGAGTATAAAAAATTTCCCCATATCGAAAAATTATCTGTAATTGAGTTTCTAAATCTTTCGAGTCTAGTGACAAGACTTGTTTCCCTTGAAGATCCTTCAACTGAGAAGGAAAACAAAACATGACTATGAAAAGTAAACGGAAAGATAGGAATCTGTACCTGATAGTGATCGATGACAGGCACGTAGCCAGGGGGGGGGGGGGGGGCTAGGGGGGCGGCAGCCCCCCCCCCCCCGGAAAAATCGAACCCCAGAAAAAAGATAAGCCCCCTAGTCCCCATGGTCGCCTGGTAACTGGGCTGTGTTTATGACTGCAGTCAGTCAAACAAAACATGACTATGAAAAGTAAACGGAAAGATAGGAATCTGTACCTGATAGTGATCGATGACAGGCACGTAGCCAGGGGGGGGGGGGCTAGGGGGGCGGCAGCCCCCCCGGAAAAAATCGAACCCCAGAAAAAAGATAAGCCCCCTAGTCCCCATGGTCGCCTGGTAACTGGGCTGTGTTTATGACTGCAGTCAGTCAAAGATTTGAACTGTGGATTAGTAAATATATGTCATTAAATCCAAGCAAACATTCTAGAAGACTTCTATAATTATAGTCAATAGTGTCCCCTAGACCGTAGGAAATGTAAAAATCTTAAGACGATGAGGCCTGAGTAAGTCGTAAATTCTGATTGGAGAATGCAGATTGCTGTTGTGAAGTTACCAAATTTACGTGAGTACTTGATTCTTTTCAATCCCAGTTTATTGCTGTCCTACAAATTTCTTTAATGCCAAATGTCGTCTAAAACACCCTGTTTCGCAAAAAATTTCCGGGGGGCTGCGCCCCCCTAGCCCCGCCAAGGGGCTCCGCCCCTGGACCCCGCTGGGGGCTGCGCCCCTAGACCCCTGCCACAGCTTGCTCGCTTCGCAGCTTGATTGGACGCGTCGGCTCGCTTCGCTCGCCGACAGCCCCCCTCAAAGAAGAATCCTGGCTACGTCCCTGATCGATGAGTTGCTTCATTAGTCAAGTTTATACTGGGTAACCAGGTTTATTCAATAATAGCCCATTAGGGAACAATTTAGAACCGAGCAGTAAATTACAATCAAATCAGCATTCCACGACCTGGGATCACCCCATCGTCCGATTCAGCAAATAGCTACTAGTCAGTACTATCACTATATCTATATGGGTTATGTTTATCGTAGAGAATCCAATCATTATGTCTATGCCAGGAGGTTTGTTCCGTGGGTCATTAGCAGTCAGCATCTGCAGCACACAAGCCTATTACTTAGAGGAGGAAATTATAGCAGCTTTAGGAGATAATTAGGTTCGGAGTAATTCCTTCATCGTGTTTTCTATAAAGGCTGGCCTAAACCCTCCAGATCTTCACTTCAAGATGTTGGTCCAAGTATTCGCAGCAACCCTCCTCTCCCTGGCGCTCTCATGCCAGAACATTCGACTCATGGCAGATGATGGAAGTGTCGTGGTCGGACGGAGTTTGGAGTTTAGTGAGGTTCCAGTTCCAGCGAGCAACTCTATCGTGACAGAGCCAGCAGGACAAGAACACGTGATGCCCCTCACTGAAAACTGTGACGATCCTTTTGTCTTTGAGAGCGACTTTGACGTATTGAGGTTCAAGGTATGGTTCAATAATGAATGGGCCAACAGCACTCTAGGAGGAATCAACAGTGAAGGTATGGTTGCCAGTACCCTCTACTTCACCGACTACGCCCAATTCAAAGACCCTGCTTCCTTCAAGGGAAAGAAATGTGACAAGATCATCCCACAGACCAAATTAGCAACATACGTCCTGGCTAAGTACAGTACGGTAAAACAGCTGAGGAAGGATTTGAAGAACAAAGTCTTCCCAAAGGTCTGGACCCAAGGAGATCTTGGACTGGAGTCTGTTCCATTCCACTACGTCTTCCACGACGTCACTGGACAGTCTTTGGTGCTTGAATACACCAAGAACGGAATGAAGTACTTCGAGAACACTATCGGAGCTATGACCAACTCTCCAGACTACGAATGGCACATGACGAACCTGATGAACTACCCTACCATGCAGCGAACAGAGTTCGAGGGCTTCAAATATCATCACAAAGGACAAAAACAATTGATGAACCCCAAATGGGTTGGAACAGGTTTCTCTGGACTCCCAGGAGATTACAGCTCACCCAGTCGCTTCGTCAAGGCAGCGACCATGGCCACTCACAGCGGCAAGACAAAGAATGCAGAACAAGCCGTGACTCGAATGGTTCACATGATGAACGCTGCTGATATCCCCAAAGGAATCATGTCTGCCCACTACGTTGATGAAAATGGTGACAAACATGAACACACCGACTACACATGGTGGATCTCAGTGTACGACCTGAGTGCCAAGTGTGTGTACTACCGAGGTTACACCGACCTCTCCGTTAAGAGGATCTGTCTGGATAATATCCCTGACTTCCCTGCTGAGATTGATGTTGAGAGAACATTTGAAGAGGGTGTTGTGGATATGACGAGTGAGCTGAAGATGAAGGCTGTGAGACAGTAAACTGATCCAGCTTGAAACAATTGTTATTAGCGTTTGAGTATTGAACACGTCTGGAAATGGACATTGAACAGTATCTGTGATTTTAACTGTTTTTTATAAGCTATCTATTCTTCTCGAGAGTTAGAAAGTTTGTTTATCTTGTAATTCACTAAGAAATTTGAAATGTATCTTTTGTGATTTTTGTTTTTGTAGGGTTACATTGTATGTTTATATTGCATTAAGTTTGTATTGCCTTATAGTTATATTGCGTTAAATTGGATAATGTTTTGATATAACTTGTCGTTAATTCTTCACACACACCCAATTTTTCTGAATCAAAAAGTAATAATCACAAAAAACTAAAATTAAATCTTTTAAGTTAAGATTTCCTTGTAAGAATTGGGAACTTAATTTTTCGTCATATATTAACGGCCAGGTAGCGCAGTTGGTTAGAACGCCAGCCTTACAATCGTAAGGTTGCGAGTTAAAATCCCACTGTCTGCCTGGTCGTGGGGCGAGCGTCGTTGACGTTCAGCTAAGGATCATGAGTGGTCTATGCAGCCCCCCGTTCTACTCAGCCGAATATTCGAGAAATCGGGTGTGAGGGTTAAATGAGGAGCTGCACATTGCAGCAAAGTCTCGGGCGAAGAAAGTATGGTACACACTACCTTAACCGTCACTGGCCAGATAAATCCTTTGGCTTCCTGTAATTGGCTGGTTGCACTTGTGTAACAATGTGGCTGTTGGAATACACCGAAGTAAAATAAGTGTCTTGATAAAAAAAATTGTGATCTGAAAACGTATACCATCAATTAGAATGGGTACAGTACGACCTCTGGGGCGGGCTCAGGGAAAATTTCCGAACCTCTAATTCATTCGATAAGGGAGGGTAATCTATTTGAAAGGTCCAGTAACTTGCTTATTTGTTTATGTCATTATCTTACTCTTGGTCCCCAGTTGAAGATGGTGTCATGCTACTGTGCTGAACTTCCTAAACCATCTCGTTTACCACGTGATCAGTATCACGTGTAATTTATATTACCTAGTTCTTAGAGAGACCGGGAATGTGCTGATTGGCACCCTGTCAGTTGCCAGACACACCCCCAGTTAGTTCCTTCATTATTCATTGACAGAATGAAGGGACAGTTAAGCAGTGTCGCAGACTCTATAACGCCATTTACGTCTCGGAAGGCAGGATTAAACCTGTCCATCATTCCACGAAACCAATATACTGACACTAAAGTAATTTCTACATAACAGCTGTTATAAGAGCACGCCCACAGCTACAGGTAAATGATTCCTAAATAGCTACTAGAGTAGCCAATTTAGAAGTCTTGCCATCCAATAATCGTCATTTCTCAAATAAATCATGAAATTTACGTACTGTCTTTCAGTTTCTTTGTCGGTGATGTAAACGGAAAGTTGTTCCTTTACCTCTGGCAGATTCAGGATAGCCGTCGCTCTGTAACGTTGTTACTGTCATTTTTATTGTGACAAGGATCTTAGGCAGTGCAGAACTCAATCTCTATAAAGTATGAATAAAATTCAAAATTGGCGATCGGAACTTGGAATCTGCTGTTCAATCTAATTTATCATTATCATTCCGGGAGAAGAATAGGGAGAGGGAGAATTAAAAGGATTTTGTAGATAATGCAATGAAATATATACTATTAATCTTAGTATGAGTCTTACCATTATACTGTTCTAGAATAATCTTTTAATAAGAAAGGCCGACCCAAGTCATGATTGCACTCGAGCGTTCATCTCGCTTAATCTTATTTGAAGAGTACCATATCGGCTCTCAATTTTTGGAAATAAACTTTACCGTCCTTTTGTCTTCTGCCCAAACTGTTTGCCCTCAAGATGAAAACCGACTATCTTCCCTTGATGATCAGAATTACCCACCAAATAAAAATAATTTAGAATATTTACTTACGTGGGCCGGGACTCTGCGGATTTCTGCAAACTCTTCTCGATCAGCATCTTCACCAAGTTTGAGTACATCACTGGAATATCGTCGTAACTTCCTTTCACTATCTTGTAACACAGGCTCACCTGGAATAAAGTCTCACAGATGTTTCGCAAAGTTTCAAGATTATTTTTTTCAAAGTCTCAAGACTTTCTTTCGAAGTCCCGAGATTGTTTGGTGATTCTAATGAAAACACAATCAACAGTTCTTTCTTATGAGAGCAAGACTGCTTATGAATAATTTTTCAACCGTTCTTCAATTTGTAGATTAAGATTCTAAATCTAAGTAAAATTATCAGACATATTGCCCGAGATTTGATTAAATTGAAATATGATTGGTTGCATAATAATATGGTGTATATATTTAGTTTACAATCTAGCAGATTCAACATATCATGGCAAGATCAGGTCACTGGTGGTGTTTTCGTGATCAATCTGTCAACATCGTAAAATCAAAGTGCCACGTGATGAATATGAGATTGACAATCGATAAGGATTATATTTACTGGGCACGTACACAGGGCCAGGTGAGAGCCTCATAGTCATATTCGTTATTTCAATCTGAGATAATTCTGTGAGATCAATTCTGCGTGACTATAGTGAGTGTTTGACCATTGATCGCGCGCATAGCGGCCGGCCGCAAAAGGCCGGCCATCTCTCGCGCGAGAGATGGCCGGCCTTTTGCGGCCGGCCGGCAAATGGGGGTGAATTTTTACAAATGAATAACTTGTAAAATGTCAAGCTGGATCGCAATTCGTCGACAGATTGAAATTGACTCACTTAATTCATGTTAGTCGCCAACGTGCACAAATACACAATGAGTAGGACTAGGAGTAGGAGACTTATGTTGCATTGTAAGGTTTTAGTTATAAAGTAATAATATTGAATACTTTACTTCAATTACCTTATCGAATGTTATTTGAACGGACATGCAGATCTCTATTGTTTTATGAACTACAGCTACTGACAAAACCATTGGAATATTTGTTCATATTTTTGGGCGTCCTTTTCCAATTTTAGCAGATAATTTTTTCAATCGATTTTTAATACAGTAGGAAGAATCTTGGTATAACTTAGTCCGATAATAAAAATGAAAATCTTGAATTGTCGTGTTAAATATAACAATCGTGTAATATAAGGCAACACTATATAATACTACGCTGTTGAACTTGAATAATCAAACCTGAATTAAATACTTAAAGACTGAAAATTTGGCGATGTTTTTTGTCCCAAAATCTGCCGCTCATAATGAAGTTGTGGGCGGGTGCGGAATCGCACTATTTACAAAATATAATCGCACCTAGCACAATTTACATGTTCCGTCTGGTGATGTATTACTATTATCTGAAGTTACGGTTCACGTTAGAGAAAAACTTACCAAATTAGATGCATTGAAAGCTGGTTTCAATGCGCAAAGCTCGTACAGCAAACATCCCAACGCCTGAAAATATGATCATTTACCAACTGATATTTATATTTCATGAATTAATCTCTCTAAAACGTTGAAATAATGTAACTGTAAGTTACCAATAAACATATAATGAACGATGGGTAATATTTCATAACTTAATTGCATATTAGTTATATATTAGTTTGATAATATTGCCGTGAATTTGTGAACTAACCATATCTCTTAAAGTAAGAGATATCAGGCGGCTTATGTGTCTTTATTTTGATTGTCCTCGACGTTTTGCAGATATATTATCCAACCATAATCTTGACAATGGTGCATTCTCGAAAGTTTTCGCCGCATGTCGAAGTGGAATTTATTGAATGATACCATAAATCGAGACTATTGGAAACTTCTCTACGGTGTAATGTTAGGTGCATCGCCCAACGCCAGTAGTCACTATGCCACCACCATGATATAATACCGCTACTATAATACTGCCACAGGCCACAACAAAACACACCACGGACTACGACAATTCCGACAATGTCCGATGTCGTCCATTTTAACTTGTTAAGGGGGCAGGGGGGGGGTCTTTATGAAATTTCTCTCGAAATTGATTTTATAGTTGTTTCTGATAGAGGGGAGTGATATCTACCAGATATTTTTGGTCCCATGGAAAAAATTTGTTCCTAGCCGAAATTATTGCCGGTCAAAGGTCAGCGCTCATGTGTAATTGTATTGCGCGAGCGATTTTCAATCGCGCGCCCTGAAAATCGAGTCTAAAAATCTATCTTCTCCTACATTTTTTGAGCAATCACCTTGAAACTTTCAGGATAAGTTCTAAGGACCATTTAGAAACTTTTGCTCGTTTTAGAATTTCGAGATAGGCCTTTAAAAATTTTTTATTCGATTTTGAAAATCTTGGACCTGAAAAAATCGTCAAAAAACGAGGTCCAAGAGTTTCAAAATCGAATAAAAAATTTTTAAAGGCCTATCTCGAAATTCTAAAACGAGCAAAAGTTTCTAAATGGTCCTTAGAACTTATCCTGAAAGTTTCAAGGTGATTGCTCAAAAAATGTAGGAGAAGATAGATTTTTAGACTCGATTTTCAGGGCGCGCGATTGAAAATCGCTCGCGCAATACAATTACACATGAGCGCTGACCTTTGACCGGCAATAATTTCGGCTAGGAACAAAATTTTTCCATGGGACCAAAAGTAGCAGGTAGATATCACTCCCTCTATTAGAAACAACTATAAAATCAATTTCGAGAGAAATTTCATAAAGACCCCCCCCCCTGCCCCCTTAATTGCGGAAAGTCAGCCAAATCCAACCAAAACTTGCTAATGCAAAACCAAAATACCACTCATACCATTTTATACGTAAATATCAAGCCGTTATTTTGAGGCAACATCCCATGATCCCAGCTGAAGACGATTTACACATGTATTTTGAAAGCTCCTGCTAAAACAAACTTTTCGTATCACTGCACTTATATGTTTTAAATAATCCTCCTCCAGGCATGATCCCATATTCAATATTTACGGCCGAATCAGCGAACACGTGATGAGTATACTCAATTTATTTATTCCCCCAACACCTTGGCACGACGTTCTCCATAATATTACCAATGGCGAGCAAATCAAAATGCAGCTGGTGAACATTTAAAGTATAACCAATGAGATTATTATATTCTCCGTCAATATAACATTCTTTGAACGAAATTAATCAATTACTCCAGTCGGATCTCAAAAAACGCATTATGAAACTCATACCCAGACGACCGATTTGGCCTGACTTCTTTTTAATATACGACGCGACGTCGTTGCAAAATAACGCGTATTTTACATGTAAATTATAGCGCGCGGTATTACAGTGCCTACTCACCCAAACGTCAGATTTAGAGTTGTAGGGTTTATCCTGGCAAATTTCAGGGCTGAGGTAGCAGGGTGTTCCTACACAAGTACTTGCCATGTCCACCGTGTGCTCTAATACTCGGGCTATCCCGAAATCTCCTGCAAAGATAATTTGTGAAGAAAGTTTCACGTTTATTTCATAGCTCACTCTCAGCTGCAGTGGTCAGAGCCGGCACAGCTTTTTTTCGTGCTATTGATATTAAGAAGCACCGATTAAAATTGTCAATCTGAGTTGCAAAATCATACATTTCATTTGATTAAATAAACCTATTTTGATCATGTTAGCTTTAGTTAAAAACACATTTTGAGTCTTTAGATCTCTGTGCAGTACCCTTTTACCGTGGATATACCGCAACGCCATCGTTATCTGAACGTACCACTGAAAATGAAGAAGAGATTTAATTTCCGCAGTCTTTTGATTAAAAGGTTACTAGTTTTGATATGTCTATAAGATATTGCCGAGAGATGTAATTGTAATCGTCCGCACGACTGGTTATGCGACTGACCACTTAAAGTTAACTATTTGAGGCAGATTGTCCGTCAAGCTGCTTGAGTATATTTTTAAAATTTGCATTTTAAATATTATAACCGTCGCATACCTATGTTTCTTACTTAAATCAGGAGTTGAGCTTGATCGTACGAGGTGATTTAAATTTCCTATTTTAAAGCCTTAAATTTGACAGATTATCGCGGTTCTTATTATCACGGGAGCGATTTTCAATTAGTGGGAGCTGCTTTACCTGATCAAGAGCTATATTTAAGTATTTAACTTAAAGGCACTAGCTGTCTGGTCGGTATCTAAATACTGCAGTTAAGTAGTAAGAAGTGAAAGCTACATCGCGTGATTGAACTCAAAGTTCATCAGTTAAGATTTTGACGACCTTATGTCAGGTTTAATTTCGCGGATAGATGACAGACTTTGCTTAACTGTCCTAGAATCTTGTGTGCTGATACATCAGCTGTTTTTGCTATGCTTTTGGTTCGTAATCTTGTTCGCATTTTCAAGCAAATATTTTAGGAATTTCGAGAATTATCTGCATTGTAATTCATGTCCATGATTAACCTCTTAGCTATATTTAACTATCGAACAGTAACAGCATGCTGCTATATTTGTCCTAGCTGACAGTACGTGATGAGTTAAACTACACTTATTCATCACTTAAGATGAGATATATGTTCTAACTAAACCACTATAGTCCTGCTGACAGTAACACTGTTACTTTAGTGATGCACGTGATGTGCACATGATCAATTTAATATTATTATATCGTCCTGGTTTCTTCTTGACATATTCTTGACGTTTTTTTGTGAAAGGTATATTATACCTTCTAGCAAGGTATGTAATATACCTTCTAGCAACTCCTTCCATACTAAGATACTAGAAAGTCTCGTAGTTCCCTAAGACATAAAACTTACAAGTTCTGGGATCCGGACACGAAGGCAAAGGACACAAGATACTTTTCTAAAAGAGTGGACACCAGGGCGGATCACGTGATACTCACTTCAAAGATCACTTTCTATTAACGAACAGATTAATCCCTGTTCATTGTTCATTCGGAAAATCAGTCAGAAAGATCCATCAAAATATTTTTTTTTGAAAAAAAAATGGATTCTTGCCTCTTGGTATCTTCAAGAATTAAAATAATATCTAGAATGATCTCATCTCTCCAAAAGTTTACACATTAAATGGATTATAAAGTGTTCCTCGTCACGACGTCACAACGTCAAGATTCGCCTGAAATCGTTAAATAACCTCATTAGCAGTGAAAATGTCAGAAAGACTTGCTGGCCAGGACATCAGGACATGTTCTATAATGAGATCTCAGATCTGTGCAATATATTGGATTTCATTAGAACTGCAACCGTCCTTGTCATGATATTGACATTGTCATAAATGAAATCATTGAACCCAAATATAAACCACATCCTCACCGCATGAGCTATAATAGCTGTTAAATATTTTAGTATGTGAGACGTGGTGCGGTGGTGTGTTCAACCTATCCTGTTGACGGAAAAGTGAAATTATGTGAAGTTATTCACAGTCGCGACCCTTGATACCTTGGATGCAGATTGCAGTTGCAGTACTGATCGTTGGTTTAAAAAATCGTCTTCTGGTATTCTTTCGTAGTCAGTACATGCAATGAACGTGATCTGGCCTGTGTTCTTAATTTTACGGTACATGATGCAGCACCTGAAGTGTTGCTGTAATGTGTAATGTGTAGTGAGTATTGTGTAGTGCTTGAGATTCGAAATACTCACAAATTGCAGCAGGCTGGGAGACACAATTTGTTGATTTATTCATCTATTTTACAATATTATCATTATAGTGCGTTATGGTGCAGTCGATCATTTACTTTACTATCACTATAATAGGTAGATCAGTTGTTTTGATTACTGAGATTGACCAGGAACTAATTTTATTTCTTTCAACCATCCGGCTGAACTTTCTCGGTTAAATTATAAAAGAGTTGTGCTTCAGAAATTAAAATTGGTGTTTTATTTCCTGTCTGATAGAACTCTAATAAAACTCTAATCCCTGGGATTAGAGAGGGATTAGAGACAGATTCCCTCCTTTAAAGACTATAAACGTTCATCAAAACCTATTAAAACGTCTGGATCACAGTGGTATCATGACTCCTTATAAAATTTTGCTTTTCAAATATCACAGAATTTTGATTTCATTCGGTGTCTGATATAACTCAAACTCTTTCCTCAAATAAAAGTCAAACACTTATAATCATCGCAGCTTAAACGACGTCTTTTAGTCGAACGAATTTTTTTCGCTATTTACTCTTCCAGTTCCAATATTATTTTAAAAACCATGTCTATTTAGTTTACATTTTCCTTTTGATCTGTTATTAAAATCAGCCAATAGAAATAGTGAACGCCATTCTGTGGGAGCCCATCTTAATCTGTAAGTGGAGCTCAGCTTTGGTCACTGATTTTGGATTAAGACTTTGTCAATTAATCACTCTCCTTTCGAATGGTGATTTGTCTTGACATTTTAATAGGTCAGACAATGGAAATTGCCAAGTTATTAAGAAAAAGCATACTCGATCAATGATTTGATGATATTATTTACAGCGTTTGGGGCCAATCTCTTATTTTGACGAATCTTTTCATACTGTTGATAATGAAATTGAGCCTACAATGACATTATCGCAGCCTCGATTTTGTCCACTCCAATCAGATATTTTTGAGGGCACTAAGTTTCGCGACTTTCTCAAAATGTATTATCCTCACTTACTCTCTAACCTTTGGTTTAACCAACCTCGTATCTTATAACTCATCATTGAAAGGTTGGTTGAAATGTGGTTTCCGTCAAAGCAATTTGCAGGTTCTCCTAAAACTCAATTGAACCCGCTACTTGACCACATATTACGGTATTATTAATTACCAATGATAAAAGAAGAAAAGTACTGTAATTTACACTTTTTAATAAAGCTGCGCTTCAATAGCGACCACAGGACCCCAACCACATCTAATTAACGAAATTACACTACCACAGTTGGTGCCCACTATAATTTCCCCCTCTTATTCTCATTTGTCCTCATTATCCTTTTAAGACTTTTTTCCTTCCGTCAAAACATTTCTTTCTAATTGTTTTCCCTTTTTTTTTCTTCTATTTAATTTTTTCGTATCTTGTAATATTTTCCTACGTTTATAGTCTTACATTTTATTTTATTATCTATTATCCGTATTACCCTCTCCCATTTGTGAGGCTATGTTGGCAACAGGACAAAGTGGACGGTACTTACTCGGCCCTTGTCTTGGCTTAACGCAAATATTCGGTATTTAAATTCTTCATATCGCCAAACTCATTTTAAATGCGTCATCAGTCAGCTGGACCCACGTTTGAGTTAAATGGTGTTTATAAATTGTATCCCACATTGGAACATGCTATTTGAAACAGCCTCTGGTTCTACGTTCTAACTGGTCCGTACTGTATCACAGACTGTGGATGGTTGATTTCGAAACAGCTCCATTCAACAAATCCCTTGGTCAAAGCCTTAAGACATCGTGGACAAGCATAATTGTAGATTAATCCTTTTAGTTATTTACCCGCTTTTTAGAATTTTAGAGCATTTTAACTTTTCATCCTGTAGTTTGGAGGTTATTTCAATCCATCCGATAAACTTTCAATTTGAGCTCCAAACAGCTGACTATAAACAAGGGTTATATGTAATATATATATATATAAATACACAACTGGTTTTCTTCTCTTATAGAAAAAGGGCTCTACTAGCTGTAGCTAGGAGCATGAAATATCGGTACAAAGCAAACTATGCAATTGTCAAACTATAAGTTTCATGTTTGAAAAGCAATCTTCAGTGACATAATTAACATAAAAATGGCAAACATAATACAACACAGTGCTCCTTTATCAAATTTTATAATTAACAATTAACAATTACTCAATACTACTAAACCTATATAAATAACTACAAATCCTAATAACTAATAAATACTAACTAAATATGTCTAACTAAGAATTTCCTAGAGTGCCTACATTTAGAAATAATTTCTGATCTTTTATTAATAATGCCTGGGGTTTTAAGTATGTATAGTTTCTCGTCTAAGCAGAGGCCACAATGCCCCGCTCCAGCCTTATATTTCTTCGATTTAGTAATAATCTTCCAGTCTATGCTATATTCAATCATCTTCTCCTTGAGGTCCCATATCAATTTTGATAACTCGGTACTCAGTCTGTGCTTAGAATTCTTAAAACTTTGTCGATGATTGTACCACCGTGTCTTAAAACTGTTTTCAGTCAATCCAATATAGGCCGTTTCCTTGTTAGATGCCGTTTTAACGGTTGCTTGGTATACTATGCATTTGGCCAGACATTGTCCTTTGAGGGGGCACTTCGAGGCGTCTCTGCAATTACACTCTTTTTCTGGAGCTTTTTTCTTTTCAGATTGTTTCTCTAGGACTGATTTGTTGTGCCCTTTGAGTATCCTTCCCAAACTGGGCATGCAGCAATAGCTTATTTTCACGGTATTCCTATTGATGATTTTATGTAACGGTAGGTTTTTCGGGAAATGCTTATCGATAAGAGCGAAGAACTTTCTTCCGATGTTGGTTGAAACGTTTGCACTGAATGGGGGATTGTACCATAGGATGTTTCTCTTCCGCGATCTCTTTCTCTTTTTAGGCGGTGGTGTTTTATAATCGATGGTGTGACTATATCCGCTATCTCTAAGTGACTTCTCATAATCGCTTTTGGCTTCATTTAGGCATGTCTTGTTGCTGGATATGCTTATCAATCGTGATTCTATCATTGAGGGTAAGTTCTTCAATATGATGGGAGGATGATTGGGTTCTGCGTTAATGTACAAAAGTGTGTCATTTGGTTTCCTATAAGGTCTGTATGACTTG